GTTTGTCTCTTAACATCTTATTTCTTCTACAGACCTTGAGCGAGAGGGGATATAAACTATATTTATATATATATTACTTAAAATCAGATGCTAACTCATTGATCGAGAGGGTGGGGTGGGGGGGGGGGGAAGAGATGTTAACACCTTATCTTTTGGATGTAACAATCACCTCGTCAACACTTATTGAAAAACACAATCAAAAGGTTTATTAACAGCAACTAGACAGGAGCGCGATTGTTATTATTGTTTAATATATATTGGCGTGAACTTTTTTTGTAAAAAAAAAGGAAAAAAAATCAACACTAAGTCTTTTTTGCCTATGTTTTTTGCCTTGAGAAAATTTAACAAAAATTAAGACAAAACCAGTGTTATTTCATGAGATCACTGGAAACGTTTGTTTGAGGTTGCGATGAGATTTCAAAGTGAAACGCACACAACACACACACACACACATAGGGCCCAAACTCCCTACGTCTCAATATGGTTTACCGCTGTGTGTTGGTGCCAAACCGATCACCTCAAAGCATCTCTGAAATGAATCTGGCAGGTGCACAAAGGAGGCAGAGACTAGAGGGGGGGGGAAGGGACATTCCCATGCATATTAGGCTTAGAGTTAGGGTTTGGTTCGGAGTCCTGTAGCTCAGTGGTCAGAGCACTCGCCTCGCAAGCGAAGAGACCTGGGTTCGATTCCCAGCCGGGTGAAACCTTGGGCAAGTTTCCTTACTCCATTAGCGTGATAATGATCCCTCGAGGAAAAAAATAATAAAATAATCGGTCACTCAAACCACAACTGTTTGTGGGGACGCTGCTGCGCGCAATTGGCTGCCGCGTTTCGCCCACAAAATATACAGTCAATTCACTTTACAGTATATTCTGCAAAACGCTTTGAGACGTCTCGAAGACGTGAAAAACGTTATATCAAATGCAAGGATTATTATTTATTAATTCTATTAGTGAAAGTAACCGTTACACCAATCATGTTAGTCTTGTTTTATAGCAAATTCACAAGGGGAAAGGGGCCGGTGTGTCTGTTGTTGCTGTTACATTACACTTCTGCACTTGTATACGCAAAGAATTTTAACTGACCCTAATTTTTTTAATTAAAAAAAATCACACGGTTATTATGATCTGGTATCTGACGGCAACAGGAAAACAAGGCCTGTCCCGGGATCCTGCCACGTTGGGTGCTGGCGGCTTGCGATGTGAGGTTTAGGGGAACCTGACAGATCAGATGGTTTGAGCAGATGGAGAGGGAGGGGCCTTCCTCCCGCGTCCCACGCGCTCACGTCTGGAAAAAGCATCTACAGTGTCTCAGACACACTCTCTAAGCGGGGTAGGCAACGAGCCACGCGGTGGCTGTGCCCATGTGCCGCTGCTGTAGTTGAGCAGGATTTGGCTGGAGCTCAGTGACTCCGCAACAGTTGCTCGTGTTTTGAGGAAAGGCTGCCTTGTCCTTCAGCATCAAATCAAACAGGGAGAGCGGGAGAGAGGGAGAGAGCCAGAGCGTACAGTGGCTCAGTGTCAGCCTGAGAGCAGGGCTGAGCGGCCACCTGTCCTATCTATCTACTGCTCCATTAAACATCATCTCTGATCCCGATCCCGATCCTCTCTTTATATAAATGACTACAAAACATGAGATTTCACAGGGAGAGAAAACAAGATTGTAAGACAGGCCTGGGATTGGCTGAGCGGGGGGTTCACCTCCCTGAGCTGAGCGACAGTACAGGGTTCCCCGCATTCCCGCCCGCACGGGGGGAGTAGCTACTTAATGCCAGTCGTTCATTAAGTATTCACAGTCTGACCGGCAACAGAGGTGACAGGTTACCAGCCAGACAATAGCTAGACTGACAGCAATGGTAATGGACAGTCAGTCCCAGGGCCTTAGGACGTCCTCCTGACGTGACGGCCGCTGTGTAAATAGGACTTGTTGTTGTTGGTGTTGGACCAAAAATAGCCATGATACTAATTACACTATCTCTCTCTGATGGGCTGTGGTGGAGCAGAGCCAGTGACTGTCATCAGTCCAGTGTTACCTTCTCAAACAGGAACAGTAACAGCTGCTCGGTCGGTCTCGTGTTTTCAGAGGGAACGAAGACAATGTCAAAGTGGTCACTAACAGAGTCTGGTCTCATCTCTCTCTCACCTCCAGCCCCTGTGAGAGATCATAGACCACACTCACACTTGTGACTGTGACTCCGGGTGTTCGGATCCAAAGTCATATTTTCGCCCACAAATACACACAGTCACTACAATTTGCAGTGTATCCTGTGAAGCACTTTGAGACGTATCGACGACGTGATTTGGCGCTGTATCAAATACAAGGGTAATTATTATTCTTTTTGATGAGGTGAAAACAGTCAGAAATAACCCAGGCCTGCAATTCCCCTTAGTCTTAGCCTTTCACGGCACAGAACTGGCAAATTGTGAAAAACAAGTGCTGGAGGCGTTCCCCGTGGGGAGCGATACATACACACAAGTTGTTGTTAACTTATAAGATCAGTTCTTATCGAGAGAGACCGGCTTCAAATTCAGACTTCTACAAGTCTGCAGCATCTGAACTTGTGAGAGGAAAACGGTCTGACAATGCCGGGAGGTGTGTCGTGTGGATTCCAAGTCCCCCCCCACACCGCTCCTCCCCGAAGATTGGGTTAAACCTCATCAACAGACCACGAGTGTCAGCAGGGAGAGAGAGAAATGTTAGAATATTACACTACCCACCACCCCTCCGCCGGCCAACATTGCCAGGCACCTCAGGACGTCCTCCCGACGTGACAGAGGGACGTGATAGTGCAATCCTCGGTTATATTGTTTTCTGATGTCTGGCTAAGTCAAGACACCCCATACAGCTCTCTCCCCACCCCACCCTCACACACCACGTGGCTGCTAAATCTTCTGTCTTTAGTCAACTAGACATCACCATGATCGCATTATTTTTAAAAATATACAGCCCTCCCCCCTCCCACTTTGTAGAATCTCCTGGCCTGGCGACAGGCAGCCTGGCCTGGCCTGGCCTATCCTAGTCTATCCTGGGAGCAGAAACAATGATTACTTTGCTGTTAACTCACTATCGGCCTTAATTCTTTTTAAAAAATAAAATGTTTGACAAAAGGAGAAGAATGTGTTTTTCCGATTACTGAACAAACAGAACACGGGATGGAAAGATACAGGAGGGGAAGGAGAGAGAGAGAGAGAGACAGGGAGGACGGGGAGAAGGAGGACAGGAGTGAATGGGGGGGGGAATGGAGGGCGGGGGTAGGGAGAGAGGGGCGGAAGGGTGGCTGGGAGAGTGGATGGGTGAGGAGGGAGGGCAGGGGGGAGGTGACTGGGAGAGTAGGTGGGTGAGGAGGATGAGAGGGATGGCGGGAGGGTGGCTGGGAGAGTTGGTGGGTGAGGAGGCAGAGAGGGAGGGAGGAGGGAGAGGGGGGGCTATTTCTGGAACACATCTCTAACCAGGATTGTACATCAAGAGATAAATGCACCACGTTCCCTGTTCAGCACAAGGACTATCGCATGTTGATAATCTATCAACGCGCGATTGCTGTGTTTGTGTCAGGGCGTCTCTTTCACTCCCTTTCCCACCAGCGTATTGTTTTGGAGAGAATGTTAATTCTGTTCAAAGAAATCTGGATTTTCTGATGGTTTCAGTGAATTTGGCACAAAAACCCCCCACTTTTTAAGAAACATTAATGAGCTCAGATTCTCTCCAGGTTCAGCAAAGTATTAAAGGGGGAGGTTCCCAGTCAGTGACATCACAGGGGGAGGTTCCCAGTCAGTGACATCACAGGGGGAGGTTCCCAGTCAGTGACATCACAGGGGGAAGTTCCCAGTCAGTGACATCACAGGGGGAGGTTCCCAGTCAGTGACATCACAGGGGGAAGTTCCCAGTCAGTGACATCACAGGGGGAGGTTCCCAGTCAGTGACATCACAGGGGGAAGTTCCCAGTCAGTGACATCACAGGGGGAGGTTCCCCGTCAGTGACATCACAGGGGGAAGTTCCCAGCCAGTGACATCACAGGGGGAGGTTCCCAGTTAGTGACATCACAGGGGGAGGTTCCCAGTCAGTGACATCACAGGGGGAGGTTCCCAGCCAGTGACATCACAGGGGGAGGTTCCCAGTCAGTGACATCACAGGGGGAAGTTCCCAGCCAGTGACATCACAGGGGGAGGTTCCCAGTTAGTGACATCACAGGGGGAGGTTCCCAGTCAGTGACATCACAGGGGGAGGTTCCCAGTCAGTGACATCACAGGGGGAGGTACCCAGCCAGTGACATCATAGGGGAGGTGCCCAGTCAGAAACATCACAGGGAGAGGTGCCCAGTCAGTGACATCACAGGGGGAGGTGCCCAGTCAGTGACATCACAGGGGGAGGTACCCAGTCAGTGACATCACAGGGGGAGGTGCCCAGTCAGTGACATCACAGGGGGAAGTTCCCAGTCAGTGACATCACAGGGAGGGGTTCCGTCAGTGACGTCACAGGGGGGGGCGGTTCCCAGTCAGTGACATCACAGGGTAGGTTCCCAGTCAGTGACATCACAGGGGGAGGCGCCCAGTCGGTGACGTCACAGGGTAGGTTCCCAGTCAGTGACATCACAGGGGGAGGTGCCCAGTCAGTGACGTCACAGGGGGTGGTGCCCAGTCGGTGATGTCACAGGGGGAGGTTCCCAGTCAGTGACATCACAGTGGGAGGTGCCCAGTCAGTGATGTCACAGGGGGAGGTGCCCAGTCGGTGATGTCACAGGGGGCAATGCCGTCAGTGACATCACAGGGGGAGGCACCCAGTCGGTGACGTCACAGGGTAGGTTCCCACTCAGTGACATCACAGGGGGAGGTGCCCAGTCAGTGACATCACAGGGGGTGGTGCCCAGTATGTGATGTCACAGGGGGAGGTGCCCAGTCAGTGACATCACAGAGGGAGGTGCCCCGTCAGTGATGTCACAGGGGGAGGTGCCCAGTCGGTGATGTCACAGGGGGCGATGCCCAGTCAGTGACATCACAGGGGGAGGTGCCCAGTCAGTGATGTCACAGGGGTAGGTGCCCAGTCAGTGACGTCACTGGGGCAGACAGGAGGAGGGGAAGGAATCACTGCGCCTGACGTCCCAACAAAGTAATCGGAAAAATACATTAGAGAGAAACCTCTATAGCAGCGGCGTTTCACTCCTCGTCCTGTTGTGCAGCAGCGGCTGCCGTCCGACCACTGTGACAGTCAACGTCCAGGGTTAGTGCAGAAGGTAAATGAGAAGGTCTATTGCACACGTCACAGTCTTTCATTAAGGCACTTTGTGGTCGTGTGTCTGGGCTGTGCTCCCCGTTAGCACCATCAGCTCGGCCATTCAGCTGTGGCTGTCCCCAGCCCGGCTCTGACTGTAGCTCCGCTGGCTCTGGCTCCGCTGTCGAGTCTGTGTGTGTGTCTGCGTCCACCTCATCAGCGGGTCCTTGCTGCTCGAGGGATGGTCCGGGGGTCTCTCTGGGCGTCTCGCTGGGGGCGGCTCCGAGAGTCTTGCTGGGGGTGTCGCTGGGGGCTGGTCCGGGCGTGTCTCTCGGGATCTCTCTCGAGGTCTCTCTTGGCATCTCACTGGGCGTATCGATGGGGGCTGCTGCGGCCTCGCTGGGGAGCTCCACTGGCACGTGAGTGTCTGTGTCCACCTCCTCGGGGGGTCCCTGGTGGCTGGAGTTCTCGCTGGGGGCTGGTCCGGGGGTCTCTCTCATGGTCTCGCCTGGAGCTGTCACCCCAGCCCCTCCCTGGTTCTGCTGAGCGGAACATGTGAAACGGGGTTGAAGAAGGAAAGCAGAGCGATATCTTACTGAGGGAAATCTAACGGAATCTGGGAGGAACGTTGCTCCTGCAGAGGGCAGGGAGCTTGTGAAACTCTTCTCGTGTGGAGAAGAAACATGGAGAATGTGCTGCACATTGTGTGCAAATCTCTGTGACAGGTCAGGTTTACAGTTGTGAAGCTAATTAACCGCTGTAACAGCCTGACCCAGAGAGAGGTAGAGGTCTGGACACTGGGAATTGTTTAGAAAGCAGCTGGATACTGTGATGAGGGACGGTCAGTTGTGTGTTCTGGAGGCAGGAGATCAGATGGGATAAACCCATCTTAATAGTAATAATAATCTTGTGAAGGAAATACACGGTTTAGTTCCGCTTTGGCCGTGGGTAGGGGGAAGGTCAGTAGTGTTTCATTCCTCACTTAGAACAGAAAATAATTCCTCCTAGAAATTCATAGTACAGGAGGGGCTCACTAAAAGAGCTTTCCATTCAGTCCCCACTCCCCTTCACTCTCTGCGCACACACACACACATATGTACACACATGCACAGATACACTCTCACATATACACACACACACACATACGCACACACATACATGCTCTCACACATATATTTACATGCAGAGACTCACATACACAGATACACACACACATACTCTCATACACACATATACACACACAAATACACACTCATACATATATACACACACACGTACGTACTCACACACAGACACATACACACGTACAGACACATATATATACACACACACACAGCTCCTCTAGCACCGTCTAGGGCAGACAGAGAGACCAACTACTAACCTGGCTGTTGTCAGTGGGATTTGCTTGGTTGCGGTGACTACTCCCTCGAGCTGCTCTGGCTGAGCTCAGTGGGTCTCGATCCCGGCCTCTCCTGTCAGCCCAGATGGTAAGAAACGTCTTATTAACAATACACCAAAACACATGGACATTTACACAGGGGGATGGGGGGGGGGTCCCAAAATGCTAAACAGACTTGACACTGAGCTGTGGGGGAGGAATGGAAGGAGGGGGAAAACATGGTCAAAGAGGTAGGACTTTAGCCGGGCCTTGAATGAGGGGAGAGGGGTGAGTCAGACTGACTCGGACTTGGGTTACAGAGCGCGGGGGCAGATTGGCCGAGGGCCTGACCACTGATGGGCTCACCACGCATTGCGTTGAGAGGATGTCTCAAAGCGCTTCGCAAGATTTGTCCAAGCCAAGAACAGAAACTTACATTTATATAGCGCCCCTCATGCAGGGTAGCGACCCAGAGCGGTTACCCAGCCCAGCCAGTGAGCCAGTGAGACCCCCAGTCATGACACTTACCCTTTGCCGTGACCCCCGACAGACACTACCTGGAGGTTGAGGGACCCTCTCCCCCGGGCTGGGCGGCTCCCAGCCCACTGCCCCACCACCATCCCAGCGATCTCCAGTTTCCCGCCCTGGTGGGCAATCTGCTCCATACCTGGGGACAGATGGGATGGCAGAGAAAGAGGGGGGAGAGAGAGCAGCGCAAGTTTAACTACAATTCTCAACAACAATCACTGCCACAAATGCTAACAACTGCTTTAGATTTTTCTTCGAACTGTATCTGCCACCTGCCTGCCAGCTGCTCGCCAATCAGTGGCCTCCAGGGGTCCTTCCCATCAGCAAAGGAGGCCATCAAGTTAATAATAAAAATACTTACATTTGCTCCAGCACCTTTCATGTCAGGATGAAGTCCCAACATACTTCACAGGATATGCTGTAAATTGCAGTGACTGTGTGTTTTATGGGCAGAAGCCAATTTACGCACAGCAATGTCCCGCAAACAGCCATGAAATGAGTGACAAATACTATTTGGCGATTGTTGGTCAGGACCTCGGTATAGCGCCGCGGGCTCTTTAATGTTCACCTGAATGGGCAGACGGGGAGCTTGGTTTACGTCATCCGAAGGATGGGACCTCAGACAAGCGCAGCATTGGCGTGTCAGCTTAGACTGTGTGAGCTCCAAGTCCTGACGTGACAGATCGACACACAAGTTTAGTGGGAGAACAGGTCAAAGGTTTCTTACCAGCGAAACACCGGCCCCTGCCGTGAGGGGGTGGCACTGAGCCAACAGGCCGACTGTAAACTGGCATTGGGTAGAACGGCCCCATCATTGGAGGAGCGAAGGGGGGACGCAGCATGGAGGGCGGAGGCAGCGGGTGGCGGCTGAAATTCAGCCCCTCCAGGATACTCTGTCTCATCTTCTCCACCTTGGCAACCTGGTCAGCCTACAGCACAAACAGCGACCAGTCAGTGTCAATGCAGCTTAGCACATCGTTCAGGTGTCTCAAAGCGCTTCACAGGACTTACTGTGAAGTGTACTCCTGGGTTTTTTCTTGACAAACACAGCAGCCGATTTGTACATATTAGCCCTGAAGTGAGCAGGTGATTTTGCTTGGCTCGGACAACAACAACAAATGACTTTTGTATAGAACCTTTCACATTGGGAGGACATCCCAAAGACACTGGGAGACAAATTCCTCCTTCTCTTTGACTGATGTCACAGAGATCTTTAACGTCCACCTGCACAAGGGAGGGGTCTGTGGGATGGAGTTCCCGAAGAGGTGGGGCAGATAGGCTGACTGGCGAGGTGGGGCAGCCAGGATGGGAAACGTGAAGTAGGGAGGGATGGGGTCTGCAAGGTTTGAGACAGGTGGGCTGAGACCATGGAGGGATTTGATGCTGACATCACCAAGACAGCAGGGGAGCGAGCGAGAATCACACAGGCCAGGAGAGAAGCGAGTGACAGTCACACAGGGCAGGAGAGGAGTGAGCGAGTGTCACACAGGCCAGGAGAGGAGCGAGTGAGAGTCACACAGGCCAGGAGAGGAGCGAGTGAGAGTCACACAGGGCAGGACAGTGAGCAAACATACCTGACCATCACACAGCTCCAGTAGGGGAACCTTCTGCTGGGTGGCTCTCACCATCTTGCTGTGGAAGAGTTTCCCGTCAAAGTAGATCCAGGGGCAGCAGTGCTCCCAGGGTATGGGCTGTCCACAGGCATCGTTAGCAAACAGCGCTGTGTCCACTCCGCTCATAAACAGGGCAGCCAACTCTACACCCCGGGCATCCAGCTTGTCAATCTGTACAACGAGGAGAGAGAGAGAGACACAAGCCATTACAATGCTCTCTGTACAACGAGGGGAACAATCACAATCTTCTCTTTACAATAGGTGGGGGGATCGTCCCTACCTTTAGCTCCTGCAGGAGGTCGGGTTCGTACAGCTTGGAGGACACGGCCTGGGCCAGGAAGGCATCGAGCTCCTGTCGGTGCAGAATCCTCCCGCCCGGCCAATGCATCATATACCTGGAACAACAACAAACCCCCACGTTCACCACCAATACCACCAACGTCAGCACAAACCAGCCACACTCAGCATCAACAAATACAATCCCCCCCACACTCACCACCAGCCCAGGAAGCTTTCACCAACAATAACAAGCTCTGCACTTGATATAGCGCCTTATCAAATCCTTCAGACATCTCAAAGCGCTTCACAGGATATACTGTAAACAGAAGTGACTGTGTGTTTTACACACAGAGACATCCCAACAATTATTGTCGGCCAGGACACCGGGAGAGTGAAACACTAGCTTTTGTCGAATAGCGTCGGGAGTTTTAACCTGCACTAGGGGATGGGACATCTGAGCTGGAATCCGAACTGAAGGATGGCACCTTTGACAATGCAGAGCAGCCCACAGTCCTGCACTGGAGCGTCAGTCAGCACAGACGACATCAATTCCAAGTCCCGACGTGTGGGTGGGTGAAGGGGCTGGAACCCATCAGGCTGACAATGGTGCGGGGTAAACATTGCGCTTGCTGAGGGTTCTCTTGTTGTGAGTGTTGGTCACTCACCGCAGCACACAGCACAGCAGCAGTAGGTGGGTGGGGACATTGGCCGGGTTAAGCATGGCCGGGGTGTCCGACTTCAGACAGGCTAAGAAAGCCCTCATCCTCCTGTTCTTGTCCTCCACCGCCTTCCCCAGCCACAGCTTCCTCAGGTTGGGGCAGGTCCACTCACGGAAAATCAGCCCCGTCACCAGCTCGGGCGTCTGCGGAGACTTGCCTTTGTATGCTGCCCACTCTTTAATGATGACCGGAGGCACTGGAGCGAGCGAGCGAGAGAGAGAGAGAGAGGGAGAGAGGAGACAGAGAGAGACGCACACACGCAGATGAAAAGGAGCTGAGATTCACTGATTCAGGTTCCCTCCTTCCCGCATTAACAAATTGTCAGGAACTAATAACAAAGCTTCACCCACAAAACATAACAGTCACTAAACTATACAGTGGATCTTGTGAAGCGCTGCGAAAGGAGCTGTACGCAATGTCAATATTATAATCGTTATTACATTAGTACAATGCTGTCCAGATGTGATACCCTGCAGGGCGTGGGGCGGTGAGAGAGAGAGAGAGAGAGAGAGAGGGGGGAGTGGGGGAGAGAGAGAGAGAAACTGGGAGATATCCTTTGGATAAGTCATTAGCCAGAAGTACAGTCGGTCGGTGTCTGTTCAGGTGGATATTAATGATCCACAGTTTGAGAAATGAAGCAAGTTTCTCTCTCCTGGTTGGTGATCTGGTGATAGACGGAAACTCAGTCACTTCACGGATGTTTGTGGAACATGGCTGTGAAGCGATTTGAGGGGTTGACGATGTGAAAAGGCTCAAAATAATAATAATCCTTGCATTTCATGCAGCACCTTATCACATCTTCCAGACGTCTCAAAACGCTTCACAGGATATACTGTAAAGTGTAGTGACTGTATATTTTGTGGGCGAAACGCAGCAGCAAACTGTGTACAGCAGCGTCTTACACACAGTCGTGGATTGAGTGACCGAATAATTCATAATTTTTTTTGAATTATTATCCACGGAAACTGATCCGCCAATTGAGTAACAACCGGGTTCCTATCAAATGCAAGGATTATTATATCATTCAGAACAGACTACTTTGCTGTCATGTAACAGTCTCTCCCTGCCTCCTTCCCTCACTGCATTCACACACACACACACCACACACAGACACCCACACACAAGACACACAAGCACACGCACCCACGGGAGGCCCTCCCCCCACCCCACACACACACGATGACCGCACATACACACACACACCTCCCCTCCCCACACACACTGGATAGCCTCACACCACACACACACACACACAGACAGACTCCTATCCACACACATGTGGGATGACCTCACACATACACAGCCCCGATGAGCCGCTACCTTCCACAGGAATCCTCCTCCTCATGGCCAGCCTCTGGGCTCTCCTCTGTGTCTCTGACAAGCTGAAGAGAACCCCATACACGTACTGACGGGCTGAGCGGTACAACAGGGTGGCTGGAGGCAGCTCACTGTTAGCCTCGTCCTCGATACACACCGGCAGCTTGAGCTCCCCCTGCAGAAAGAGCATCAGAGACATGATGTCTGACCAGCACCCTTCAGCCCCTGCCTCCCCTTCCCCCAAACCCTCCCCTTTCCCCAAATCCTCCCCTTCCCCCAAACCCTCCCCTTCCCCCAAACCCTCCCCTTCCCTAAAGACTTTTACATTCATCACACTTACTGATCTCCTCCCACCAGAGCTTTCAGTGAGATATTCCTGCTCACTCTCTCCTCTGTTCTACCCTGTCACATGGGGCAAGTAAGGAAACTTGCGTAAGGTTTCGCCACGACCCACCCGGCTGGGAATCTAACCAAATGTGAGGCGAGCGCTCTAACAACCACTGTACTACAGGCGTGACGGGCTTGTACTTACTGTTGTCAGCACCTGGTAAATGTAGGGGTACATGAGGCCCTTCCTGTGCCTGTGATCAGCCACACGGAGCACCTCAGGGGCCACCTGAGGCAAGGGAGGGGTGGTGATGTCCATGTGGCTCCTGGTTTGCATGGAGAGTAGTGAGGGAATGTGAGCTGTGGGGCTAACAGGAGTCACACACCCAGTGGGCTTCCTAACCCCAGGCCTGGTATCGGGGAAGCCCTGCACCAAACCAAATACACGTCACAGGTTACTCTCCATCCCCATCGCACACATTACTTTAGCCCCACCCTAGGCACGCACACAGTAACTCCCCCCCCATCCCCGTACTCACACACAGTACCTCACCTCCCCAGGTACAAGCGCACACAGGTTACCCACTGTCCTAGGTACGCACACACAGTACCTCACACCCCAGGTATATCCACACCCATACACACACACACACACACACACACACAGTAGCTCACACCCCAGGTACACCCACACCCATACACATACACACGTACAGTACCTCAGGGTTGCCTCTTACTGTGCTCTCTCTGGCCCCCGTCACCTTGTGTGGAGGTTGTTGTTTGGGGATATGGCTGTGGAACGACAGAAGCCAAGAGTGATGGCGTGAACGATCACACTTTAGTTACTACAGGCACTCAATCAGGCCAGTCATTCACCTCCCTCTCGCTCCCTCCCTCGCTCTATCTTCCCCCTCCCTCACTCTCTCTTTCCTTCCCAAAGCAGTCCTCACCCACATCCCTACATGAACCTTCCAGGACGAGGGTGTGTGTCTGCTGATCAGGAGAGTTGTGTTGTGGGAGAATTCCCCCGTCTGTAACACAGGATCCAAAGCCACTGAGTAACTGAGCACAGAGCAGCGGAGGCAGCTGTGTGTCCTGTACCTGTACCAGACCCTGTCCTCAATCTCAGCCCAATGAGGGAGGCTGCTCTTTGCCCCCAGACCCTCAGTATCCAGTGAAGCTGGGACACACTTACTTGGTTGAGGTTCCCCCTCTATGTCTGTTCTCCTCCATGTCGGGAGAGGAGAGTGAGGAGTCCTTGGGAACCATGTGGTTGTTAATCTTGATGGAGGAGGAGACAGGGGTTCCAGACCAGCTGCTTAATGAGACGTGTTTCCCCACCTGCTGCAGGGGGCCGGGACCTTTCTGCCCGAGGGGTAACTTAGTGGCCTGGGGGTCGAAGGATGGCCCCTGGACTAGGTGGCTGTGAGAGGGAGAAAAGAAGAGGCCAGGATTGTGGCCAGGCGGGAAGGCTTGATACGGCAGCTTCTGCATCATGTGCTGGGGGAACTGTAACACAGAGGGAATTGGTATGAGCAGCAACTCAAGCGGTAATGTGTACGGTCGCCCACAAACACAGTCGCTACACTTAACACTATATTCCGGTGTTAAGTAACAATTCCCATATTGGTTATTTGCTCCGCAACGGTTTGTTGGACATTTCTGTGCACAAATAGGCTGCCATGTTCGCCCACAAAACACTCAGTCTTTACTGTGTATCCCGTGAATCGCTTTGGGACGTCCTCCCGACGTGAAAGACTTTATTAAACCAAATGAAAGGACTGGATTATTATGTGTACGTATTCTATTTGAAACCTTGGATATAATTGGTGACTATTGTAATTGATGTTCTGGGAGTCTGGGCTGAGGGAAATGAAGCGAGTGGAACAGTCTGACTCACCACGTGTTTTGGCTGAGAGACGCCTGGTATCTGGGCTCCAGCAAACGATGGCATTCCAAACTGACTGGGAGCGAAGCCCTGCACTGCAGATCACAACCACAATCTCAGTATATCATACATCAGTACACAGTGCAATACACACCTACACAGTTACACTGACACAGCACCGAGCCTCGCACACCATCCTGCCTGGGGGTGGGGGCTCGGGGCGGCACAGTGTACTGCTTGGCTGGCCGAGGTAATCCCGAGCTCTCACAGTCCAGTGTCACAGCTGTCATTACTCCCTGCCCAACACTGTCACAAACCACTGCTTCACGGAATCTCGTAAATCCTCCACGATCAATACTTACGTAGGAGTGGTGCTGGCCCGAGGGGGATGGATTGGGGTTTGCTGGCCATCGCGTAGTACTCCACAGCTCTCTTGAAACGATCAATTTTGTCCTGGGTCCTGGACTGGATTTCCAAAAAAATTACTTGATGAAAAAAAGCTGTGTGTGGCTCCCCTAAAGCCAGGCAGACATTAAAGATCCCTGAAAATGTTTCTCCTGGTGTCCTGGCAATAATCCTCCAGGTAAAATTGATCAAGCACTTCCCCACTGTGCACAAATTTACAGCAGGCAGACATGCTGTTCAGCCAACCAGTCCATGCTGTGTTTACTCCCCCCATCCCACCGGGTAATGGACTCCCCAACAAGTGGGAAGAGCCTATTAATCCATCCCTTCTGCAATACTGAACACCTCTATCGGGTCCCTGTTTAAAACCTATGGAATCAGTCATTCCTGTGAAACACTCTGAGACCTTTTGACAAAGTGATTAGGCGCTGTATCAGATATAAGGATTGAGAGGGGTGTTTGTTAAACTGTGAAAATTTACTGTAAATGATATAATAACACACTCTCCTTGTAGGAAGGCACCTGGCGAAGTCACTTGAAGGCCAAAGATGGTGTTTCTTTTTTGGGTTAGGTTTGGGGTCCTTTACAGTCCAGAACCAACAGTGTGACCTGTAACAGGCCAGCCTTCACTGTGATTGTCTGCAGGGTAAAGTAGTGCAGCGAAGTGCTCCAGGACACTACCCCGTGTGAAGGGCGCTGTATAAATGCAAGTTGTTGTTATTGTTGTTGAGTACACCCAGGGAGAGAGGGAGGGTGGGGAGAGAGGGAGGGTGGGGAGAGAGTGGAGGGTGGGGAGAGAGTGGAGGGTGGGGAGAGAGTGGAGGGTGGGGAGAGAGTGGAGGGTGGGGAGAGAGTGGAGGGTGGGGAGAGAGTGGAGGGTGGGGAGAGAGTGGAGGGGGGGAGAGAGTGGAGGGTGGGGAGAGAGTGGAGGGTGGGGAGAGAGTGGAGGGTGGGAAGAGAGTGGAGGGTGGGGAGAGAGTGGAGGGTGGGGCAGATAGAGATGAGGATGGGAGAGAGGAGGGTGGGGAGTCGGGAGAGAGAGTACAGACAGGGAGAGAGGCTGGAGTCTAACCTGAGAATGTTTGAAGACGTCCCTTGCCACCGTGTCCAGGTCACTGACATCAGGGATGTTGCTGACGTAGACAGCGACTGACTTAATAACCACGTCACAGGGCGGCAGCACTAACTGCTGAGCCCTGACCTGGAGACACGGAGAGAGTCACACACTGATAGTCACGCACAACAACAACAAAATGACATTTAGAGAGCGCCTTTCACGTCGGGAGGACGTCCCAAGGCGCTGGATAGTCAGGGGTCAGGACCCGAGCATGGGGGAGTGGTGGGGGGGGGATGAGGGAAGTCAGAGAGAGGGAAGGGCGACCGAGGGCACGATCGAAAAGAAGGGTCTTGAGACCGGCCTTGAAGGAGGCGAGGAAGGAAGCCAAGCGAAGGGACCGTGGGATGGAGTGTGGGGGCAGAGAGGCTGAAAGCTCGGCCACCGATGGTAGGGTGGGTCGGGCGGGAGACATGGAGCAGCCCGGAGCCCGCTGGACGGAGGGAGCGGGCAGGTTGTTAAGGAGTCAGCAGGTCAGAGAGGTAGGAGGGGGCAGGGCAAGGATTACTGTACTATTATGACACTGTCATAATATGGAGCCAGGGTCAGACTGTATGAGCGTGTGTGTGTGTGTGTGTGTGTGTGTCTGCGATGTGGTGTGTCTGAGAAAATCTCCCAACAAACCCCCCACCCCTCCCCATCCCCTCTGAAATCTGATATGGTTTTCCAGGCTTTACCTTGAGAGATGCCAGAGGATGGTCTGGGCCAAGGAGGCTCCAATGGAAAGCCGCCAAATCTTCATCTGGGAGAATGTGGTTGCCTGGAAAAATCAGAGGCTTAGGAGGAACAGTGTGAGCGGAGCATTCCCGAGCACAGTGTGTCAGGGGTCAGGCATTGAGACGAGCTGCCCTGACCCTTGGGACTCCATCCCGGAGTCTCCTTGCTCGCCCATTCAAATTCTGTCTCCGGAGCTTCCTCCACAAACAGGAGATCTGCCCTGATCAGACTGTACAGCACAGAAGCAGGTTACTACACAGTCAGCAGTTCTATATCAACTGAACACAACTCTTCTCCCTACCCTACCCCACAGTGACACAGAACTGTACCCCCTACCCTACCCCACTACACATTGGCTGTACGTTTCTTGTGGGTCCCTCGATACCTACCCAACAGAGCTGCAAAGATGCTGAAGTAGGCAGGGTTGACGTTCAGCTGTTTGGCCACTTCCTGCATCAGGAACTGGTTTGTGGTGAGGCTTTTCCCATTCCAGCTGAGCTTCAGCGCATGCGCGCTGAGGTAACATTGCACGTTACACAGGGCATACTCCGAATCATAGGCGATCAGCCCGTGGAAGCCATTCTCCCGGTAGAAGGACAGCACTTCCTGGTGATGATCTTCAGTGCTCTGAATCACCTGCAAACAGAAGACCAGACTGGATTTACCTCAGCCAAGCAGTCTCACACCCATCACAATCCAGCATAGCCCATCCTTACACAGAGGCCATCCTCACAAAGACGAGCACAATCCATCCTCACAGAGAAGCCATCCTCACAGAGAGAGATCAAGAGAGAGCGTCTCTATCATATCCACAGCATCAGAATAATTACATTGTTGTAGGCAACCGTCACTAACAATTTGCACAAGAGGTGAAAGACCAATTTTACTGTGCGATCATTTACCACGACACAACTGGAAGGTTGGAGCCGCCCAGTGGTGGAAGCCCAGTCCATGCTGACACTACACTGCAGTGGAGGGGGGGGTTCATTGTCAGAGGTGCCATCCTTCGTATGAGATGTTAAAGGAGGCCCTTCGGGTTCATGAGATTTGTTCGTGCACATGTCGTGTCCCAAGATATTATTTACCAACAGAAATTGATTAATTATTCTTAAATGAATCTCTCCTGGAGATGACAGGACATTACTGAACACTGCAGTGTCCTCACCAGGACGCAGTAAGCAAGGCGAGGGGACGACCGACAGTGTGTGAAAAGGATCACAGCGAATGGGAGGTTCAGACATCTGCCAAGTTCATCAATTGCCCGTTGTGCAGAGAGACACAAAGAGAACAGCTGTGTACTGGCTCCAGGAGTGGAGACTGAAGCTGAGAACTGTTATATATATATATAAAATCAACAACGGAAGACAACTCAGATGTGTCGGGTGAGGATGAAAATGTAACACAGAAGAAATATCAGTTCCAATTGCTCCAATATGGTGGCCTGGCTTTAAACACACTGCAAACGGTGGAGATGGGAGAAGGACAAGACAGGTTGGGGAGGAACTAGGGAGGGTGGAGCTGGGGGAAGAGCCAGGAGAAGGGAAGAGCAGGGGAGGAGCTGGAGTTGAGGGAGGAGCTGGGGGCATGGGGAGGAGCCACCAGAAAGGGAGGAGCTGGGGGAGGGACAAGGAGCCATGGAGGGAGGAGCTGGGGAGGAGCCTGGGAGGAGGAACCTGGAGGAAGGAGGAGCTGGGGGAGGAGCCTGGGAGGGGGAGGAGCCTGGGTGGAGTCAGGGGAGAGGAGCCCAGGAGGGGGCAGGAGGAGCCTGGGAAGAGGGAGGAGTCAGGGGGAGGAGCCTGGGAGGGAGGAGTCAGGGGGAGCCTGGGTGGGGGAGGAGTCAGGGGGAGGAGCCTGTGAGGAGGGAGGAGTCAGGTAGGAGGGAGGAGTCAGGGGGAGGAGCCTGTGAGGGGGAGGAGTCAGGGAGGGGGAAGGAGTCAGGGGGAGAAGCCTGAGGGGGGAGGAGTCAGGGGAGGAGCCTGTGAGGGGGAGCCTGTGAGGGGGAGGAGTCATGGAGGGGGAGGAGCCTGTGAGGGGAGGAGCTTGTGAGGGGGAGTGGTCAGGGGGAGGAGTCTGTGAGGGGGAGGAGTCATGGAGGGGGAGGAGCCTGTGAGGGGGAGGGGTCAGGGGGAGGAGCCTGTGAGGGGGGAGGGGTCAGGGGGAGGAGTCAGGGAGGGGGAGGAACCTGTGAGGGGGAGGGGTCAGGGGAGGAGCCTGTGAGGGGGGAGGGGTCAGGGGGAGGGGCCTGTGAGGGGGGAGGGGCCCTGCAGTTTCTTGCACAACATCTCAAAGGGTTTTAGTTATTTCTGTCAGGTACAATGATGGCCGTTCTGGTCGCCTCTCTGTGAGATCCCAAACACAAAGCCCGGACACCGGGTCCATTTGTCTCAACCAAAGGACAGCGCCTCTGTCACTCAGCACTTTGTTGGATTGATCAACAGCAGCAGTGGTGGGGGTGGGGGGGAGTGGAGGTGGTGGGGGAGGGGGGGAGTGGGGGGGGAGGGGGGTGGTGGGGGAGGGGGGGAGTGGGGGGGATGGGGGTGGTGGGGGAGGGGGGGGTTGGGGTGGTGGGGGAGGGGGCGGTTGGGGTGGTAGGGGGTGTGGTGGGGGTGGTGGGGGGGATTGGGGGTCAGGTTGGTGGGGGGGGTGGGGGGTGTGGAGGTGGTGGAGGAGGGGGGGTTGGGTGGTGGGGGGAGTGGGGGGGGATGGGGGTGGTGGGGGGGATGGGGTGGTGGGGGGGATGGGGGTGGTGGGGTGGGGGGGTGGTGGGGGGGAGTGGGATGGGGGTGTGGGGGGGATGGGGGTGGGGGGGGAGGGGTGATGGGGGGTGGGGGTGGTGGAGGCGGTGGGGGAGGGGTTTGGGGTGGTGGGGGTCAGGTTGGTGGGGGGGTGGGGGGGTGTGGAGGTGGTGGGGGAGGGGGGAGTGGGGGGGGGGTGGTGGGGGAGGGGGGGGTTGGGGTGGTGGGGGTCAGGTTGGTGGGGGGGGGGTGTGGGTGCTTTTTCAGTCCGGTTACAGAAGGTTTGAAGGTGGATGTTAATAAACAAATGTGTAGAATATGAATAAGGCTTTAGCTGCAGCAGAATGCACAGTTCTGTGATATCGGACATGGAATTTTGTCAGTTACTACAGTTACTACGCTTTTTTACGTAAAACAAAGATGGCGTAGCGTCAGCAAAGTGCCAGTTAATAGTAACTGTTAATTTTGGGTCAAAATCTGCTCTGATTTGATCAGATATACCCTTTACTATTGTACTAAACAACTGATCTATAATTCATATGATGGTGACATCATCGCGGGTCACAGAAACATCAAAATCCAGTATATTGCAATTTTATTATGAACATAATCAATAACATAAACAGTTAACTGTATTCACCAACAGTAACAATAATACTTGTTTGTTAGATGTAAGTGGAGTCCTGTACCTCAGTGGTTAGAGCACTCGCTTTGCGAGCGAGAGACCTGGGGTTCGATTCCCGGCAGAGGGCCAAACCTCGGGCAAGTTTCCTCACTCCACACACAGCCCTAATAATAAACCCTCCAAAACAGTAATAAATTGGTCATTTTCAATCCACGACTGTGTGGGACAGACGCCGCTGTGCGCAATTGGCCGCCGCGTTTCACCCACAAATATAACAGTCACTACACTTTACAGTCTATTCTGTGAAGCGCTTTGAGACGTCGAGAAGACGTGAAAAGCGCTGTATCAAATGCCAGGATTGTTATTATTATAAGATAGAGGTTAGATATAACAGCTAAACCCCAAAGTAATGCATCTTCATTCATTGTCAGAATCGGATCATCATCATAAAGAGAAACTCTGCCGTTTTCATCATCATGAAATAATGTGCCAATAATTGCAGCAGATGTCCTGCGGGATTTGTTGACCTTCAAACCAATTGATCACATGTTCACCATCCATGTTGGCACGGATCAAGCAGATCTGGAATGTAAGTCTGGTTTCTTCCACACAGGTTTATTTGGATTTGTTGGAGCTACTTTTACCTGAGAATAGCGTATCACACTTCCTCAATGTTTCCAAGCTGAGGCTTGCCACACAGAGCACAAACAATCTCCTCAAACATTTCTGTAGCTGATCAAAATTTTCTGATAATCCAAGATTTCCATAAACTTCAAAGGTTTGCCCGTTTTCAACCAGCTCCAGCGGATGAACCTTTCTCTCTCAGATGAAGGTAAATGTGTAAATCATATCCAGTGAATGAGTGTGAAGCTGGCAGTGCGAGGCTCGATTCTGATCAAGATGTTTAGCCAGTGATGTGACATCTATGTAATGTCTTGTTCCTCTCGTATCCATTTGATTGTTCACGTGGAACAGCAGTGCAACCAAAACATCAGCCTCATAACAGCCCACAACTATAGTTTGTATAGGATCCTGGAATATCCTGACCAAATGCAGCATTCCCAGGTATTAGAGATGCCATAGAGGATCTCGCGCTTTGCTCGAGTGTGAGATCAACTGGATTTCTGGCAAAGAAATAGTTTGTGCGCCTGATATTCAGCACCTTGGGATGTCCTCCTGATATGAAAGGTGCTATACAAATGTCAGCTAAAGCTCCACTATCCAAAGCGATCTCTTACTCCTGGATGTGTTGTCCATATTAAACAACTTGAGGTGGTACAATGCCATCCATCTTGCTTAATTTGGACAACTGGTGGCAAAGAATAATGTGCACATCTTGCCCAGACAACATATACATAGATCAGGGTGTGGGTACAGAAGATTTTGCTGAATAACAGAAACATTTCAACCACATCATTGTAAAGGATCCAGAACAACACTGTCTTCTCTCCACGATCTCCTTTTCTCGGTCGCTGGTGTAGATCTCATACTGTTGAGAAAGTCTTCATATTCTTTCATCAATTCAAACGTTTCCGTTGTTTGTGGGTTAAAGATGTCGTGTAGCTGAGATGAGCTAAATTCAAAGAGTGTGTGGCTGCCGTCTTCTTGTTAGAAGTTTGGGAAGTGCAAGTGCTGAAATGCCAAAGTCAGCAGTGGCCGGGAGTGCAACAGCGACTCCAATGATTTCCTGAGATGAATCCATTTAGTGACCAACAGCCATTACCTCTGAACCTCCAGTGCCCTCATGTGCATCAGTATATGAACTCTGTGTCTGTATCTGTGCTGTAGCTACATAGGTTATGTATGTGATGATTGAAATAAAATGTAGAAATTATAGATGATTCTGTACCCCCTATCGATCCACAGATTCTGCAAATTCATATTCTACACACCTCGCTTGTATTATTGGGTTAGTGTGGGGGGGGGTTGGGGGTCACTGTGGGGGTTAGCGTGTGGGGGGGGTAGTGGGGGTGTGGGGGCACTGTGGGGGTGGAGGGGGTGTGGGGGGGCACTGTGGGGGTGGAGGGGGTGTGGGGGGGGCACTGTGGGGGTGGAGGGGGTGTGGGGGGGCACTGTGGGGGTGGAGGGGGTGTGGGGGGGCACTGTGGGGGTGGAGGGGGTGTGACTGTCGGGGTGTGGGGGGGCACTGTGGGGGTGTGGGGGGTGCGGGGGGGGGGCACTGTGGGGGTGGAGGGGGTGTGGGGGGCACTGTGGGGGTGGAGGGGGGTGGGGGGGCACTGTGGGGGTGTGGGGGGGTTACTGCGGGGGTGGAGGGGGTGCAGGGGGGGGGCACTGTGGGGGTGGGGGGGCACTGTGGGGGTTGAGGGGGTGTGACTGTCGGGGTGTGGGGGGGCACTGTGGGGTGGAGGGGGTGTGGGGGGGCACTGTGGGGGTGGAGGGGGTTTGGGGGGGGGGGGACACGGCTGTCTCGGGGCCGCACACACAGTGGGCAGACTGGACCGGACTGGACCGGACTGACTGACTTACCTGCACACGGAAGCGGAGCAGCGCGAGCCTGAGACAGGCCGCCAGCCCGGGCGGGGGCAGGAACCAGACCTTGGGCGGGGGGGTGCCTTTGCTGTGGATGTGGTTGACGATCAGTTGGCTGCTCTGGCGCTGCTGGAGCTGCCGTTTGCCCCAGTCGGGGAGGCGGCTCTTGGCTAAGGCGCCATTGAAGGCCACGACCAGTTGGACGCCGCCGGCCGCACAGGCCTGAGACAGCGCGGCCACGAAGCCGAGCATCTGGTTCCACTGACCGCCGCTCACCCAGTCCGTGAAGTAGCCGCCGTACAGCCGGTGGAGGCCGCTCTCGGCGTCCAGCAACAGGCGGAGCGGCGGCGGCGGGAAAGGCCCCGAGCCGGGGCCTCGCGTACCCCCCGCCGCCCGGTGCCGCGCCGCCCGAGCCCGGGCCAGTTTCTGCAGCTCCACCGGCACCACCGCCGCCGAGCAGTGGCGCTCAATAAACTCCTGGAAGCCCTGAACCCCCATCAGCGGCTCACACACTGCACAATAAATACTGCCGTCTGACAGCGCGCAAACCGCTCCTCACCCCCTCCTCACTCCGCCTCCTCACTCCTCCCCTCAATCTCCTCACCCCCTCCCTCCCTCCCCCCCTCTCTCTCTCCTCACTCACTCTCTCCTTTTCTTCATTCACTCCCTCTCTCCTTACTCTCACTCCCGTTTTCCTCTCTCTCGCTCACTCCCTCCTTTCCCCCTCTTCTTTTCCTCACTCACTCCCTCTTCTTTTCCTCACTCACTCGCTCCTTCTCTCTCAACACAATTATAAAAATAATAAAATCTTCGTGTGTGGATGTCAACCCCTCTCTCTCTCCCTCTCTCTCTCTCTCCCTCTCTCTCTCTCTCCCCCGAACGGTCGAAACCGTTTTTTTTAAAACAAAAACCGTTGGTGCGCGAAAGAAAAATTTCGACCGTTAAAATCACCGACCGTTACGATTCAAACCGTCCGGACCGTTCCGTTACAGCTCCAGCGCGTGGTCCGGGGTGGGGGGGGGGGGCGGAAAACCGTTAAAAAGTTTGAAATTCTCGTGGGGGGGCGGGAAAAAAAATCCGTTAAAAATTTTTTTTTTTTTTTTTGGGGGGGGGGGAGGGAGGGTTTAATCCGTCCACCGTTAGACCCCCGTTTTTTTGTGTGTGTGTGTGGGGGGATATTTTTTGTCGGGTTTGTAGCCTCTCTCTCCTTACCCCCCACCCCCTCGCTCTCTCTCTCTCCTGTTCACATTTATATTATATTATATACCCTGCACTGGGCGGTTATTGTTGTTATTTCTTCTCCCCCTTCCCCTCCCTCACTAACTCCACCCCCCCCCTCCTCCCCGCCCGCCCGCCCGGTTAGCCACGCGCCTCTACCATGTCTTCTTCCCCGGACGCCCGGAACCGTGACTAACCACCGGCCGCCCGCGGACCCGCCATTTTATACCCGCCCCGCTGCCCCCCCCCCCCCGGGAGCTGTAGTCCGCCGCCATTCAAACCCAAACCTGAGCCGCCAGGATGGGAGGGGAGAGAACTACAAATCCCGGCGCCCACCGCGGGGCTGGTGGTGGGACGCTCGAAGCATGACGGGTGATGTGGCGAGTACTTCCGGCACCGCGGGGTGGTTGCGCGGGAAACAACTTCATGTCCCAGGATGAACGGCGCCAGCCGCTCGCTGCACGAGCGGAGACTACATTTCCCAGGGTTCCCAGAGCGGGCCGCGCCTGCGCACTAAGCACGTGGTGGTGCGGGGGGGGGGGGGGCTCCTGTAGTGTTGTGGTTGGAGGCTGAGGGTCGCCAAGCGAGAGGACCCGGGTTCAATTCCCGGGCGGGTCAGGGCGAAACTTTAGCCAAGTTCCCTTACCCCACATGCACGCGCCCGTGTTCCCCAGCAGTCAGCGGGAACCTGCTTGTTAGTCGATTGGGGGATCGCTTTCCGGGGCTAATAATCCATTCAAAACAATAATAATAATAACAATACAGTACCAAATTGTAAAGCGCCTTTCACATCGGGAGGACTTCCCGAGGCGTTGAACAGTCAGGGATTAGTGGAGGGGGGGGGGGTGGGGGATGGCATCGGGGAGCGGGGAGGGTGGGGCTAAGGTTGGCCGAAGACGCGGTCGAAGAGGAGGGTCTTGAGACGTGCCTTGAAGGAGGCAAGGGAGGGAGTGAGGCGAGGGGAATGTGGGATGGAGTTCCGGAGAGTGGAGGCAGAGAGGCAGAAGGCCCGACCGAGTTGGGAAGGCCAACAAGCAGACCGTTGACATAGTCGAGCCTGGTTGTAATGAAGGTACGTAAGAGGGTTTCAGCGGCCTGAGGGGTGGCGGAGTTGGGCAATGTTGCAGAGGTGGATAAGGCAAAGCGGTTCATGACACGGAGGTGGGGGAGAAATGAGACGCCGAGGTTCTTGACTGGCAAATAATTTGGTTACTCAACCCATGACTGTTTGTGGGCAATTAATTGACTGCCGCGTTTCACCCACAAAATACTCATAGTCAGTTCACTTTACTTTGTATCCCGTGAAGTGCGTTGAGGCATCTCAAAGCCATTAGTTATACGGCGCAGTGTCGAACGCAAGGATTATTATTGCATCAAACCGCAAGGTTTATCATTACTGTCTGATGTCATCCAATCCCACAACACCTCAGTGCCAATCTGGTGGCTTCATAAACCAAAGACACAACCCGTTGATGTCACAATCTCCTGACATCACAACCACGTGCTGACTGTCCGTGTGTGTTGTGCACCCACCGTGCAACAACAACAACAACAAGATCGCATTTGCATCGCGCCTTTCGCGTCGGGAGGACGTTCCCAAGGCGCTGGGCAGAGTGCAGCATTTCAGACCCGAGCTGTGGAGCCCTGGAGTGAGCGACGGGTGAGGGGGAAGAGTCTGTATGACAGGTTTGGATGGTCTGTCTGCAGAGTGGCCTCGGATTTCCTGGGCACGAGCGTCAGCCGGGGATTTGAGGTTGTAGGGTTGGCAGCGCTTCGGTTATTACGCCCCTGAATCTCTGTTACCTGCCGCCTCGGTCCCTCCGGACTTGCCCCTCTTCGAATCACACCCGTGGAGCGATTCGGGACGCGCCGACGGCGTTGGCCGGGCTCGATATCGAATGCGAGGATTATTATTATTATTATGTTACAATAATTTGTTCGCGCCGTCCCGGGACGTGGTGTGCGTTGTTGAGTGAAGAGAGAGAATATCGAAGGGAAGAAAAAATATACAGGAAAGGAGAGGGAGAGTAGACCTGTGTATAATCCATGAAACAAGGATTATTATACAACAACAACAACATTACATTTGTATCTTCTGGAGACAGAGAGTGTGTGTGTGTATGTGTGTTCTGGGCGCGCAGGCGCAGTGAGTTCTAGAAGCGCGCAGGCGCAGTGATTTACAGTGAGTGGGGGGCGCGCAGGCGCAGTGAGTTACAGTGCGAGCGGAGGCGCGCAGGCGCAGTGAGTTATAGGAGCGCGCAGGCGCAGTGAGTTACAGTGAGAGACGCGTCAGTCGAGTTCGAGCGGCGGTTGTTGTGGCGCTTCTGGTTCTCAACCGTCATTTCATCCTCTCTCCCTCTCTCCATCCCTCACTGATACCTTCCCCCTCTCCCTCTCTCCATCCCTCACTGATACCTTCCCTCTCTCCCTCTCTCTCTCCATCCCTCACTGATACCTTCCCCCTCTCTCCATCCCTCACTGATACCTTCCCCCTCTCTCTCTCTCTCCATCCCTCACTGATACCTTCCCCCTCTCTCTCCATCCCTCACTGATACCTTCCCCCTCTCTCTCTCTCTCCATCCCTCACTGATACCTTCCCCCTCTCTCTCTCTCTCCATCCCTCACTGATACCTTCCCTCTCTCCCTCTCTCTCTCCATCCCTCACTGATACCTTCCCCCTCTCTCCATCCCTCACTGATACCTTCCCCCTCTCTCCATCCCTCACTGATACCTTCCCCCTCTCCCCCTCTCTCTCCATCCCTCACTGATACCTTCCCCCTCTCTCTCCATCCCTCACTGATACCTTCCCCCTCTCTCTCTCTCTCCATCCCTCACTGATACCTTCCCCCTCTCTCTCTCTCTCCATCCCTCACTGATACCTTCCCCCTCTCCCTCTCTCTCTCCATCCCTCACTGATACCTTCCCCCTCTCCCCCTCTCTCTCCATCCCTCACTGATACCTTCCCCCTCTCCCTCTCTCTCCCTCACTGATACCTTCCCCCTCTCTCTCCATCCCTCACTGATACCTTCCCCCTCTCCCTCTCTCTCCCTCACTGATACCTTCCCTCTCTCCCCCTCTCCATCCCTCACTGATACCTTCCCCCTCTCCCCCTCTCTCTCTCTCTCTCTCCCTCACTGATACCTTCCCCCTCTCTCTCTCCCTCTCTCTCTCTCTCTCCCTCACTGATACCTTCCCCCTCTCTCTCTCTCTCTCCCTCACTGATACCTTCCCTTTTCCTATCTTTCTCCCTCATTGTGTACTTTCCCCCTCTCTCTCCCTCAGCATTTTATCTCTGTATTTTTCTCTTTAATATATATCTTATCTCCTTATATTATCTTTCCTTTATGTTTTTTTTCTCTCTGCACTTTATGTACTTTTTCCTTTTTTAAAAATACATTTTTTCTCTCTTAAAATATACCGTCTTTCTCTTCTTCAATATATATTTTATCTCTTTAATGTATATATTATCTCTCCTTTAATCTATAGTGATTCCTGCTCTCCTTTAATATATAATCTTTCTCTCTATGTGTGTGTGTATATATATATAGATTTATGTTTTCTTTAAATGAATCACTTTGTTTTCTGACGAGGAGGAGAGATTGTTATTTTTTCTATATGTATTTAAGATTTTAATATCCTTTATACATTTTATATTATAAATATATATCTATATATAATACACCAATTTTCTCCTCGAAGAGAATTTTTTTTAACCTCCTTTGCATTCTTCCCTCTTTCTTCCTCTTCCTTCTCCGCCTTTCCTCCTGTCCCTTTTCCCCCTCTTCCGTCTCTCCTTTTTTTCTTGCAGAGACTCCCCACCGCCCCGAAACGTTTCTTATTATGATTTGACATAAAAACAAATCGCTTCGGCTTTTTAAAAAAATAATACATACTTCTTTCCTCCTCCTCTCCTCGTCTCCCTTTTTCATCCCTCCTCTCCCTTCATCATCGAGTTTTCCCTCTTCTCCTCCCGGACCACAAGTTATGTCATCCTCTCTTTCGACTTGGAGCGTTTCTGGGGATCGTTTTGCTTCGCTGCCCACTTTTTATTGAGGGCCGGTTTGCTCCGTTGCTGCGCAATCTCAGTTCTCTTCCTCGCGGTGGCACCGCGCGTGTCTTCACCGCGCGTGAACGTCTTGGTGCCTCACTCGGTGAGGGAGAGGCGGCAGAGCCTGTGTATTTGGGGAAGAGGAAGAGGAAGAGTTTGCGTATACCCTTGAGTAAACCCGGGGAGGGAAACTGCGTCGGCCTCGTGTGTGTATGTGCGCGTGTGTTTGGGGAGTTGGGGGTCTGTGTCTGTCCTTGGGTACCTTTAGGGAAGGGAGGGAGAGAGTTGCGTTGGGTGTATTTGGGGCTCAGGGTCTGTGAACCGCGGTGGGAGAGAACGTGCGCGAGCGCGTAACCGTGCGTACTCGAGGAGGGGCTGAGGGTTTGTTGTGTACGGTATTTCGGGAGGGGGGGGTACAGGTCTCGCTGTACTTGCCCTTTTGTACGTTCGGGGACGAGAGATTTCTTCCGAAATTTCTTAGGTTTCGGCGGAGGGAGAATATTTGAGGGTCTTTCCATTTTAAGTATAACACGGGAGAGAGACCGACTGGTTTAGATTGTGCAGTTATAACAGTACTAAACTCTGAACAGACTTTGCCCTAAGCAAACCCCCCCCTTCTTTTCCCCCCCCCCCCAAAAAAAGAAGTCAAGCCACCCCGATAATTACAGTACTCGGTGCAGAAACAACAACAAAATTGCGTTTATAGAGCGCCTTTCGCGTCGGGAGGACGTCCCAAAGTGCACATGATAGGATGGACCTGTCCCAGTGGTCCTGGACTTGGTTGAGAAAGGCCCCAACCGTCTCCCTTCAGTTGCTGTCCCTCGTGAGTATGGCACTATGACTGTACGTTGTCTTTAAGTCTTTGTATTGGGAGGGAATTTGGTTGGGATGCGGTCAGATTTGTTCCTATTGCCTCGGAGAGACGTTCAGACCGGCGGAATCCGACCCCCAAACCCAAATGACATCCGGGTATTATTTGGAAAAAAAGGATGAATGATACCACCCCATATTCTTTCAAATGAATGGCGCTCCCTTTAGGTTTGCACACTCGTGTACGGGTGTGTGTCTTGTGTCCAGAACAGTCCTGTGTGCCTGTATCCTGTGCCTATCTGGTGTGTGTGTGTGTGTATCCTGTGCGTATCTGGTGTGTGTGTGTGTGTGTGTATCCTGTGCCTATCTGGTGTGTGTGTGTGTGTATCCTGTGCCTATCTGGTGTGTGTGTAGTGCCTGTATTTAAACCGCAGTACCCTCTGCTCCTGTTGTAGTGCGCAGCCTTGTCGTAAGTATGAGATCTCGCTTGTTTTTTGCTGTTTCTTAAAAAAAAAAGTTTTTGCACTTCTTGTAAAGGATGTGGCTTTTAACTTGCTGAGCTGGTCTTCAGTTTGGTACGAGTGTGAGTGTGTGTTGGGCGCTGCCGGCCGGGACTGCGCTGCCTTTCAGTTTTTGAGAAAGGATAACTTAATCTAAAGCCGAGGCGGCTATTTTTTTCTCCCCCCAAGGTAAGCGACTTCGTGGAAATCGGGGCAGCGCTCGCCCTCTGCATTTGTTTTAACTTAAAACAAAAGCAAGTTGATGTGGAAAACTGCGTCAGAATTGGTGGAGCTTTCCCCACCCCCCAAGTTCTTTTTAAAGTCGCCTCCAGCGGCACGTTCTGTGTCCACTTTAAGCCGGGAATGTGTGAACGGGTAATTAGACATGATTGTGAGCGCCCCTTTGCCAACCTCCGTAAATGTTTATGCAGCGGAGCTTCTTGAGATGGCCGTTGACTGAGCTGTACCCATGTGAGATTGATTGTATTACAGCGAGTGCTTGTGTGGCGCCTTTCACCTCGCATTTCCTCTCTGCGTTCGCAGGGATGATGTGGCTTTGATCAAAGATGTGCTATTTTTTCCTTTAAGAGTTCTGACGGCAGTGGGGGAGATGTCGCAAGACGTATGGATGTCAGTTGCAGTGAGAGTTATAATCATCCTGGCGTGTGACGCAGCGCCTTAAAGCGTCATTGAGACGTCTCAAAGCGCTTCACGGGGATATATTGTAAAGTGTAGTGACTGTGCATTTTTGCGGACAAACGTTACAGGCGATTGTCGCAACAGCAATGTCCCACAGCCGGAGAAGGGAGGGAGGGTCACGGCAGAAGGCTGGACCGCTGATGGGAGACACCTGAGGATAGGAGCAGTGGACTAGAATAGAGAGTGGCATCGAGACAGCCGGCCTGGGGGAGGCTGCGGAGGTCGAGAGGGGAGTGAACAAGCCGTGGATATTGAAGTTGATGCCTTTTTTAAAAGCCTAAAAACCTTCCGTTTCTACCAACAGTCCCAAATACGTGTTTCGGTCGCCCATTCCCCAACGAAAGGGACCAGTATTTCCTCCACCCGGACAGTATATTAACGCTTCTGTCATGTCCCCTCTTCATCTGGTCTGCTCCAGTTGACTTCTGCCCTCTGACTGTTTCTTCATTCATTTGAAGAAGTTGGTGTATATTTTAATTCCCTTACAATTAAACTGCTCATTAATGCCTCCCATCCGGCTCTGACTGGAGGAGACGATAATCTGCATATTCACTGTTGAACCTCACATGACCTGTCATTAGTGTTATCTATAATAATCCTTACATTTCATACCGTGCCGTATCGCAACGTCAAGACGTCTCAAAGCGCTTCACAAGATTTGCTGTTAACTGTTTTGGTTTTACTTACAGAGGATTTGGTGTCCTGTGGCTGCCGTGTGTTGGATTACAAACTGAAGTGGGGAGTTCCCTCTACCGTGTCTCGAAACAAGTGGCCATTTTGTCCATGGATTCCTGCGCAAGTGCTGAGGAGCAGTCTGCACACGATGTCCTAGATTAAACATTAAATGCATCAACTGTGAAAGCATTTCAGTCTGAGAACGAGGACATTCCCAAACCCCTCACCGTGCGTCTGGCCAAATACAAACCGTTGGGGAATGACCACAGAACCGGGAGAGCCGGCCGGCACAGGCCCCTCCAGAGACGTCAATACCAGCCAGAGCTCGAGCTCCAGCAGCAGCAGCAGCAGCAGCAGTGCGTCTATATCGGGGCTGTGCAGAGCAGGGAGGAGTGGGAGCGAGAGCAGTCAGGGCAGCAACAGCAATAGCCCCTCGTCACTGAGCCCACACAAGGGCAGCTCCTCACAGAACCATCTCTATCTGAGGAGCAGCCTGGAGATCGCTGCGGGGGAGCAGGAGGCAGCCCCAGCCTGTGCCCAGCCCGGCAGGACTGAGCCAGCTCCCAAAGGACCCAGCGAGGGATCCAGAGACACACTGCGAGAGAAGACGGACAAGGAGAACGAGGAGGAGGCGGAGATGAAGGCCGTGGCCACCTCGCCCGGGGGCAGGTTCCTGAAGTTCGACATCGAGCTGGGGAGGGGAGCCTTTAAGACGGTTTACAAGGGGCTGGATACGGAGACCTGGGTGGAAGTGGCTTGGTGCGAACTACAGGTAAACACACTGTGTTTTGTAATGTGTGCGTTTGGAGCTTTCAAGTGCTGAGGAGCAAAGCGCGGACCAAACAAAGGTCACAGCTCTTCAAAGGCAGAAAGGGTGCAGTTCCCTTGGCACACATTGCTTGGCTTAACCTCTTCTAGTCAGTGGCTCGAGGGAGAGAGAGGCACTGGGGTTTTCACCACAAGAAAGCAGCCATGCATTGGTGAATGTCCATTTTAACTGGACCCCTACCCTGCACTACCCTGCACCCCGGAAGCCTTTTATTGCTCCTCCTCTCCACACAAGGCACAGCTGGTCAAGCTCTCACCTCTCGGGTTCAAGCCCACACCTCTGGGACTTTGAAGCCCCTCCAATGCACTCCTTGCTTCCCTCACCTCAGTTGAAATCCGTCTCAAGATCTACCTCTTTGACCGACCGCACTTTCGGTTATTTTTTTCCCTCCCCAAACCCAGCTCGGTCGCCAGGGCAGAGCTGCCACGAGCCTTGGGACGTCCTCCCGATGTGAAAGGTGCTTTGAGTGCAGATTGCTTGGGTGCTGGAGGATAACCAGCGGGTGTCGAGCGAGGATCCGATGCTGATCACAATCAACAGAAAGTGTCGACAGCAGGAAAATCGCCAATGTTGCAAATGCTGCCTTTATTTTGATCTTTCATTCTCGTGCTCGTGTTTGTACAAAACATCTCCTGATGCACAGCTAATCCGGTTAATACCCGGCACATTCTCTCTGTCGCTCTTCTCTTTCTGACACAGAAATGCCTGAGCCATTTCAATGTGGTAAGGTGCTGCGTGAAGCCTGGCTCAGCGGGTAGCATTCTCACCACTGAGTCAGAAGATTGTGGGTTCAACCCCCACGTCAGGCACTTTGAGAAAGGGCGGGGAAATGGGGCTGAAAGGAGCAACACAGAAACGATGGGCTGAATGGCCTCCTTCTGTGCTGTAAGTTTCGATGGGTCTCTGAACACCAAATCCCCAAGTGGTTTTAAATGCTCCTCTGTAGCCTGTGTTTGAGGAACTAACATAAAGGAGAGAACTTGCACGTTTATAGCATCTGTGAAGTGGAACCATCTCAAAGGCTGCCTCACTGTCAAATATAGTTAATATTAATCCTTGCATTTGGTACAGTACCTCTCACATGGGGAGGACATAATAATAATAATAATCATGATGATGGTTGCTGGGTGGAAACATTGCTGGGTGCATGTTCCAAACCCCTGAAAGCCTCTTGTTTCCCCGTTGTTTACAGGACAGGAAGCTGACCAAAGCCGAGCAGCAAAGGTTTAAGGAGGAGGCGGAGATGCTGAAGGGGCTGCAGCACCCCAACATTGTGCGTTTCTATGACTCCTGGGAATCGACGCTGAGAGGCAAGAAGTGCATTGTCCTCGTCACTGAGCTCATGACGTCGGGAACCCTCAAGACGTAAGTCACCCAGCAGCCACCGGCCTGGCTTTGCACAGCAGCCGTCACTCACGGGGTGGGGCACAGAGCTCAACAGCTACCGATCCAATGGGAGAGGGGGGAGGGCAGGGGAGCCCTGGGTAGGTAGGGTTTGAGCTGTGTGTTGGTGTAGGGAGGCTGGCCGGGTGGGCCGGGCAGACAGGTGAGGCTACTGTGTGTGTAACACAGACTGATTATCCCTCCTGCTCCACAGGTACCTGAAGCGGTTCAAGGTGATGAAGCCAAAGGTGCTGCGGAGCTGGTGTCGGCAGATCCTGAAGGGGCTGCACTTCCTGCACACCCGGACCCCCCCCATTGTACACCGCGACCTCAAGTGTGACAACATCTTCATCACAGGCCCCACCGGCTCCGTCAAGATCGGTGACCTGGGCCTCGCCACCTTGATGAGGACATCATTCGCCAAAAGCGTCATCGGTAACGGAAACCGCGTGATAACGTTCGTGCCTTTACCCCACACGGGGCCAGAGCTGCTGTGTGTGCTCACCCATGGGCAACAGCCCATAAACTGCCCGACAGACTCAAACGCAAGGCCATCACAAGCTGTGGAGGCCTGTAGCGCAGAGGTTAGAGGACCCGGGTTCAATTCCCGGCCGGGCAGGGTGAGACCCAAGGCAAGTTTCCTTACTCCACACACGAACACCTCTGTGTAACATAGCGATAAGTAGGTACCTGTCGCAACACCAGGGACAGAATATTGGGGAGGCAGTGGGAAGAGGAACAGAAAGTGAATGGTGAGGGGAGGGGAATGCTGGGCAGGCAGGGGGTGAGCGGTGTGCTGGGGCAGGCAGGTGAGGGTACTGTGTGTGTAACCCAGTGCTCCCTTCCCTCTTCTCTCCCAGGAACCCCGGAGTTTATGGCCCCGGAGATGTACGAGGAACATTACGACGAGTCTGTGGACGTCTATGCCTTTGGGATGTGCTTGCTGGAGATGGCCACCTCAGAATACCCTTACTCCGAGTGTCAGAACCCAGCCCAGATCTACCGCAAAGTCACCAGCGTAAGTCTATCTGCACAGCACTGCGCCATACAGAGCCACTGTCAGGCATTTACGTCAGCAGGTGGGTGGGGGGGACGGTGTGGACCAGAAGAGAAGGCAGCAATGCTCTCACAACAATAGCTGGTATCTATACCGTGCCCTTTACGTGGCGTAGAGCCTCCAAGCGGTTGACAAAAGAATTTGAAGTGCTCTGAGACGCTGCTCTGTGTGAAGGGAACGCAGACACCTTGTTGTTGCGTTCCGCACATACAGCAATAACAGCTTCTAATAATAAAATTATCAATAATAAGAATCCATACATTTGATATCGTCAGCTTTGACTGTGACTCCAACCCCCACAACCTTGTGACGCGGAGGTGAGAGCATTAGTACTGAGCAAGGCCGACACTTTGTAGTGCCACGTCCTACTGTCAGGCTGGTAAGTGGCAAAATGAAGTTTAATTAGCTACTGAGTGTAAGGATAGGAAATGCTGGTACCACAATAGGGGGAAGCGGAAGGCGATCAAGGAGTATTCATTGACTCACCGTCAAAATGCTGTAGCCTTTGTTTTCCGTCCTAGGGCATCAAACCAGCGAGCTTCAACAAGGTGAGCGACCCTGAGATCAAAGACATCATCGAAGGCTGCATTTGTCAGAATAAAACCGAGAGGTAATAACCGTAACCACTTCTACATCTGGTACAGCGTCGGGAGGACAACCCAAAACCCTTCACAGGATTCACTGTAAAGTGTAGTAACTGTGTGCTTTGCGGGCTGCTGCAGTTGCACGTAGAGACGTCCCTGCAGATTGTCAACCAGGACACGGGGGGAGGCGGGAGGGGGAGAGAGAAACTCCCTTCTCTATTTCTGATAGCGCCGCAGGAGATCTTTAATGCCTGCCCGAACGGGGCGCAGACGGGGCTCTCTCTCTCTCTCTGTCCAACCACCCCCCAACCCCCCAGTTTAGACTAAATGGGTTTCACGTCCTGACGTGGGGCTGGAAGCCACTGACGAGAATAGTCCTGGCATTTGATAATGGAGCTTGATCACGTCGACCAGAGACGTCTCAAAGCACTTCATAGGATGTATTGTAAAGTGAATTGATTGGGTATATTTTGGGTGAATGTGGCAGCCAGTTTGCGCGCAGCAGTAGCCCACAAATAGAGCACTTTAATTTGGGGCATCGTTGGCCAGGACACGGGGAGAGAGAGAACCTCCTTTCTCTTCTCCAATGGCGCTGTGGGACCTTCACACTACCCTGTGGCTCAGAGCCAGAGGGCTCCCACTGCCACACATGTTGTGAATGTCCAGCACCGTTCACTCCCCTGCTCGCTCGGTCCCGCAGGTTTGCTGTTAAGGACCTCCTGAGCTACCCGTTCTTTACCGAGGACACGGGGCTGCGGATCGAGCTGGGGGAAGAGGACAGTGGGCAAACCCCCTCCCTCGCACTCAGGATCTGGGTGGAAGATCCCAAGAAACTCAAAGGAAAACACAAGGACAACGAAGCTATCGAGTTCAGCTTCGACCTGGAGCAGGACGTGCCCGAGGAGGTGGCTCAGGAGATGGTGAGGGCCTGGTCTGACTGTTACAAGGCGAGGGAGAGGGCGGGGGCGCTGGAGAGACTCCAGGATAGAGAAACAGAAAACGAGAACAGGGGCGGAGAACAGGGGCAGAGACAGAGGACAGTGATGAGGACGGAGGACGGGGACAGAGGACAGGGACAGACAGAGAACAGGGACACAGGCTGAAAGGCTGCTCTCTGATGGTGGGTTAGGTAGGGACGCGAAGCAAAGGAAGGGGCTGGGCCAGTCAGGTCTTATCGCTTGCGAGGCGAGTGCGCTGACCACGATACTAAGTATAAGGATTATTCCTGTTATGATTTTACCTGCGGTGCGTTTTTGATCGATCACAGGTCAAATCTGGTTTTTTCCACGAGAACGACTCCAAACTGGTGTCCAAGTCTATCCGTGACCGGGTGTCCTTCATCAAGAGGCAGAGGCAGAGGCAGAGAGCACAGCAGCTGTGGGAGCAGGAGAGGCTGCAGACACAGACCGTGGGGGCAGCCCCGCCCCAGCCCCCGCCCCAGCCCCAGCACACACCCACTGCAGCCCAGCAGCCCCTCCCGGAGCCCGAGGAGCCTGAGGTCGATCAGCATGTGCGGCAAACTCAGCTGCTGAGGAGCGCAGCTTCGGGTGAGACTCGTGCACTCTCTCACTGTCACTCTCACTCAGCCTCGCTCGCTCACACACTCGCTCACACGCTCGCTCACACGCTCGCTCACTTACTCGCTCACACTCACTGTCACTCTCAGACTCACTCACTCGCTCAGTCACGCTCGCTCACTCTCAGCGCCGCTCACCAGCTCAGCCCCGGTCACGCACATTCTCGCTCGCTCGCTCACTCTCTCTCACTCGCTCGCTCGCCCCGGTCAGTCACCCTCCAGGTCAGAAGGTTGTGGGTTCAACTCCTCTCCGTCTCACTCCGTCTCCGTCACAGAATATAAGCTGTCCAGCCAGGCTTGGGCAGATGTTCGCCTTGGGCGATTATATTATTTATGCAGATCAGACCTGTGCCAGTTTTACTGTAGTAATTGCTGTATTTCTCCTCCCCACCCCCCGCACCGGACTCTCTGGACTCTCTCAGTTGACAGTGTGTCTGATGGGAGCGCGGCATCGATTGTCTACTCCGACCCCCAGATGTGCTACACGTCCATCTCGGAGCAGCTGGTGGCAGCCCAGCAGGTCTCCTCCAGCTCCAGTGTGGAGTCTCCTCACCACATCTCCACCAGCCTGCAGCCGTGCCAGGGAGGGTACACACAGCTAACAGGGGTAAGTGGGGACATGTCAGGCTGTGCCAGGGGTGGGAGGGTAAGCGGGGACATGTCAGGCTGTGCCAGGGGGTGGGAGGGTAAGCGGGGACATGTCAGGCTGTGCCAGGGGGTGGGAGGGTAAGCGGGGACATGTCAGGGTCCTGGCCATGTGACATATTTACCTCTTTGTCAGCGGCTTTCACATCAGGAAACCCGGCAGCCAGTTAGTTCACAGCAGCGTCAGGCAGTCACATTTACTGTACAAATATAAAGACAGTTATTCTCACTTTCTCTCTCTTACTCTCTCTAAGCACTGCTCCTCGGTGACCCAGTTGACAACTGGGGGATACCCAGCCCAACAGTTACTGTGCCAGCAATGCCAGCCTCCCTGTACCACCTGCCAACCCCCGAGACAGCAGCCACCAGCTCCTTCACTACAGGTGAGACCAGCAAGAGAATGTCACTCGATCCACATCTGTGCGTGGGAAGTCGCTGAGCGCAATTGACTGTCACATTTTGCCCACAAAATACACAGTCACTACACTCTATAGTATATCCTGTGAAGCGCATCTGAGTCCGACAAATCATTGCCTTTGTGTTCTGTGTTTTGTTGTTAACAGACGTCTGACGGTCCACTGGCTGGGCTCCACCCCCAGGGCAGTGATGTCCTTCTCCCAGCTCAGTACCACCTGCCAAGCCCCTCGCTCCACCCTCAACCAGTGCCAGGCAGCGGGATCCCGGCCACTAGCCCCTCATCAGCAGGCCAGCCTCCGCACCCACTAGTGCAGCCACTGCCCTTCCAGGTGCCTGTCTGTCAAGAGCACGTGTACCTCCATGTCTCTGTACAGCAGCAACAACCGCAGCAGGTTGTGGGCCAGGAGTACCTCAACCCTGTGCCCCACCGACACCTCTCTGTGCAGCTTCAGCCACAGCCACCCCCACAGCAGCGCCCTGCGAGCGAGGCTCAGTACAAACCCTCTGAGCAACAGGCCTCACAGCTCTTGGCTCAGGCTGCACTGCCAACAGCCCAGCCCCAGCCTGAGCTACGCCAACAGCCCCAGGCCCCACAGCAACAGCTCCTCCAGCCTGAGGTACATCAGCAGCCTCTTCAGTTTGAGATCCATGTCCAGTACCAACAGCCTTTGACAGAGCAGTGTCCTCAGGCCTGGACTGAGCAGACAGGCCAGCCCCAGTACCAGCCAGGCTTAGATCAGTACCAGCCTGGCCCAGACCAGCCCCAGTACCAGCCTGGCCTAGGTCAGCCCCAGTCCCAGCCTGGCCTAGGTCAGCCCCAGTACCAGCCTGGCCTAGGTCAGCCCCAGTCCCAGCCTGGCCCAGATCAGCCCCAGTCCCAGCCTGGCCCATATCAGCCCCAGTCCCAGCCTGGCCTAGACCAGCCCCAGTCCCAGCCTGGCCCAGACCAGCCCCAGTACCCGCCTGGCCCTGACCAGCCCCAGTACCAGCCTGGCCCAGACCAGCCCCAGTACCAGCCTGGGCCAGACCAGCCCCAGTACCAGCCTGGCCCAGACCAGCCCCAGTACCAGCCTGGCCCAGACCAGCCCCAGTACCAGCCTGGCCCAGACCAGCCCCAGTACCAGCCTGGCCCAGACCAGCCCCAGTACCAGCCTGGCCCAGACCAGCCCCAGTACCAGCCTGGCCCAGACCAGCCCCAGTACCAGCCAGGCCTAGATCAGTACCAGCTTGACCAGACCCTGTCAGTCACACAGCAGCTCCCAGCCTACACCGAGCAACCTGCAGCGATGGAGAATTCTGAGCCTCTGATGTCAACCAATGTTGTCGCTCAGCATCCACTGGGGGAAACTTGCCCCCCATCCTGCCAACACCATCCTGGGGGCCTTTACTCCCAGTACAGCCCGACCCAACTTGGCCAGGACCATCCCGAGGTGCTTCGCTCCCAGGATCTGCTGCTGCACCCTGGCCAGCACCACCCGGCCCAGGCCTCGCCTCAGGTACGCAGCGGTGGGTAACCAAGAATTTGGGAACTAACAACAACAAAATGACATTTGTGAAGCGCCTTTCATGGCGGAGGACAGACAGAGTTACGGAACTGGGCTGGGGGTCGGGGTGGGGGAGGGTGGAGGGCAGGGGTAGAAGCAGGGAGATCGAAAGCACGGTGGAAGAGGAGGGTCTTGAGGTGGGTCGTGAAGGTGGCGAGGGAAGGAGTTCCAGAGGGTGGGGACAGAGAGGCTGAAGGCCCGGCTGCCGGTGGTGGGGCGGGGCAGGCTGGGGGGACGTGGAGCAGGTCAGACTTTATATTGTCTCGTCTCCAACACACAGTGACTGTTTGTGAGGGGCAGGACCATGGTAAAGGCTGTATCTGTGTTCCCTGTCATTTATTTACCTGTGTTTCTCTCTGATTCTCCCTGGATCACAGACTGGGAGCCAACAAGGGACGGTGCATCCACAGCGCCCAACAAGACTGGGCTCAGACCCTCCAGGGTATGTGGCTGTCTTACATGGTGTTCGTAGTTTAGAATCATCGATGGTACCAATCCGCTGTGTTTATACTCCAATCCCTCCACTGTATTCTCTCATCGAGTGACCAGTCGAGTTTCTGGTCTCAGACGGTTTGTCTTTTCTCAGAGGGATTCCTGACGAGAGAGAGCTGGAGAAGGCCCCAAAACCCCAGCAGAGGCGTCTGTCCTGTGCCCGGGACCGACCAGAAAAGTTCCAGCTGACTGTGCTGCAGGTAAAGTGACTGTGCTGCAGTTAACGCCAAGGATTAGCAGAGGGAAGAAGGGCTCGGATCAGGGAGGGGGTGGAGGTAGGAAGGTGGCCGAAGACACGGTCGAAGAGAAACAACAACAACAACAACAAGATTCCATTTATAAAGCGCCTTTCACGTCAGGAGGACGTCCCAAGAAAGGTCTTGAGATGGGTCTTGAAGGAGACGGGGAGGAGCTGAGACGGAGAGACCCTGGGATGCAGGTCAGGGAGGCTGGGGAAGGGGGTGAGACAGAGGGGCAAGGGAGGCGTGAAGTGGAGGTACTGTGGGATGGAGTTCAGGGGGCTCGGAGGTGGGGGAGGCGCAGGAGGCAAGCCAGGGGGTGAGGCGGGGCAGGCAAGGAAGGTGGTGAGGTGGAGGGGTTGAGGGAGGGGGGAGGGAGCGAGTAGGGGAGGGAGGCAGGGGGGAGCTGGAGAGACTTGTGTGGGATGGGGTTCAGGAGGCTGGGATTTACCATCTATTATTTTGCTGTCAGGTTTCCAGTGTTGGTGACAACATGGTGGAGTGCCAACTGGAGACCCACAACAACAAGATGGTCACCTTCAAATTCGACCTGGATGGGGACGATCCCGAAGATATCGCGGCCTATATGGTGCGTTAGTGGCTGGCGTCGGGTTTGTATTGTACAGCGGTGCTCCTGATTCCTGGTCAGAGCTGCTGTGTGTGTCTGTGTCTCCGTCCATCTGCTTGTGCCTCTGTCTGTCTGTCTGTGTGTCTGTGTGTGTGTCTGGTCGCTGTTTTTTACTCTGTGCTGTGTCTCTGCTGTGTGTGTGTGTGTATATATATATATATATGTGTGTGCGTATGTGTCGCTCTCTCTGCTTTTCTCTCTCTCTCTAGCGTTCAGGTTTTGACACCTCTCCTGTAACCGTCAGGTGGAGAATAACTTCACATTGGAAATTCAGAAACAGAAATTTGTTGAAGAAATGAGAAATATTATTTCCAATTCCCAAGAAATTCTACAAAAATTATCAGAAGGCGAGCGAGGCGTGGAGACAAGCGGCCCCACTCCTCAAACAGACCCGAGGGTGTTCAACAGCAACAGCGGGGTGAGTGAGAGACACTCCCTTCTACTCACTCTGTGTGTGTCTTGGTTTGTGTCTGCGTGTGTGTGGGTGTCTGTCTTTCTGTCTTGTGTGTGTGTGTGTCTTGGTGTGTGTCTGTGTAGGTTTGTGTGTGTCTGTGTGTCTCTCTGTCTGCGTGTGTGTTGGTCTGTGCGAGTGTACGTGTGTCTGTCTGCCTGTGTGTGTGTGTGTGCTTGTGTGTATATGTCTTGGTGTATGTGTGTGTGTGTATATGTCTTGGTGTATGTATGTGTGTATTTGCGGTCACTGGGATTAGTTGGGAGACATGAGCTCATAAAGAGGCATTTCGGTGCTGATAAGTTGCCTGTGTCACAATTGCTCCCCCCACCCCCACCCGTTAAACCCCATCAGCTGGTTTTTTTCTTTTGCTATAGCCTTTTTGAGGCCTTTGATTTCCCCGCCGCCCCCCCTCCCTCCCCTGAATTTTTCTCCCTTCCTGTCTTTCCCTTTCCCTGTGTGTCTCTCTCTCTGCACCCCCCCAGCCGAGCGGTAAAGCCACAGACCAGCGTTATCCATTTCCCTCTTCATCTTCCTCTGCTTCATCATCCCAGTCCCTCACCGCCAGCCTGACCAGAGAGCAAGAGAGAGGGGCAGGAAGTGCACTGCCACATTGCTGTTTTTTCTCCCTTTTCCCCGTCTCCTTTCTTTCCCCCTCCCCTCTCCCCGCTCCAGCACGTGCTCCTGACCAGGCCTGGGGACATGGTGCCCACAGACAAAGCCCACAGCCTTTGAGCCGCGGGGCACGAGTTTCCCCCGAGGCCAGAATGGGGGCCCTGCTGCTCCTGTCTCTGCTGATTTATACCCGGCCCCCAGGCTCTGCACACACCGCGGGGCAGCTTCCCACTGAGCCCCAGGCTGCTCTCGGATACCAACCTATAATGGTGACGTGGATTTACTACAGGAGTTTCCCCTTTCCCCGTTTCCGGCTTATAGTGTTGTAGGCATTTGCAGCACTGGAGAAGGCCATTCGGCCCATTGACTCCACACCAGCTCTCAGAGCTGTCCCAGCCCCTACTCCCTAACCCCATCAACCCCCCCCATATAACAAGCAGGTTGTGAGATCGTGCCACACAGGAGATTCATGTTGGTACCTGGGCAGTGACTCTGGGTAGACCTAGTCAGTACCTCACACAGACCAAGGATTGAACCCTGGTCGATGGGCACCAAGCCATGGCTTTACCTGCTTGTCGTGGGAGGCCATAACAATAATTATAGTAATAGTAATAATCCAGTTTGGTTGTGCTGTTGTTGAAAAGGTTTGGTTGCTGAGCCTCTCTTTGTTTTGTTTTGGGTGTTTAGCAAATGGCCACAGAGCAGATACATCCAGGCCAGACTCCGTCTCAAGCTTCTGGTGAGTACCGAACAGTGTACATCTGCCAGGAGATTATTTGTTTGGTCAGCCGGGTGTCTGTCACACACACGGAAACCCGTCACCGTGACCGGCCGGGTGTCTGACACACACACGGAAACCCGTCACCGTGACCGGCCGGGGGTCTGTCACACACACGGAAACCCATAAAACATAATAATAATAATCCTTGCATTTGATATAGCGCTTTTCACGTCGGGAGGACGTCCCAAAGCGCTTCACAGAACACACTGTAAAGTGAAATTGACTGTATATTTGTGGGCGAACGCGGCAGCCAATTGCGCACAGCAATGTCCCACAAACAGTCATGGATTGAAAATGACCAATTTATTATTTTTGGGGGGGTTTTGGAGGGATTATTATTATTGTTATTATGATAACCTGTATTTCAGCTGAAGCTGTTCACCCCTCCTCCTCCTCCGCCGGTCGCTGGAGATTTTTCATCAACCAGAGGATAAAGACAAGGGAAACAGAGGCGGCTAATGGTGAGATACCACCCAGCACCACATCCATAACCACAGCCTTAACCCCACCCTCAGCCCTAACCCGAACTCTAACCACAGCCCTGACCCCAACCACAGCCCAAAGCCAACCTTCAACCCGAACCCTCGACTGCTGTAAGATCGGAGACACATTCTAAATAATAATCCTTGTACTTGATACAGCGCCTTATCACGACACAGAGTTCACAAAGTGCTTCACAGTAACATGGATTGTCGACAAAGATTATTGTTTGAGTTTGATGTTTGTTCCCTGATCCCAACAGTTCCTGACACCAAGGAACAAGCACCCGTTCTCGCAACATCAAACTCCTTGGAGGACGTCAAGCAGATTCCACTCGATACTCCCAGCACTGGCTCCACCATGAGACCACTGCCCTCCTCCTCCTCACCTTCATCTTCATCCTCATCCGACACCTACCCAGCGAGTGACAGGAATGGGGCTCATCAGGAACGGCAGCCTGACCCCCCTGAAGGCCTCTCCTCAGCCCCGGACCTCCCTCCTACCAGCCCCCAACAGCCAGGGGCCACACAGCCACCCTCAGTGCCCGAGTCAGACAGTGAGGGGCCACCCAAGGTGGATTTCTCTGACAACCGCATCAAGTCTCTGGATGAGAAGCTGAGGACACTGTTATATCAGGAGCACAGCAGCCAACAGGGCAGCGAGGCCCTGACTCTGCTGGCCGACACTCAGAGGGAGGGCCTGACCCAGGGCTCTAGCCAACAGAGCAGTGAGGGCCAGGTCCAGGGCAGTGTGCTGGCAGAGAGCAAGAGCCAGAGAGAGCCCTCCAACCAACCCACTGACACTCAGAGAGAGGGCCTGACCCAGGGCTCCAGCCAACAGAGCAATGTGCCATCCGTCACCCAGCAGGAGACCCAAGCCCAGGACTCCAGTGTGCCGTCCGAGAGCCAGAGAGAGGACCTGGCCTCCAGCCACCCCACAGACACACCCACCCAGCGGGAGGCCCTGAACCTCTCGCTCCTGCCCAACGACAGGCCCCCGACACTGGTCCCTGAGGAGTCGGAGCTGATGCCCAGTCCCACACTGACCCCCGCACTGACCCCATCGAGAGCCTCGCCCCCTCTCACACTGCCCTTCACGCTGCCCCCCGAGCGGCCCCCCACACTGCCCCCAGCGAGAGCCTCGCCCCCTCTCAGGCTGCCCCCCAGCCCTCCGCTCGACACCATGTGCTGCTCACTGCACGGGGACCAGCTCTGCTCATTGGCCCTCAGCTCCCACCCTGGCATCAAGGCCAAGTACTCCACTCCACCCTCCATCACCCTGATCAAGGTGAGTGTAACACAGCACCCAGCGCCCTCTCCTACGTGTGCACTGCCATTGCACCCCAAACCTCTCTCCCTCACTCTCTCCCCCTCACTCTCTCTGTCACTCTTTCTCCCTCACTCCCTCCCTCCCTTCATCCCTTTGATTACCATCTACTGCTGCCTCCCTCCCCTACCCAAGGCCGCTCTGAGATGTCCAAACTGACGCTCCAGAGTGACGGGCGCTGTGTAAGTGCATAAATGTAAAACTGTGGCACTTTTTTTCTAATGTCCTTCCTCTTCTATTTTACTCTCCCCACCGCTTCTCCCTCTTCCCCCCCATCTATGCTCTAGCAGCAGGCTGTACAGCCAGTGGAGAGGGTGTGTGAGTGTCCTGTGAGCCCGGCTGCCCTGCCTCACACCGGATCAGCACAGCACCAGCAGCAGCAGAGTGGAGGTGGATATCACGGTCTAAATTATTCTAGTCATAAAACAGGCTCTGATGCCACGTACACAGTGGGCAGCCAGACCTGGACAATCACAATTAAAAGATGGGCTAAAAAATTACTGCATCCAGCGACCTTACTGCAGAGATCAGCATCTAACCTGTCCTGGAGGGCACTCACTGCCACACAGGCAGGTCACACACACACTGCCACACAGGGATCCGGGGAGGGAGGTCTGAGCGACACAGGGAGAGAGAAGTATTAAGCAGGAAAATTTACACTAAATCTATTGAGTTTCTGAGCTGCTCAACCACTTGAAGTTCCTGCCATCTCGGCCTATTTGGCCATCGCTTGCTCTCTCTCACCACGAGTCAAGTTACTACACTTTACAGTGTTCCCGTGAAGAGTTTGGGTTCATCCTCCTTGTGCTGTGTCAGATTGCTGTTATTAGACACTCAACCCACGGCTGTTTGTGGGGACGTCGCTGGGCGCAGTTGGCTGCCACATCTCGCTCACAAAAAACACAGTCACTACACTTAACAGTGTATCCTGTGACTCTCTCTGAGACGTCTCAATGACACGATAAGGCGCAGGGTCACATGTAAGGATGATTATTATCATTATTATTGTTATAATGAGCTAAGTTGGCGTATGGGTTATGTTGCAGGTGGGGACAGCCTGACCAGGGGCAGCAAAGCCTCCCCTCAGTTAGAGCCCAGCAGCTCCTTTCCCAGGTTCTCTGGCTGGTCAGTCAGCTCACTGCCCCGACACCGAGGCAGCTTCCAGGTACGTTCACAATCATCCCTGTCCCCCACTGGGGCAAGACAGAGGGCAGGAGCTCCCTCCCTCCCCTCCCCTCGCTCTCACCACACCGTCTCTCTCTCTCTCTCTCTCTGTCTCCCCCACATCGTGTCTGTGTTGGTGCTCACTCCCCCCACACTGGAGCCTATTCCCTGACCGACCGTGTGGCTAATGCTGTGGCTCTGGTTTTGCTCTGCAGATGCGCGCAGAGGGAGTGTTCCAGCCGACTGAGGAGAGCGCCGAGGCCGAGCGGGGGCCAGGGCTCGAGAGGGAGGAGAGTGACACGACCGAGGGGGGAGGCAGTTCTGAGCAGAGAGCAGCCCCCACCGTGGGGGAGACTGACTGCTCCACAGACAATCACCTGTCCCCCAGTCAGCCCGAGGGCGAGTGGCCGGCCCCGGCCCCGGGGGGCGAGGAGGGCTCCGTGCCCCCCAGCCTGTCCCTGCCCGAGGACCTCAAGGAGGGCGGGGGTTCGGCCGACAGCAGCCAGGAGATTCTGAACTCGCCCTCCTCCCCGATGAGCAGCGACGAGGACTCAGAAATGGAGGACGAGGATCTGAAGCGAGAACTACAGAAGCTTCAGGAGAAGTGAGTCTCCGACCTCGGGGGTGGGAGTGGGGGGAGAGGGGGACCAGTGCAATGTGGAATTCTGTCGTGTAGTGATTACTGCCCTCGCCTCGCAAGCCGGAGTCCTGGAGTGTGGTTAGACCCCTCGCTTCACAAGCCAGAGGACCTGGGTTCAATTCCCAGCCGGGACAGGTCAGGGCGAAACCTTAGGCAAGTTTCCTTACTCCACACAGACACACACACACAGACACAACAACGATGACAAAATTACACGTGTATTAATTAGCGCCTTTCACTTCGGGAGGACATCCCAAGGCTCTGGACAGTGACAGCTTTTCAGACACACACCCGCACCGCCGCGCAGACACACGTCTCTGTTTACCCAGCAGTAAGTAGGAACCCGCTTGTGGTCGATTGGATCGCTTTCCGGGGGTAATAATGCCTCCAAAATATGTACGGATAATGGATATACTAATGTGGTCGCTCAGTCCACGGCTGAGTGTGGGACGTCGCTGTGGCAATTGACTGCTGCATTTCGTTTCGACGGCGTGGTAAGGCGCTGTGCCAGATGCAAGGATGTTTTTTCCCCATCGAGTGGCTCTCACGTCAGGAGGACGTCTCAAAGCGCTTCCACAGGATTCACTGTAAAGCGTAGTAACTGTGTTTCGTGGGCAAGACGCAGCAGCCAGTTTGTGAGCCCTCCTGACCCCCAACTGTGCCAGGCCTGGATGTGACTGTTGTTTCTCTCACCCTCTCACACCGCCCCCCCACCCGCCACCCCCACCCCCAGGCACATCCAGGAGGTTGTTGAGCTACAAGCCCAGCAGAGACAGGAGTTACAGGAGCTTCACCACCGGCTCCAACTGCTCACGGAGGCCACTGATCCCTCACAGCGTCTGTCACCATCCACTCGGCATCACAGGCTCAGCAACAGCAGAGCCAGAAGCTCCCGGTCTCCTTCAGCCTCCCTCACAGGCACAGGTCAGTCACTCACACACACACACACACACACACAAACACCCTCATAGAGCCAACATCACACACACAGCAACACCTCACACACAGCAACACCTCACCCACACAGCAACACCTCACACACACAGCAACTCCTCACCCACTCTCTCACACACACACACTCGCACACACAGCAACACCTCACACAGTGTGTTACTGACTGAGATAGAGAGAGAGACTGTCAGGAATGAGGTGTAATTCCCCCTGGACTTGTTCCCCTCAGGTCCTTCCTGCTGTGTGGGCCCCTGTGACGCGCTGCAGGCTCCGGGGGCCAGAAAAGGCACCTTCACTGACGAGCTGCACAAACTGGTGGACGACTGGGCCAAGGAGCGGATGGGGGCGGCGAGCCTGAAGCCCAGTCTGAACGAGATCAAATACAGGCACGATCTAGAGAGCTGGCAACAGCCCTGTGAGGTGAGAACAGAAAGATATACTAGCCCGCAAACACACAGTCACTACACTCTGCAGTGTACCCTGTGAAGCGCTTTGAAACGTCTCGAAGACGTGATAAGGCGCCGGTCAAATGCCAGGATTATTATTATTATATTATAGTACCCCAAGATCTCCCCCCACGTCAGCCATTAAACCCCTCTCACTCCCCTCACTCCCTGTCTCCACCCTCTCCCAGTCTTCACTCCCACTCTCACATCCCGTGAGTAATTACCATAAAGAGCTTTGGGTTCAGTCGCAAACCTTTCTCCACCTCAGAACGTCCTCCTGACATGAAACATGTGATTTGTTGTTGACGCTCCCCTGTAATATAGCCGTGTCTGTATTGGAGCTGTGTGTGTGTGTGTGTTGGAGCTGCGTGTGTGTGTGTAACCCTAACCCTACCTCCCTTGTCTTCCCAGGGAGTTGCTGGTGGGAGTTGGCAAGGTCAGCGATCGCCACATGTCGGCCTGTCACAGGGCGGGTCCTCCTCCAGCTCCTACCCCAGCCCCGGCCCCAGGCCTCCCTGCTATCCCCTGCCTGGCCTGAGCCAGTACGGGGGTCCCTACACCCCACAGGTCCCGGGGGGAGCGAGCACCCAACCTCCCGGGACCACGCCCTCTCCACCAACACCAGGGGCCGTGCAGATGTCTCCCACCGTCCCCCCTCGGCCAAAATAAACCAGGGCGGAGCTGGGTGGTACAGCACAAGATGGCCTGGTCCGGCCTGGCACAGCACAGCCCAGTACAGCCCAGCTCGACCTGGCACAGCCCAGCCCAGCTTGGCCCAGCCTGGTCCAGCAAGGCAAGGCACGTCTGGAGCTGGGTGGAGAACCACCTCAGATATCATTACTGAGGGCCAGTTAGCCTTCCCCCCCCCCCCCCCCAACACATACGCACACACCCTCCATCCCCTACTTCCCGGCTCATCGTCACAGAGAGAGAGGAGAGGGGAGCGTAACGGAGACCACGGATGGAGAAGATTTTTCAGAGAAAGAAGCAGGAACGACAAAGAGCGAGAAGACCGGGGAGAGGGAGAGACTGGCAACGAGAACGTGGAGGGAATCTGAATGGACAGAGGACCAGGCGAGGAGGCCAGACAGGGGGTGGGGGTGGGTGGGGGGGAGAGGGGGCTGTGCCTGTACCAATACCAGTGTTCAAGAGAGTCTGGTGTCAATTAAAACCAGCTTTGATTTGTTTTCCAAGTGGGGGAGGGGGATTGCCTCTTGCCTGGTTTGAGATGTTTTCCAAGTGTGGCACTAAACCGCCCCCACCCCTCGCCCACACCCCCCGAGGGATGACTCCCTCACCCACTCGCGCCCCCCCCCACCATAACCGTGATTCTCGTACCTCCCAAGCAATCACTTCGGGAGCAGTTGCTGTTCTAGTTTTCTCACAAGTGTCTGTGTCTGAGCCACTTGATTGGGGCAGTGGGGGGTGAGGGAGACAGAGAAGGGGGAGAGAGAGCTGTGGGGGGGGGGTTGTGGGGTGACAGTAAATTATTGACCTACTGATGTATTTTATTTCTAAACTAACTGTGATCTGAGCCATATGTAAGCGCACAAACGTGCAGGAGTAGGTGTGCAAACGTAGACACACGCGCCTGCACACTCTCACACGCACACACGGTACTGAGATACCGTGTGTTTAAACTCGAGCCGGAGGGACTGACAGGGCTGTGGTGTGAACCCCCAGCGTCTCCGCTGGAGAGGGAACTCGCTGAGGGCCATCAGCCTGGTTCAGGGGGGGTGTGAGGTCCGCTCCCCCCGATCTCCCTCCGCTCCCCCCGATCTCCCTCCGCTCCCCCTGATTTTGCATGAATATGTTCCGTGTGGCTTTTGTTAAGTGGCACATTTACTTGTCGGTTTGCAGTTGCAGATCAGACCCACATCTCGCTCCCCTCCCCCCCCCCCATCTGTATCCCACCCCCCCGTCTGCACACCTGATGTCCAACTGGTGACTATCCTCATCTGGTTGGGGTCTCCTCGGAGCTGAACTGGCTTCAGGGTCACATGCTGTCACTGGAATATGGGAATCGAGCCCCCCTTCCCCCCCCCCCCGTGACGGTCTCCAGCCCCCGGTCCCTGAGCCGGGAGGGGCCGCGGTATCCCAGGGCACTCACTGCCATCGGCAGGACCTGGAAGGGCCGACCAGTCACTGGGGTCAGGGAATCCTCAGCCCCTGGTGACCCCACAGCCAAAGCCCCAACTGACTAACTAACAGGGAGGGGGGGTCCGAGCTGGACAAGCAGTGGGAAAGCCAGACATTTGCGCGTTGGTCCAGCTTCCCCCCCACCCCACCCCCCTCTCCTCTGCCCCTCCTGCCGGCAGATCGCAGTGCCTTGAGATAATAATTATTAAAAATGACAATGAAGCTTAAATGTGCACTTCGGAGGTTCCCCTCTCCCCCCCTTTGCTGTTCTGGGGGTCACACAGTGATCAGACGATGTGCTGCAATGGTGTGGGAGACACGACTCTATCTCAAGTGGGTGGTGGGGGGAGAACACAAGGAGTCGTGGGCCACATACACCCCAAACCCCCCCCCCCCCCCACCGCCAACCCCACCAGCAGATCCCGGGGGGACGGATGGATCCCATCCTTGTCCCCGAAGGAGATGTAAAGTGGGAGAGCAGTCAATCACCGACACCTTCGCTGCGGTATCACAGGGGCTCTGCAGAGCCTTTGGTCCATCCTCAATGTCTCAGTGTCGTTTGTGCAGAGATTGAGTGTTAACGGTGCGATTCCAAAACTGCGGTCGTGGTCCCACCTTTGTGTTACCTCTGTGAGTAATTGGATACGGAAGTGTTTGTGTGTGTGTGTGTGTGTGTGTGTGCGCATTTGTGAAGAGTTTATATAAAGCCGACGCCTGTTCTCTCTGAGTCTCTCTCCGCCTTCTCTTTCCCTTTCAAAATGGGAAGTTTGTGTTTAAGTTGTGTTGCCTTTCAATAGTGATAATAATAATCCTCGCGTTGGACACACCCTCACACACACCCTCACACACACCCTCACACACACCCTCACACACACACACACACACACCCTCACACCCCAACACACCCCTCACACCCCAACACACCCTCACACACACCCCCACACACCCTCACACCCCCTCACACACACACACCCCCTCACACACACACACCCCCTCACACACACCCTCACACCCCAACACACCCTCACACCCCAACACACCCTCACACACACCCCCACACACCCTCACACCCCCTCACACACACACACCCCCTCACACACACACCCCCTCACACACACCCTCACACCCCCAACACACACACACACCCCACACACCCCCTCACATACACCCCCTCACACACACATACACCCTCTCACACCCCAACACACCCCCTCACATACCCCCTCACACACCCCCCCTCACACACACCCCCTCACACACACCCCCTCACACACACCCCCTCACACACGCGGTTTGATTTATTATTACTATTATATTATTTATATTAATTAATTATGAATGGCAGAAAGTGATCCCCTGAGCGCGCGCACACGTGCGGAGTAAAGAAAGTTGCTCAAAGGTTTGGCCCCGACCCGACCCGACCCGACCCGCCCGGGACTCGAACCCGGGGCGAGGGGTCTGACCCCTGAGCCACAGGACCGGGGCATCAGTGGGGGGGGGGGGGGCGGAGTGCGCATGCTCGGGGGCGGGACGGAGAGCGCATGCTCGGGGGCGGGGCGGAGTGCGCATGCTCGGGGGCGGGGCGGAGTGCGCATGCTCGGGGGCCGGGCGGAGTGCGCATGCTCGGGGGCGGGCGAGTGCGCATGCTCGGCTCAGGCTGTGATGGCGGCGCCGAGCGGAGAGTCACGTGTGGTGTTCACACACAGTGTTTCCAGTCTTCTCCACAACTGGTCCTGTCTCCAGGTACCGCCCCACAGCGCCCACACACCCTCACACACACCCTCACCCCCCACACCACACCCCCTCACACACACCCTCACACACACCCTCACCCCCCACACCACACCCCCTCACACACCCCCTCACACACCCCCTCACCCCCCACACCACACCCCCTCACACCCCCCCCACACCCCCCTCCCCTCACACACCCCCCCCACACCACACCCCCTCACACACACCCAATACCACACACCCTCACACACACCCTCACCCCCCACACCACACACCCTCACACACACCCCCTCACACACACCCTCCACCCCCCCCACACCACACCCCCTCACACCCCCTCCCTCACACACCCCCCACACCACCACCCCCCCTCACACACACCCCCCACACCCTCACACACACACCCACACCCCCTCACACACACCCCCACCCCCACAACTGGTCCTGTCTCCAGGTACCGCCCCACAGCCCCCACACCCACCCCCACAATATATATATACACACTATATACATCCCTACACACACTAACACTCTGCGCAACATTAACACGAGCGTATAAAAACAAACATATAAAAACATAAAAACATATAAAAACATAAGAATTAGGAGCAGGAGTCGGCCATTCAGCCCCTCGAGCCTGTGCTCCGCCCTTCAATAAGATCGCGGCCGATCTTCTCCCCTCACTCTGATTACTGCCCTCTCCCCATATCCCTAATCCCTCTATTGTTCTCTCAGTCTCGGCCTTGAAGATGTTCGAGGACTGACATCTACAGCCCTTCGGGGGGAGTGGAGTCCATACGTTCACTGCCCTCTGAGTGAAGAAATGTTTCCTCAACTCTGTTCTGAAAGGGCTGACCCTTAATTTTCAGACTATGACCTGGTTATAGGTTATAGATTCTCCCACCGGGGAAACAGTCCCTCAGTGACTACTTTATCCGCCCTTTAATAATCTTATAAATTTCAATAAGATCTCCCCTAATCCTTCTGTACTCCAGAGATTACAGCCCCAGTTTATTCAGCCTCTCCTCACAGGTCAGTCCCCTCATCCCAGGCACTAACCGAGTGAATCTACGCTGCACCCCCTCGAGGGCAAGTATGTCCTTTTATAAATAAGGACCAACACTGCACACAATCCTCTCGGTGCGGTCTCACCAAAGCCCTATACAGTTGCAGCAAAGACTTCCCTACTCTTATATTCTAAACCTTTGGCAATGAACACTAGGAATTGGAATTCCTGCTCTCCGCACCACTCTTTTAGTCAGGCGTTCAGATCTATGATCTTCTTTTGCCTGTACCAGTCAGCTCCCGGCTCAGGTAACAGTCCCGATAGCATCACTTTGGAAGTTCTATTCCTTAGTTTAATTCCCAATTCCCGGAACTCGCTCCTTAACTCGTCCCTACTGGTCCTACCAATGTCATTGGTCCCTCCCTATATGTACCATTACGATCGGATCCTCTCCCTCATGCCCTCAAATGTATCTCCAGCCCGGCGGTGACATCCTTCACCCCGGCCCCAGGAAGACAACAGAGTCCTCTTGTCTCCCCGCTACGGCGACAGAAAACCGTATCAGTCCTCCCGACTGTCTCATCCCCAATACAAATGACATTTTTAACCTCCTGCACAGGGCTGTTGGGGTCAGTTTGCCCGTCTTCCTCGCAGATTTCCTTATCCACACAGGTTGCCAATATTTCATACCTGTCAGATGAGGCGAAAGTCTGGGATTCTTCAGCCCCTCTCTTTCGGGAACGCTTGCCTTCCCGCCTGACCGTCACCCAGTCATGTCCGTCGCTGCTACATTCTTCTTCCTTGGGACTCAGGGGGCTGTCCGGCTCCAGGGTAAAGCTGTCCAGGAAGTTTTCTCCATCCCTAATGCTGCGCAGCGTCTCCACCTGAGACTGCAGCTCAGCTACTCTCGGATGGAGCTCTCTGATGTCCAGACACTCGTGGGGGACGAAGTCGCCCTCCGTTGACTCCCACACGTGACAGACCTCGCAGGTTCCCACCTGCCGCACCACCTTCACACACTCTCCACACACACAAAGATATATCGCCTGTTCCCTCACCCTCCGGCCTCGCCTCACTCCGGCCTCGCCTCACTCTGGGCTCTCGGCTCGAGTGAGGTCCGCGCAGCTCTCTCCTGTTTATGCTTTCCGGGTGCGGTCGGTTTCTGATTTGTTCGGCAGTGATTTGGAATTAACTCCCAATCGAGTGATTAATCAGTAAGTCAATTTAATCAGTAAATTGCTTGTTATTGGCTTAATGGGCGACAGCTGCTCTCCCTGTAACGTTACCCCACAAGACCAATGTACCGACCGATGGTATCGGCAATTTTAAATAACACAAGACTTAAACCAACTACAACAACTACTACAAGACTTGAATAACAACAACAAATTGGGTTATGTACTCATGAAAGCAGTTTTCACGACACTCACAGCAGCAATTCCCACTCCCACCAAATTCCCTCACACTCTGGCCTCGCCTCACTCCGGACGTAGCTCACTCTGGGCTCTCGGCTCCTAATATACACTATATACATCCCTACACACACTGCGCTACATTAACACTAACATATACACTATATACATCCCTACACACACTAACACACTGCGCTACATTAACACGAGCGTATACACTATGTTCGATATTTTAGCGCCATGAGGAAGAGGAATTTAACACCGTGTGTGTATATATATATATATACACAGAGGGGGTTAGACCCTCCTCACTGTCTTGAGTCTGGTCTGGTGTCTGGGTTACAGATTGCGGTGGACAATGGCTTCGGGGGTCAGTACAGCCAACAGAAGGCCGAATGGATGGCCGGAGTCCTGGCTCAGTATTTCCTCGACAACGGTGAGTGTGTGGAGAGACACAAAATGCTGGTTCCCCCCCTCGCCCCCCACCCCTCGCCCCCCCACCCCACTTCCCGGGCTCCTGCAGCCCCCCATTATCTGATCGGACCCTCCATTGCGTCCCTCCTGGGGGAGCGAGTGCTCTGTTAATAATAGTAATCCTTGACTTTGATTCAGTGCCTTAATTACGTCTCCGAGATAAAGCCTTAATCACATCTTCGCGAACGCGAACTCGTCTCAGCGCGAGGCGTTGTTCAGATACATGTGAGCGACGCGAACTTACCAAGAGTGGTCTTTACAGGAGACGCGGTGAAGTGATGCGACTATATTTGCGGGCGAAACGCGGCAGCCAATTGCGCCCAGAGACGTCCGGCAAACAGTCGTGGATTCAGTAACCACGTCGTTACTGTTTTGAAGGGATTATTACCCCCGGAAAGTGATCCCCCAATCGACTAAGAAGCGGGTTCCTACTGACGGCTGAGGGACACAGGCGCGTGTGGGTGTGTGTGGGGGGAATAAGGAAACTTGCCAAAGCTTTCGCCCTAACGCCAGGAATCAAACCCAGGTTTATTTGGGGGGATAAGCATATGTGAGGGATGTTCTGAGCAGCAATCGCTGCTGACACTGTGTGTTGACGGACGGACAGTGGGTGCCATCTGAATCTTTCCCTCTCCCCAGCGGATCTGGACACACAGGAGGTGGAAGATTATATATCCGAACTGATGTATAATGAGTTTGACACGGTTATTGAGGACGGCAGCTTGGCTGAGGTAAGTCAGTCGGACAGCCGTTCCAATGTGTCGGTCAGCCTGAGTCAGTGGCTCGCGCTCTCGTCTCAGCGCGAGGCGTTGTTCAGATACATGTGAGCGACGCGAACTTACCAGGAGTGGTTTTCTGACTCTCTCCTTTCCTGTCAGGTGGCTGCGCAGACCTGCACTTTCTACAATCTGTGCTGCCGGGGCCAGGAGGCAGAGGTCAGGGATCGGATCCAGCAGTTGGCAGAGAAGAGACAGAGAGTCAGAGTGGAGGTGACGAAGGGGGAAAGCCCAGGGGAGGAGGAGGAGGAGGAGGAGGAGGAAGGCAGTGAGGATGGAGAGGGGAGCGACGAGGCAGCGGAAGTAAGTTTAACTTGTGTCACTTTCCTGAGTGTGGACGCACAGTGTAGAGGAGCTTCACTGTGTCTCTAACCCTGACCTGGGGGTGTAGTGACTGTGTGTTACTGTGTCTCTAACCCTGACCTGGGGTGTAGTGACTGTGTGTTACTGTGCCTCTAACCCTGACCTGGGAGTGTAGTGACTGTGTGTTACTGTGTCTCTAACCCTGACCTGGGAGTGTAGTGACTGTGTGTTACTGTGTCTCTAACCCTGACCTGGGAGTGTAGTGACTGTGTGTTACTGTGTCTCTAACCCTGACCTGGGAGTGTAGTGACTGTGTGTTACTGTGTCTCTAACCCTGACCTGGGAGTGTAGTGACTGTGTGTTACTGTGTCTCTAACCCTGACCTGGGAGTGTAGTGACTGTGTGTTACTGTGTCTCTAACCCTGACCTGGGAGTGTAGTGACTGTGTGTTACTGTGTCTCTAACCCTGACCTGGGAGTGTAGTGACTGTGTGTTACTGTGTCTCTAACCCTGACCTGGGAGTGTAGTGACTGTGTGTTACTGTGTCTCTAACCCTGACCTGGGAGTGTAGTGACTGTGTGTTACTGTGTCTCTAACCCTGACCTGGGAGTGTAGTGACTGTGTGTTACTGTGTCTCTAACCCTGACCTGGGAGTGTAGTGACTGTGTGTTACTGTGCCTCTAACCCTGACCTGGGAGTGTAGTGACTGTGTGTTACTGTGTCTCTAACCCTGACCGGGGAGTGTAGTGACTGTGTGTTACTGTGTCTCTAACCCTGACCTGGGAGTGTAGTGACTGTGTGTTACTGTGCCTCTAACCCTGACCTGGGAGTGTAGTGACTGTGTGTTACTGTGTCTCTAACCCTGACCTGGGAGTGTAGTGACTGTGTGTTACTGTGCCTCTAACCCTGACCTGGGAGTGTAGTGACTGTGTGTTACTGTGTCTCTAACCCTGACCTGGGAGTGTGGACACACAGTGCAGAAGGAGCTTTGCTCCAACAGCTCAAGGGCGCCCTCCGGTGGATACTTACAGTATCGCACCCAATGTGAAGCCCTTGACAGGATTCATTGTAAAGTGTAGTGACTGCGTTTCACTCTTCTCCAGGCCATGGATTGTGACGGACACTGTGGCCCTCTGTCGGGAGGGGCCGCGCTGCCCGCAGGCCCCTCCCAGCCCAAACCCGAGGAGGAGGGGGAGGCGGACGGCTGGACAGTCGTGCATCGAAAAAGAAAATAAAACCAGTCTCGAGGAAGGGCCGCGTGCGAGTCCGGTCACAAAGAGCCGGGGCAACACGTGGGCTGTTTCAGGAGCGAGGGAGCGTGCGACGGGAGGAGACGAGAGCGAGGGGGCGAGCGAGGAGGAAGGCCCGTCGGAATATTTAACTTTTGTTCAATTTTTTTTTAAAACTCTTGTTTCGTTCAAAAAGAAATCCCACGTTATACCATCTTTCTTTATGGTGTCAAAGAGCTTCACAGGACTTGCTGTTGTGTGTGTCTTTTGTGGGCGAAACGCAGCAGCCGATTTGCACGAGACGTCTCCCAACAAACAGCCGTGGAGTGAGCGAGCGATTTTATCTGTCGGCCGCAACACCACGAGAGGGAGAGAAATTCCCTTCTGTTCCCCACCGACAGCTCCGCGGGGGGAGATCTTTAACGTTCGCCCTGAGCAGTGAGTGAGGTTAATAATAATCCTCCAAAAACCAAAAACAATAATAAATTGGTCATTTTCAACCCACGACTGTTTGTGGGACATTGCTGTGTGCAATCGGCCGCCGCGTTCGCTCACAAATATACCGTCAATTCACTTTACAGTGTGTCCTGTGAAGCGCTTTGGGACGTCCTCCCGACGTGAAAAGCGCTATATCAAATGCAAAGATTATTATTATTATTATTATTGTGTAAATCTATGTGTATTATCTGCTTCAATGGCCACTGATGGGAGTGAGTGCCGCACAGTGCTGCCCTCTGTCTGAAGAAGTTCCTTCTGAATTCCCATTTCAATCCTCAGTCACTGTCTTACACTCGTGTTTCTCCGTGAAGTCTCGGTCACAAATAGGGACCACCTGTTATAGAGCTGTGACACCGTGTTGTATTGGTGTCACTTGTGGCACTGCAATCAGTGCTGTCGCTCAGGGGGAGTCCTGTAGCTCAGGGGTTAGAGCACTCGCTTTGCGAGTGAGAGACGTGAGATCATTTTCAGACAGAGGGCCAAACCTCGGGCAAGTTTCCTTACTCCACACAGAGCCTAATAATAATAATAATAATCCTCCAAAACAAAAACAATAATAAATTGGTCATTTTCAATCCATGACCGTTTGTGGGACATTGCTGTGCGCAATTGGCCGCCGCGTTCGCCCACAAATATACAGTCACTAAGACGTGAAAAGCGCTATATCAAATGCAAAGCATTATTATTAGTATTTAACGTCTCACCTGAAGGATGGAGTCTCCGCCGATGCTGCTCTCTCACTTTATCTCTCCCCCCCCCCCCCAGCACTGCCCTGGAGCATCAGCTTAGACTGGACGGTTTCCAAGTCCCCGACGTGTGTGTGTGTGTGTGGGGGGGGGGTGGGGGCTGACACCCACAACGTCCCGATAGAGACGAGAGAGAGCGATTGAATCACAATGTATTTTGTATATATTTTTAAAAAAAACAATAATACGTGAAAAAGACAATTCTCGCTAATACTTCTTGTCGGCAAAAAACATTTTAACAAATAAAACCGTGGCCAGCCACGGCTTGTGATAGGTCATCGGGGGTGGGGGGGGGGGGGCAGCGGGGAAAGGGGGAGAGAGAGGGGGGAGCGGGGGTGGGGGGGGAGCGCAAGGAAGAGGGGGAGGGAATTCTGGGGAGAGGGAGCGAGAGATGGGGAAAGAATGACGAGGGGAGAGGGAGTGTGTTGGATGATGTGAGAGTTGGTGGAGGAGAGGAGAGACACTCACACGGCCGATATATAATGATTAATGTTCCTGTAGCAAAGTCAAAGTGCCTCCAAATTTCAAGTATTGCTGCTTTCAAATACACGAGTGCTCTGCCCTATCTCTCACACACACACACACGTGTGCTCTGCCCTATCTCTCACACACACACACACACACGTGTGCTCTGCCCTGTCTCTCACACACACACACACACACGTGTGCTCTGCCCTGTCTCATACACACACACACACACACACACACGAGTGCTCTATGTCTCTCACATACACACACGTGTGCTCTGCCCTGTCTCACACAAACACACACACGTGTGCTTTGCCCTGTCCCTCACACACACGTGTGCTCTGCCCTGTTTCTCACACACACACACGTGTGCTCTGCCCTGTCTCACACACACACACACACCCGTGTGCTCTGCCCTGTCTCACACACACCCGTGTGCTCTGCCCTGTCCCTCACACGCACACACACGTGTACTCTGCCCTGTCTCTCACACACACACACACGCGTGTGCTCTGCCCTGTCTCACACAAACACACACACGTGTGCTCTGCCGTCTCTCTCACACACACACACACACCCGTGTGCTCTGCCCTGTCACACACACACACACACACACACACGTGTGCTCTGCCCTGTCTCACACACACACCCACACACGTGTACTCTGCCCTGTCTCACACACACACACACACACGTGTGCTCTGCTCTGACCCACACACTAGATTGTGTGTTGCTCAGTCGGGTGATGATGAGTCTCGAGCTCTGGTCTTGGGAGTTTCTTCACCTGGTGGCTGAGGGGACCTGGTGGGCTCTGAGCTGGACAGAGGCTGGTCTGGGCTGGACGGAGGCTGGTCTGGGCTGGACGGAGGCTGGTCTGGGTTGGACGGAGGCTGGTCTGGGCTGGACGGAGACTGGTCTGGGTTGGACGGAGGCTGGCCTGGGTTGGATGACGTCTGGCCTGGCTCAGGCCGCTCGGGGTGTGGCTCTGACGTGCGCTGGTCTGGGCTGCACAGCCCCTCACCCTCCCCACCACGTCCGGCTCTGGTCAGTGCGGTCACCCACTGTGTCCGCAGATCTTCGGTCTCTACACTGAAACGCAGGGTCAGGTGGCTCTGAGAGATGCTGAAGGGGAACCTCCTCTCCACCCGCTCCCCAGGATCGGGTCTGCTGACCTGGAACCCGATCAGAGGGACACTGCGGGCGGCCTTCACATCCTGGCCCAGAGAGAACACCAGCATCAACAACGGCAACAACAGCAACAACAACAACGGCAACAACNACGGCAACAACAACAACAACGGCAACAACAGCAACAACGGCAACAACAGCAACAACGGCAACAACAGCAACAACAACGGCAACAACATCACCAACATCAACAACGGCAACAACATCAACGGCAACAACATCAGCACTAAAACACTAATAAGGATTATTATTATTAATAATACATTCAAACAGCGTCTTATCACGTCGCGGAGACGTCTCAAAGCGCTTCACTGGATACACTAAAGTATAGGAAGAGGGAGTGGATGGAGAGAGGGAGAGGGAGGGATAATGGAGGTTGGGTGGGAGGCACCGAGAGAGACCGGGGGGGGAGGGGGGGGGGATGGAACGAGGCAGAGAGTGGGGGGTTGGGGATAGACGGAGGGGGACAGAAATACTGACCTGACGAGCCCCGTAGATATAGAGGACGAGAGGTTCGCTGTCGGGAATCACTAACCAGCCTCGGTGCCAGGATTTGCTGCTCTTCTCCATGTAACTGACGTAGCCGCAGACAACACTATTCTCAGCCACCAGCGAGGCTTGTTTCTGATCCCACCGCGAGTGGGGGGGGGGGGGGGGGCGACACGGGTTACAGTGACGACAGTGCAGTCTGTTTCACCCCCCACAACCCCATCCCCCCCCACTGACACCCTCTAACCCCATTCCCCCCACTGACACCCTCTAACCCATTCCCCCCCACTGACACCCTCTAACCCCATTCCCCCCCCACTGACACCCTCTAACCCCATTCCCCCCCCACTGACACCCTCTAACCCCATTCCCCCCCCACTGACACCCTCTAACCCCATTCCCCCCCCACTGACACCCTCTAACCCCATTCCCCCCCACTGACACCCTCTAACCCCATTCTCCCCCACACTGACACCCTCTAACCCCATTTCCCTAAGCCACTGAGCCTCCGTCACTCCCTGCCTCACCGCCTCCACTTTGCTCTTCAGATCGCACGTGAAGACCTTCCTCTTAGACCTCTCCCCCCCGCTCCCCACCCCCCCCGCACCCCCCGGCCCGAGACGCTGTGTTGTTGCTCTGACCTGCAGGATGGACCTCCTCCTGTGGGAGGGAGGTTCTGGTTGGGGAGGACTGGCTGCGGTTCCCTGCAGCGCTGTGTGACAGTCACAGCAAACGCGGCTCCACCGGTTATTGTCGTACTTGAGCTGCGCCCGGAATTCTGAGCATTTCCCACAAACGACCTGTGGGCGACAGCAGCACCGGGAACGTCACCGGAGAAACCGAGAGGGGGGGGGGAACACATGTACACACAGGCGTGTACGCAGAGGCACACTCGTGCATATACTGTCACAAACGCCCTCAAACACACACCTACACACACATAAACACCTACACACACGCGTACACACAGACAAATGCGCGTATACCCAGACACAAACACACACACACGTATGCCCAGACACACTCCCAAACACCTACACACACACCCTTAAACACGTACACACATGCTCCCAAACACCTACACTCTCGCATATACCCAGACACACACACACTCCCAAGCATGTACACATCTGTTGCACGGGCACACATATATGTACACATATACACGCCTCGCTCACTGGGTACTCACATGGCCACACGCCTTGCAGTGGTGCCGGCGTTTAGTGATGGAGTTGAAAGGCTCCTGACATTTCATACACATAGTGACGTCCTTCTCCCTAATCGGGGTGGGTGCCCTCCTTCCCAAGTCACTGGCCTGTCACACACACACATACACAGTCACTGACCAGTCACACACACACACACACAGTCACTGACCAGTCACACATACACAGTCACTGACCGGGCACACACACACAGTCACTGACTGACCTGTGTTACATACACACACTGTCTCACACTGTCTCACAAACACACACACAACAGTTACACATACACACTGGTGAGGGCTCACCGGGGAGTCTGGTGGTGTCTCCGAGTCTCGTAATGAACCGTTTAAGAGATGTGCCATCTCCTCGTGCTTCACAATAGTGTCCTGTATAGCCTGTGGGGTAACACACACACAGTCACTAACACTACTGTGTGTCACACACACACAGCTTTACTGTGTCTCTAACCCTGACCGGGGAGTGTGGACGCACAGTGTAGACGGAGCTTTACTGTGTCCTTAAACAATAACATGATTTACCTGAATCCAATCTCTCTTTTCCTCTTCAGTTCTGTGAGGAGAGAGAAATTCATAATAAGGAATCTAAATGGATTCAAACTGAGCCCCAACATGTAACTGTTCATTCAACAGAAACACATCCCTGTATTAGCTCACGGTCCAGGCTGACCCTCCAGCCCAGCGCTGGGGAGCAGGGAGAGCGAGTTCCGCATCGTCAAGAGACGTGAAAAAATCCTGGCGCACATTCCAGGGGGGTGGGGGGAACTTCCCAGTGTCCTGGCAGACAGATAAAACCGCTGGCTCGCTTCACGCCTGTTTGCGGGGACGTTGCTGAGCGCAAACTGGCTGCCGCGTTAGACATACAGTCACTAACTACACTTCACAGTGAATCCGGTGGAGCGCCTTGAGACGTCCTCCTGACGGGAAAGGTTCTGTGTCACACGTTTGTGATATTATGTGTTTTGCTTATAAATACAAATGCTCACCTGGCCAACAGCTCCAGGGAACGCTGCTTTCCCGAAACCAGGAACGTGTGGGAAGCACTCAGGCTACTTGTCTCCTTCAGCTGGGAATCAAATCGTAACAATCAATCATCAACAACCTGGGACCTGGGAGTGTGGACGGACACACAGTGTAGAGGAGCTTTACTGTGTCTCTAACCCTGACCCGGGAGTGTGGACACACAGTGTAGAGGAGCGTTACTGTGTCTCTAACCCTGACCTGGGAGTGTGGACGCACAGTGTAGAGGAGCTTTACTGTGTCTCTAACCCTGACCTGGGAGTGTGGACACACAGCGTAGAGGAGCGTTACTGTGTCTCTACCCTGACCTGGGAGTGTGGACACACAGTGTAGAGGAGCGTTACTGTGTCTCTAACCTGACCTGGGAGTGTGGACGCACAGTGTAGAGGAGCTTTACTGTCTCTCTAACCCTGACCTGGGAGTGTGGACGCACAGTGTAGAGGAGCTTTACTGTGTCTGTAACCCTGACCTGGGAGTGTGGACACACAGTGTAGAGGAGCATTACTGTCTCTCTAACCCTGACCTGGGAGTGTGGACGCACAGTGTAGAGACAGCTGATGGAAACTGACCTCCATTCCTTCCACGTCAATCCTCGCCCGCACCCCAAACTTCTGGCCAATCAGGCGCAGTTTCGGGACACAGTAAAGTAATCGGTCGTTGAACTGTGGAGACATAGAAATCAGACGAGGGAGCGAATGTTTATTATTCACTTGATATGAATAATAATTGGCATTTGATGTAGCGAGGATCCTGGCTGCCAGCTCACCAGAACGATGGGGTGAGGAGTGGAGCTCACACACAAGCGCAAGGATGAGGTGATGGTCCTGGCGGGTTGGGATGGGGTGACGCGGTTAGGATGGAGCCACGATGGAGGTGATGATGGAGTGCGATGTCTGGTTCACACACTCACCAGGATGATGTAGTGGTCCTGGCTGGTGAGGATGACGGTGTTGGGGTAAGGATGGGGTGCCTGGGTGAGGATGGGGATGTTGGGGTGAGGATGGGGCTGACGGGGTGAAGATGGGGATGAGGTAATGCTGAATGGTAAGGATGGGGTGTTGGGGTAAGTTTTGGGTTGACAAGGTGAAGATGGGAGTGATGGGGTAAGGATGGGGGCGAAGGGGTGAGGGTGGGGCTGATGGGGTGATGACTCACCAGGATGAGGTAACGCTCTTGGCTGCTCCTGTTCTTGGCTGACAACTTGAGGATGTGACCCTCTTTGATCAGTTCCTTGGTCGGGTTCACAATGTCCTCCTCTCCCCCAAGAAGCTCGTAAACTTTTAACAGTTTGTGCATCCGTTCCTGTCAGAGAGAGAGTCAACATCATCATCAACAACATCATTCTCATTAACATCATCATCACCATCGTGGGGAGTGGGGGGGGGGGGGAGTGGATACTCACCATTTTACGGATGGCTGCGTTGGAATGATCGGCTGCTGTTGATATTAACTCCAGAGACTCTGTGAGGGGGAGAGAGACGGGGGGGGGGGGGCGTGGGTTGGAGAGAGAGAGGGGGAGAGAAAGTGTGAGACACACAACACTGTTCACATGGTGCGCGTCACGGGGGGTGGGGGGGGCATCAGGGCGAGGACGGGAGGAGGCTGGGGGATTTGGGGTGATGGAGGGAATTGGGCGTAGTGGTGGGGGGGGTGTTAGCGGGAACAGGCAGGGGAGGGGGAGCCGAGCGAGGGGGGTTTAGGGGACACTAACTCTCAGCGTCCCCCCTGTCTGGGGAGTCGGGGGGCAGTTTCCGCAGATAGTCTGTGAGCAGCAGTTGGTAACGAGGGATTCTCTGGACCGGTTCCAACATGTGATGGGTCAGTGTCAGATTCCCACAGAGATCCTCCTTCTGTGTGTGAGGCAGAGACACAGAGTCAATACACACTCACTCACACACACACTCACTCACACACACACTCACACACTCTCACACACATACATACACACACACACTCACACATACTCTCACATACACACTCACACACACTCACACTCACTCACTCACACTCACTCACACACAGACACACACACACACTCTAACACATACCCACTCATACACACTCACTCACACACACTGACACACTCTCAAACACACACACAAACCCTGTCACACACACACTCACACACACAGCTCCTCTATATTAGAGAGGGGGTGTGGGGGCTATGGCTGACCTGGACTGCCTGCAGCACGGCTGTGAAGTGGGGGGAACGTTGGCTCCAGTTGCTGACCAGCTCCATAGCTCGGTCGAAGTTGCTGACGTATTCGCCGTACATCTTGAGGAAGGGGGCCAACTTCTGTACAATGTCCCCAATCCGAGGGGTCACATGCCTGGGGGGTGGGGGGGGGGAGAGAGGGAGGGAGGGGGAGATAGGGGGGGAGAGAGAGAGCGGGGGTGGGGGTGGAAAGAGATGAATATTGAAATAATTAGGCTTATCCCTACCCCCCCCCACTCCACGCTCTCACCCTCCCCATTCTCCCCTCCCACTCCCTCGCCCCTCCACTCACCACTCCTCCATGCGTCTCTCGAGGGCGGGCAGCAGGAAGTTGTGATGGAAACAGTAAATGGAGCCGGTGTTGGAGAAGATTCCCGTCACCACCTCCCCAGGCAACGAGGAGTTACAGCGAGACTCAGCCAGCAACCGTGCACAGAACACCTGGGTGTGACAGAGAGAGTGTGAGAGACAGAGAGACACACAGATTGTGAGAGACAGAGAGAGACACAGAGTGTGAGAGACAGAGAGAGACACAGAGTGTGAGAGACTGAGAGAGACACTGAGAGTGTGTGAGAGAGAGACACAGAGTGTGAGAGACTGAGAGACACAGAGAGTGTGAGACATAGAGTGTGGAGAGAGAGACACAGAGTGTGAGAGACTGAGAGAGACACAGAGTGTGAGAGACTGAGAGAGACACTGAGAGTGTGTGAGATAGTGAGAGAGACACAGAGTGTGAGAGACTGAGAGACACAGAGTGTGAGAGATTGAGAGAGACATAGAGTGTGAGAGACTAAGAGAGACACAGAGTGTGAGAGACTGAGAGAGACACAGAGTGTGAGACAGAGAGACAGAAAGAGACGGAGAGAGTGTGAGAGATAGTGAGAGAGACACACACAGTGACACAGAGGGTGTGAGAGAGACAGAGAGAGAGACACTGCACGACTGTCGTGATGACTGTAGTGACGAGTGTTTATTACCTGGTCAAGGAGGTGAAGCCTGGACACATACGCTCTCTCCGTCTGCAGCAGCTCATTGGCCACGTTGAAAGCTTTCTGTGCTGCCGTTAGCTGTTACACACATAAACCCTCATTACACACGCCTCACGCACACTCACCTCACACCCACTCGTCTCACGCTCGCAACAACAACAAGTTGCATTTATATAGCAACCTTCATGCCGGACGGTGTCTCAGAACGATTTGAGACTCACCTCACGTGCTCAGACACACACACACACCCTCACAGACACACACACAGACACTCACAGACACAGACACTCAGACACACACGCGCTCAGACACACAAGCGCTCACAGACACAGACACAGAAACTCACAGACACACACACACAGACGCTCACAGACACACACACACAGACGCTCACAGACACACACACAGAGCTGGTTGATGGCTTTACCTCTCCCGGCTCTGCAATCTCGTGTGATGTGGATTCGGACTCCTCTCCGCTCCCCTCCCCCAGATCACTGTCAGCCTCGGAGTCCCTGAGGCCGGCCCCCCTGCCCTGGGTGGGGGTCTGGGGCTGAGTCTGGGTGTGGAGGGTCTCGTCACCAGTAAAGCACAGCTCGTCGCTGGTGGAGGGGGAGCTCAGGCTGTCAATCCCACTGTCCCTGTTCCTGACCTTGGCCCCACGCCAGCGACACTCGCCCACCATCTCCGAGCTTTCCATCAACTCCTGCAGCTCTGTCAGGCTGATCCCACACTCCAGACCCACAGCGGCCTTCCCGGGAACCTCCCCACCCAGCCCCGGGCACGGACACAGCATCTCTACTCCCAGCGGGATCCGCTCCCTGTGAGAGAGAGAGGGGGGGGTGGGGGGAAGAGAGTGTGTGTGAGAGAGTGTTAGAGGCAGAGAGAGCGTATGTGTGTGTGACAGAGAGTGTGAAAGAGAAAGAGGTGTAGAGAGAGAGAGTGAGAGGCAGCGAGCGAGTGAGACAGAGAGAGGGAGTTAGTGTGTGTGAGTGACACTGTGTGTGTGAGAGAGAGACCAGGAGTGTGTGAGAGAGAGTGTGTGAGAGAGGCAGAGAGAGTGTATGTGAGAGAGTGTGTGAGAGTGTGTGTGTGTATGTGAGAGGCAGAGAGATGAAGAGTGTGTGAGAGAAAGAATGTGTGTATGAGAGAGGCAGAGATGAAGAGAGTGTGTGTGTGAGTGTTTGTGTGTGTGAGAGTGCGTGTGAGAGTGCGTGTGCGTGTGAGTGAGTGTGAGTGTGAGCGAGAGAGGCGGAGAGAGTGAGAGGCAGAGATGAAGGAGAGCTCACCTCTCAAACTGTTGGATGAGTGAGGACACACATGGGGAGTTGCCCACATCTCTGGCCATGGCTCTGGGGGGCTTGGTCCTGTCAGGCCTGGGGTCCGCGGGCAGTGGTCTGGATGGGGGAGGGGGGATGGGCTCCAGCAGGCGGGAGCGACGGGCGCTGTGCAGGTGGGGGGGCTTCGGGGGAACTGGCAGATCAGAGACAGAGAGAGATTGAGAGAGTCTGACACTATTTGATAGACCACCTTATCACATTGTCAAGACACTTCAAAGTGCTTCACAGCATTTACTGTGAGGTGTAGTGACTGAGGCAAACGTGGTAACCAACTGAGCACAGCGACGTCTCACAAACAGTCGTGTGTTGAGTGACCACATTATTATCGGCCGGGATTGGACTGGATTGTCAGTCAGGACACCAGAAGAGCGAGAGAGAGAGATTCCCTTCTCTTTTTGAACAGCCTGAGGGAGGTCTTTAACGTCCACCCGAACAGGCAGGCGGAAGCTCAGTTTGACGTCGCCATGCACAACACAGCTGCACAACACACAGTCACTACACTTTAGTGATTCTGCGAAACATTTTGCATCCGGCAATACTACAGGTGACCACTGGAGGACAACCACAAGCCATTTCCACTACACTGTGTGTCCGCACTCCCAGGTCAGGGTTAGAGACACAGTAAAGCTCTACACTGTGTGTCCACACTCCCAGGTCAGGGTTAGAGACACAGTAAAGCTCTCTCTGTCTGCACTGTCCGGGTCAGGGCTGACACAGTATTATTGATTGTATTATTGATCGCTGATGCTCACCTTGTGGTTTGGCTTTGGGGGGGACTGGTTTGGGGTCACTGACCCCCGTGGCAATGCTGTCAATGTTGGGGGGGAAGCTGGGGTGTTGGGATTCAGCCCCTCCTTCGGGCCATCGTGGGGTTTCCAGCGACAAGCTCCTCACCAGCGAGCAGGAGGCAGACACCCCTAAAGACACACAGTGAGAGAGGGGGTCAGTACAGAGAGAGAGGGGGAGAGAGAGAGAGAGAGAGAAAGACTGTGAGGGAGTCAGAGTCCGAGTGAGACAAACAAACAGATACTGTAACTGGAACTAACAGACTGTGCAGCTGCTCTCAATCACAGAGTCCACAGAGACACTCACTGCTCTACGATCACTCTCTCTGTCCACTCTTCGGGCTCTCCCTCTCTCTCCCCCTTCTGTCTCTCTCTCTCTCTCTCTCCCCCTCTCTGCTTGTCTCCCTCTCTGTCTTCTGTCTCGCGCCGCGCCTCTCGCTTTCACACTCGCCTCGCAGTCTCTCTCGCTCCCAAAACAACAACTTGCATTTATGCAGCACCCCTCACACAGGGTAGCGTCCCAGACTCTCTCTCTTCCTCCCTCCCTCTCTCTCTGCGTGTGTCTGTCTCTGTGAGAAACACAGCCACACACACACACACACACACACACACACACAGGAGAGAGCGATTTGGGAGAAATGGTACGGAAAAGAGACGAGAGAGATGAATTCAAAAGTAAAGGCTTGAAGCTTGTGGGGGTGGGGGGGTGGGGAAGAGGTTTAAACACTACCAGATGGGAGTGAGCCATTCTGGTAACTAACTAGTTATTAAACCCACGTGTCTGCAAACCATTACCTCGTCCCAAGCCCACCCCCACGCTGCAGCTCTCCTCTCATCCCATCGCTCTTTCTCCCCCACCTAGACCTTAGGGAAGGGAATCTCTCTCTCTCACCACCCCCTTGCCCTGGCCGACGAGCCTCTCCAGATAAAATCACTCGCTCGCTTTAATGACTGTTTACGGGGGTGTCACTGTGTCTCAAAGAAGCGCTTTGAGACGTCTGGAAGACACGAAAAGCGCTATGTCAAATGCAGGGATTATTATTATTATTAGAGACACATACACAGGGACGCACGCACACCGGCACAGACAGAGAGAGAGGGAGAGAGAGAGAGAGAAGCACAAAGAGAGACATGTACAGAGGGAGGTACACACACGTACAAACACAGAGAGACACACACACACACACACACACAGACAGACAAAGCGATACACACACACAGAGCGATACACACACAAACACAGACACAGACAGAGAGAAACACAGAGAGACAGACAGCAATATATAGAGAGTGAGAGACAGAGAGAGGTTGTTCACACACACACTCAGCCCTCAGATATCAGACACTCTCTCTCTCTGTGATCAACCAGTGCCCCCAACTCTCTCCATCCCAGCAGCACCTTCCCTGCCAACCCACTCCAGGCCACACACACACTCCCCTCACACACACACCCCCACCCTCACACACACACACTCCCCTCATACACACACACTCCCCTCATACACACACCCCCACCCTCATACACACACCCCCACCCTCATACACACACCCACCCCCATACACACACATCCCCACCCTCATACACACACACACACACTCCCCTCACACACACACACACTCCCCTCACACACACTCCCCTCATACACACATACACCCCCCCACCCTCACACACACACCCCCACCTTCATACACACACACTCCCCTCATACACACACACTCCCCTCATACACACACACACACTCCCCTCACACACACTCCCCTCATACACACATACACCCCCCACCCTCACACACACACACCCACCTTCATACACACACACACCCTTCATACACACACACACTCCCCTCATACACACACACACACCCCTCATACACACACACCCTCATACAGACACACACACCCCTCATACACACACACACCCTCATACACACACACACCTCTCATACACACACACACACACACACCCACCCTCATACACACACACTCCCCCCACCCTCACACACACACTCCCCTCACACGCTAACACAAACCTCTCCTTTTACAGGATTCTTTGTGCAAAGCTAATTTTACGCCCCCCCCCACCCCACCCCCTCTCGATCTCTCTCTCTCTCTGCCCATCCACACTCCCCAGGTCAGGGTTAGAGATAGAGCAAAACTCCCCTTGTGTATCGCTATCTCTGTCCATCTCTCTGTCTCTGTGTCCCTCTCACTCCCTGTCTATCTCTCTGTGTGTCTCTCTCTCTCCCTCTCTCCCCGCCACCCACTCTCTCACCCCCTCGCGCTCTCTCCCCCCCTCGCGCTCTCTCCCCCCCTCGCGCTCTCTCTCCCCCTCGCGCTCTCTCCCCCCCTCGCGCTCTCTCTGTGTGTTGCCTGTGATCACAGTAACACTCACCACCTGAGCAGAGCACAGAGAAGCTGGCGGTCCTGAGCTGCCGAGGAGAGGCTGAGGCGCTGGGCTCACAGCTACAGGGAGGCGATGGCAGGTCTGACAAAGGCATCCTCACCGGGTTCAGCTGCATCTTCTCCTGCAAACACACAAACACTCTCACACTCACACACAGACACTCTCACACTCAGACACACACAAACACTCTCACTCTCACACTCACACACACACAAATACTCTCACACACACACACTGTCACACTCACACACACACAAACACTCTCACACTCACACACAGACACTGTCACACTCAGACACTGTCACACACTCACACACAGACACTGTCACACTCACTCTCACACTCACACAGACACTGTCACACTCACACTCACACACTCACACACAGACACTATCACACTCACAAACACTCACACACAGACACTGTCACACTCACACACAGACACTGTCACACTCACACAAACACTCTCACACTCACACACAGACACTGTCACACTCACACTCACAACACTCACACACAGACACTGTCACACTCACACACACACAACCACTCTCACACTCACACACTGTCACACTCACACAAACACTCACACACAAACACACACACAAACACTCTCACACTCGTACACAAACACTCTCTCACACACGCAAACACACACACATACAAACACTCACTCACACTCAAAGACTGCCACACAAACACTCACACACAAACACTCACACACACAAACACTCCCTCACACTCACACATAAACTCTCACACTCACAGACTGCCACACAAACACACACATACAAACACTCTCACACACAAACACACACAAACACTCACACACAAACACTAACACTGTCACACTCACACACAAACACTCTCACACTCACACACAAACTCTCACACTGATACACACACATACTCTCATACACTCACACACAAACACTGTCACAATCACATAAACACTTTCTCACACACAAACACTCTCACACACAAACACTCACAAACACACACACAAACACTCTCACACTCGTACACAAACACTCTCTCACACACGCAAACACACACACATACAAACACTCACTCACACTCAAAGACTGCCACACAAACACTCACACACAAACACTCACACACACAAACACTCCCTCACACTCACACATAAACTCTCACACTCACACTCAAAGACTGCCACACAAACACACACACACAAACACTCACTCACACATAAACTCTCACACTCACACTCAAAGACTGCCACACAAACACACACATACAAACACTCTCTCACACAAACACTCTCACACACAAACACTCACAATTGCACACACACAAACACTCTCACACACAAACACTCACAATCACACACACACACAAACACTCTCACACTCGTACACAAACACTCACAATCACACACACACAAACACTCACAAACACTCGCACACAAACACTCACAATCACACACACAAACACTCACAATCACACACACACAAACACTCTCACACTCGTACACAAACACTCACAATCACACACACAAACACTCACAATCACACACACACACACTCTCACACAAACACTCACAATCACACACACACACACACTCTCACACAAACACTCACAATCACACACACACACACTCTCACACAAACACTCACAATCACACACACACACACACTCTCACACAAACACTCACAATCACACACACACACTCTCACACAAACACTCACAATCACACACACACACACACACACACTCTCACACAAACACTCACAATCACACACACACACACACACACACTCTCACACAAACACTCACAATCACACACAAACACACACACACACTCTCACACAAACACTCACAATCACACACACACAAACACTCACAAACACTCGCACACAAACACTCACAAACACTCGCACACAAACACTCACAATCACACACACACTCTCACACAAACACTCACAATCACACACACACTCTCACACAAACACTCACAATCACACACACACTCGCACACAAACACTCACAATCACACACACACTCGTACACAAACACTCACAATCACACACACAAACACACACACACACACTTAAGACAAACACAGACCCACAAGCTCTCTCCTTCTCCCCCTTTCCCTGTGGCTGTACTGACGCCCCTCCCCCGTACCAGCGAAAAGTCCTCAGAACTTGTTTGAAAGTTTCTTTGTGTCTCGATCGCTTCCATTCACAACGTACATTTCCCGACCCTCTATCTCTCTCCCCCCCCGTTTCCTTCTCTTTTTTTGCGTAAACATATATCTGTGTCGGTCACGAACACATATCTGTTTCCCGTTCTCTTGTGCGGTGGAGCGGCTCCGAATTTGAGGGCTCCAAACCGATGCCTTCAACTGACCCCAAACTCTCTCTGTCTCTGTCCCGACTCACACACAAAAAAATCAGTTATTCCTCTCCGCACAGGATATACGCCCTTTCCTTAAAGGCACAGGACAAACCCTTCAGGCTCCTCGTCTCCCAGCGCAGCGACTTAAAAGCTGCTCACCCTCAGCAAACTCCACACACACACACACACACACCCACACCCCGAGCCCTCACCCCCACACGGGGAGGCTTTGAGCTCACAGTCTGAGCTGACGCTCCAGTGCAGCTCTGGGGGGGGGGGGGGGGAGGAGAGAGCGCTCCCCACTGTCAGAGGTCCTTCAGATGAGTCCCTATGTGGGACTCACCCCCATCACACACACACACACACACACACACACGCACGTCGGGTATAGGCTAAGCTGATGCTCCAGCGCAGCGCTGGGCGGAGGTTTGTCTTGTCGGCATTGCCACCCTTCGGATGAGACGTTTAAACCTTATAATAATAATAAACCTCACTCCCCGCTCGTGCCCTTTATCTGTGAGCCTCAGCCCCCATCCTGGCCTGGGGCAGAGAGAGGGTTAAGGGGGGGGGGGGGGAGGAGAGGGTTAAGGGGGGGCGGGAGGAGAGGGTTAACTACGGGCTAACACATGGCTTCCGCCCTCTCCCCTCGGGAATCCACACTCAGCACAGTCCGGCCTCTGAAAACTTTAATAGTAATAATAGAGGATGTGGCCCAGTGCGGGACTCACAGCACAGAGATTGGGAGAGGGGGAGGGAGGGGGGAGAGAGAGAGGGAGGGGAGAGAGGGAGGGAGGGGAGAGAGGGAGGAGGGAGGGAGAGAGGGGAGAGAGAGAGAGAGAGGGGAGAGAGAGAGAGAGGGGGGAGAGAGAGAGAGAGGAGGGAAGAGAGGGAGGGGAGAAAGAGGTGGGGGGGAAGAGAGATGTACAGAGACGGTGGAGGGAAACGGGGGGGGTGGTGGGAGACAGAGTCGGAGAGGGGTCGAGACAGATAGAGACAAGAGACACACATACACAGACTGAAAGGTAGAGAAAGGGAGTGGGGTGGTGGGGGGGTGGGGGGGGTGGGGGGGGGGAGAGAGGTCGTGTGCAAATTGGCTGCCGTTATGGCACAGTCACTACGTTTCACGCCAATATCCTGTGAGGTGCTTTGAGACGTCCTCCCGATGTGATAAGGTGCTGTGTGGCAATGCGAGGGGTGTTATTCTCAAAGCAGAGGGGAAGGTAATAACTGTGAAATGCATTAACTGTGGATTTGTGGGCAGTTTGCACACAGCAACGTCCCGTAAACAGCCACGGAGCGAGTGACCAACTCTATCCGGGGGATTGTCAGTCAGGACATCGGGAGAGAAACTCCCTGATCAATAGCCCTGTGGGAGACCTTTAATGTCCACCTGAACAGGTATAGGTGAGACCTTGGTTTAACGTCTCATCCAAAGGATGTCAGCAGGTATGTATGTGTGTGTGTGTGTGTGTGTGTATGTATGTGTGTGTGTGTGTGTGTGTGTATGTATGTGTGTGTGTGTGTATGTGTGTGTGTACGTGTGTGTGTATGTATGTGTGTGTGTGTATGTGTGTGTATGTGGGATGAAAATCAGAAAGCAATACATTGGGAACACTAAATTTCTATGCAGTGGAGGCTGCCTAATTCGGACATGTCAGAGCAGGCGACGTGTCTGAATTAACCAGAATATATTAAATCGGTTCAGAACAGAAACGCATTGGGAGCTGGCGTTCTGCCCCAAAATAAACAGTGACCGAGGTTAACCAGACTGAGACTTGAGCGGCCCCCACTGTATGTACAGAAAAAAAATATCTTTTTTCATATTTTTCTGATATCTGTGGCAATGTGGGTTCCAGGGAGGAACGTTTCAGCCTCTGTGGCTTTCTCGACTTACACAGCAGGGTGGAAAGAATGTGTTTCACATTAACAGTCTCCTTGTTAAAGCGGAGACAGCAAGCGAGGCAACAGGAATCTACTCCAAGCTGCTGCACACCACAATCTCAAGTGCTCCAACATCTAACCTGGGAGTGCGAGGGAGCTTTACTGTGTCTCTAACCCTGACCTGGGAGTGTGGACGCACAGTGTAGAGGAGCTTTACTGTGTCTCTAACCCTGACCTGGGAGTGTGGACACACAGTGTAGAGCTTTACTGTGTCTCTAACCCTGACCTGGGAGTGTGGACGGACGCACAGTGTAGAGGAGCTTTACTGTGTCTCTAACCCTGACCTGGGAGTGTGGACACACAGTGTAGAGGAGCTTTACTGTGTCTCTAACCCTGACCTGGGAGTGTGGACACACAGTGTAGAGGAGCGTTACTGTGTCTCTAACCCTGACCTGGGAGTGTGGACGCACAGTGTAGAGGAGCTTTACTGTGTCTCTAACCCTGACCCGGGAGTGTGGACACACAGTGTAGAGGGAGCGTTACTGTGTCTGTAACCCTGACCTGGGAGTGTGGACACACAGTGTAGAGGAGCGTTACTGTGTCTCTAACCCTGACCTGGGAGTGTGGACACACAGTGTAGAGGAGCTTTACTGTGTCTCTAACCCTGACCTGGGAGTGTGGACACACAGTGTAGAGGAGCTTTACTGTGTCTCTAACCCTGACCTGGGAGTGTGGACACACAGTGTAGAGGAGCTTTACTGTGTCTCTAACCCTGACCTGGGAGTGTGGACGGACGCACAGTGTAGAGGAGCGTTACTGTGTCTATAACCCTAACCTGGGAGTGTGGACGGACGCACAGTGTAGAGGAGCTTTACTGTGTCTCTAAAGTAAATAAGCTCCTTGTGGCTGAGTTAAATAGCTTCACTTTAAGCAGTTGGAATTTTATGATCACACACCATTATCATCTCGAGAGTGAAACACCTACATCTCGTGGTTGCAGCTCAGTACTGCAACAATCGGAATTATAATCTGAAAACAAAAACAGATGTCGCTGGGAACCGTGTGGACGCAGAGTATAGGGGGAGCTTTACTGTGTCTGTGACCTGGGAGTGTAGACGCACAGTGTTGAGGGAACGCTCAGTGTTCCCAGGGTCTTCTGTCTTTGTTTTCAGATTTACAGCATCTGCATTATTTTTCTTTTTTTTTAAAAGGAATTATAATCTATTTCATAGATAGGATTCACTGCAAAGTGAAGTCACTGTTCATTTTATGGCTAATCTGCGCCCAGTGACGACGTCCCCACACAAAGCAGCAAAATGAACAGAATTCGATTGCGATTGGCGTAGTGGTTAGAGCACTCACCTCCGAGCGAGAGGACCCGGGTTTGATTCCTGGCCGGGCATGGCGAAACCCGAGGCAAGTTTCCTTACTCCGCACACGTGCCTCTCTTTACCTAGCAGTAAGTAGGAACCTGGTTATTAGTCGGCGATTGGCAGATTGCTTTCCAGGGGTAATAATCCCTTCAAAAAAAAAATAATGATTTGGTCACTCAATATATGACTGTTTGTGGGACACTACTGTGCCCAATTGGCTGCTGCGTTTTGCCCACAAAATAGTCACTACACTTTACAATATATCTGTGAAGCACTTTGATATGTCTCAACGACTTGATAAGGCGCTATATTATTATATTATTATATCAAATGCAAGGATTATTATTAACTCCATCTTACCTGCACCAAACTCCACATCCCATCACCCCAGCCCTCGCCAGGCTCCCTATTACACACACTACACTCCGTTCACCCATCACCCCTATCCTTGCCAGGCTCGACAGGCTCTGTTGCAGACTCCTCACTCTTACCTGCAATGCACTTCACACTACATTTGTATATAGTCTTTCATGTCAGGAGGACATCCCAAGGCACTGGATAGTTAGGGATTTGGACCCGAGCTGGTGGTTGAGATCAGGAGGGGTGGAGGGTGACCGAATTTGCGGTTGAAGAGGAGGGCCTTGAAGGAGGCAAGTTGTATGTAAATAAAGAGTTGAGATTGAGTACCAAACAAGCTTTTTTTTTAAAGAAGATATTTATTGGTTTTCATTGCTTGTGTCAAGAGAGATACACACACACACACACACACACACACATGGCACCTTCTCTCTGCCTCTTTCTTCCCTATTAGAAATGAACCGCTTGTCAGTTCTCCAAAGGCGAGATGACATAATTGTATAAAGAATATGGCAGTGATTGACCGCAATGATAAAGAATATTTAAAAAGGTTCTGCTGTAGTGCAGACTGGCCGTGAGGATTCCAGGGTTACTGTCTAACACACAGCCACACGCAAGGGATTACCCCTCTCACAGTGTCCCCCCCCAGTCTCTCTCTCTCTCTCTCTCTCACACACACACACAAGGGATTACCCCTCTCACAGTGTCCCCCAGTTTCTCTCACACACACACACACTCCATACTCGATCTCAGCCATCAGAACTGTTGTCAGATCTTTAACATCCGCCTCCAAAACCCCCACAGGAGCTGAGTTTAATGTCTCAAGTGAAAGACGGCGCCTCCATGCGGCGGAAGGTCCATGTGGCGCTCTCTCTCTCTGCCCCCCCCCCCCCCCCCCCAGCCTGGACTGTGAGCTCAAACTCCCCCACATGTGGGTGGGGCTCAAACCCACGACTGTCTTGACTTGGAGACGCGAGGACGAGCGACTCAACCCGTTCCGAGTCTCCCTCTCCTCGAACAAAACTGACCAAACACATTGGACGGCCTTCCTCTTGAAATAAATATCTTCTCTAATAAGTTGGGTTCAGGAGCTGACAGGATCTTGCGAGTCCTGGAGGCTGATCCAACAAAGGCAAATTTTTCTGCTTCTTTACTGACAAAGTCTCAGCATTGCCGAATCACGGTTCATCTCTGTCGCGGGCAATGAGGAGGGGATCGGTCAGACAACCCAGACTAAAGCAGCTACTGTCCTGCTTTGTGGGTTACACGGATATAACAGTGAGAACTGACAGAATCCAGGCCTCTACATCCCGGGGAGGGTGAACACCAAGCGAGGAATCTGCAGCTACAGTTAAGGCACCTGTGAGCAGGGTTAGAGTTTAATGCTCGCTGTCTGTTTGCAGAGAGGAGAGAGGAACGACCGTGCTGGTCTGACCAGTAGGGATATGGAGCTGCCGAGATTTCAGGGACAGCAATGACTCCGAGCTTGTTGTTTTGTTTCAGTGATGGACAGAGATCTGGTGTAAAGCACAGATCCGGTTACGGTGAACACATAAGGTCTTGACTGAGCTATGGGGTTTGGGGTCCAGTCTGGGAGGTGGAGGGAAATATACATATAAAAAGGCTTTTGTGCTGCACGGGCCTGTGTGTGTGCATGTGAGTGTGTGTGCGAGTGTGAGAGTGTGTGCGAGTGTGAGCGTGTGTGCGAGTGTGAGCGTGTGTGCGAGTGTGAGCGAGCGTGAGTGTGAGCGTGTGTGCGAGTGCGAGCGTGTGTGCGAGTGCGAGCGTGTGTGCGAGTGTGAGCGTGTGTGCGAGTGTGAGCGAGTGTGTGCCTTCTCACAGCCTGAAATCATCGCTGTAAAGGTTGGAACCACTAAATAAAGGCACAGTGTGATCGCTTGGCTTCACTCTGCCACGGAGGGGCAGAGATTTTACAGTATAGAGCAACACTGACTCCTTCACCTCACAACTCATTTGAGTGGTTAGCGCTCGCCTCACAGCCAGAGGACCCGGGTTTGATACCCGGGCAGACGGGCAAAGCCTCTAACCCTGATCAGGCCGCGGTGACCGGGACAATCAGGAAGCTTGACATTCGTTCTTTTCTTGGGGAGGAAACGCAACACAGCCCTGTGTGTGAGGTCGCTCAGCACGTCAGGCAGATGCTAAAGGCACGGATGGGGTTTATAAAGTGTCGTGTTCGGGTGGGAATACCCAGACAGGCACACGGGGCAGAGATTCAATCAAAATGTGCATCCAATAAAAATTACTGATTGTGGCACTGCAGCTTAGAGCTCCTCCTGCCTGAGCACTAGGTGGGCTGACACCCGGCACAGTGTCTCTCTGCTGTTTAACACTTGCCTCACCAGAAGTGAGTGAGGACCGGAGGAGCTGATTTGCTCGAGAAGCACACGGACATTACAGCCCGCACTGCAATCAGTGACACGGAGAGAGAGGGGGGAAAAAGGGCTAAAACTATGGACACAGACAGTTTTCCCCTAATGGCTGCTTCACGTGTGCATACATTCACCAAATGAGCCCAGCTTTGCCAACTTTCATTCATTCTAGTGAATGGGGAGAAGCGGAGCTTAAGGCTCCTGGAAGGAACAGTCTGGCTCACACAGTCTATGCTTCCTCTCTTTCTCTCGTACCCTCTGCTCTCCGGTTTCTTGTTCCTTTTCTCTCGGAGGCCAGCAATGGGGAGGCACAAGGTCAATGGGATTAAGGCGTTGTCCAATTTTACTGATCCCTCCAACTCAAATATTCTGTTGCTGGAAAAACACAAGGAAACAATGTTATTGTCTCTAAAAGGTAAAATGTCAGGTACACAAAGGGTAAAACCTAAAACAGCTCACGGTTACAGAGTACCCATCAGGCAGGGCAGTGTCTCGGAGTGCTTAACAGTGGCGGAGCCTGACACCGAGCCAGGGGGAGAGAGAGTGTGCGGGAAGAGAGAGAGGAGGTGAGGGTCGGGGGAAGGGAGAGTAGGCGCAGTCGCAGAGGAAGGTCTTCAGGTGGGATCTGAACAGGAGGCAAGACACAAAATTTGGACTCTATCAAATGCAAGTATTATTATTATTATGACAGGTTTGGTGGCTGAGAGCACGGAAGGCTGCTCATGGTGGAGAGGAGAGGACGAGGGACGGGCAGGAGGCGGCTGAGTGAAGAGGGAGCGGGCGGGGGAGTCAGTTTCAGCTTCACATGGAGAAAAAAAGTAAAGAACAAGGCCAGCCTGTGAGCTCAGAGCCCTGCCTGATGCGGGGCCTGAATCTCCTGACTCAGAGACCAGAGCGCGAGTGACCGAGTCAGGCCGAATGGCTGCTTCTGTGCCAGGATTCTGGGATTGTACATCTGCCTGACCACACAGAGAGGGCTTGTTTGCTGCCTGTGCGCAGTAAACACACTCCACTCCTGACCCCGGTGTGGAGACAGCCCGGCTTGATCTCAGCCTTACACTGTGCTGGCATCCCAGCTGGGAAAGGGGGGGGGGGGGCGCGTTTGTGTAACAATAATTCTTGCATTTGACACAGCACCTTATCCCATCTTCAAGACGATTCAAAGCGCTTCACAGAATAAACTGTAAAATGTAGTGACTAGGGTGTATTTTGTGGGTGAAGCAGCCAATTGCACACAGCAGTGTCCCACAAATAGTCGTGGATTGAGTAACCACATTATTATTTTGAGGGATTATTACCTCCGGAAAGCGATCCGCCGATCGATGCTACTTACGGCTGATAAACAGGTGTGTGTGGGGAGAAGGGAAACTTGCCTAAGGTGTCACACTGCCCGCCCGGCAATGAAACTCATGTTCTCTGGCTTTGCGAGGTGAGTGCTGAAATCACTTCACTCCAGGCCTCCATAGTAATCACGTGGGGTAGCGGCTGACAGGGCTGAGCCAGGTCACTAACAGCCTGTGAGGAAAGACACTAACCTGCTGCCCAGATGGGTCCAGCTGGGGGCCGGGGGGACACTAACCTGCTGGGTGTAGCGGAGAGGTCTGGCTCTGGCTTTGCTGCGAGAGTGTCTGGACTCCGGTCTGAAGTCCAGCTCCTCCAGGCGCTGTGTCAGGGCCAGCTTCTGCTGGATGGCCATACGTAACAGCGAGTTCAGCGTCTTCTTCTCATCCTCAGCCGCAGCCAACTGCCTCTGCATCTCGTCCAGCTGTGTGACATACTGATCACACCTGGGGCAGACGGGAGACAAGGCAATGGTCAACAAGCCACACAGAGCGAGAGGACGTGCGACAGCACAGTAACCCACACAGCACAGGGACATGTTAGAGCAAGAGAACCCGTCACAGCACGGTAACTGACATGCCACAGGGACGTTCACTCAGAGGACTGACAACAGATCAGCCTGGCTCAGTGGTAGCGCTTTCACCTCTGAAGGAGAGAGAGGGTGACAGAGAGAAACTCCCTGCTCTTTTCCCCCCTGACTGCACAACAGAAGATCTTTAACATCCACCTTTAATAAGTTTAACCAAGAGTGAGTGAGCTTTAACGTTTCATCTACTTAAACTCCTGTGCTGTCATGCTGGCTCGGTCACTCACACTGTGGCCCCCGATCCACAAGGGTGTGGGTGGAGGGGAGCTTCAGCTTAGACTATCTCAGTGACTCGCTATCCCCTGGCCCGGGGCTAGCTACACTATCTCAAGCCCCAACATGGCAGCTTGAACCCAGAGACTCACTGAGCCAGGCTGACATTGGTAGCCAGATCAAATGTGAAGCAGAGACAACAGTGGGAGGAGAGAGAGAGAGAGAGAGAGAGAGAAAAGCAGCCCTGTGTGTTGGCTGGACACCAGATTAGAACAAGGCACAATGTAACTGGATGGCACAGAGCTAGTGAACAGTGAGCGTGCCGCGTGGGCCAGGGCTATGGTTATATAATCAGGTTAGACTGGCTCACTGGCACATCAGCCCCTGGCTGCTCACTTGGGGAAGAACCAAAACCATAATGAAGGTGGGAAAGCTTCAAGGACAAGGTGGCTCTGACAGGCTGCTGGCCCATGGCTATCTTTTGGCCCAAAGTTTGCTCTACTCTCTCACCTGCTGGAAAAGATGGAGCACAGGGAAGAGAACGTAGTGGCTCTGACAGGCTGACAGTGACAGGTTCCTGGCCCAGGGCTAGCTCTCAGTGACCAGCTATCTCCTACCCCAGAGCTATCCCCTGACCTGTACAAGACTCTCACCTGCTGGCGAAGATGGAGCGTAGGGAGGAGAAAGTGGCCGCGTCCTCCTTCAGAGCCTTCAGCTCGTTACGCAGCTTCACCATCGTCTCTGACACCAGAGTCTTCTCATTGTCATATTTACTCTTCAGGTTAGCCATGGCCACCTCTGCCGTCTGTAACCACAAACAATCCTGAACTGAACTCTCGTTCCAACCAAGTAAAGCACAACAAGAACTCTAGACATCCTTCACGCGGGGCAGTGTCAAGGAGCACTTAGTACCAGAGAGGGAGAGGCGATCGAAGAGGAATAATAATCCTTGTATTTCATGCAGCGCATTATCACATCATTGAGAAGCCTCAAAGCGCTTCACAGGTAAAGTGTAGCGACTGTGTGTTTTGTGGGTGAGAGGCTGCAGCCAACTGCGCACAGCAACGTTCCACAAACAGTCATGGATTGAGTGACCCGTTTAATTTAGGTACGATCTAAACAGGGGCAAAAGCAGAGGGGTAAAGGCAAAGTCTCACAGGTTCAGGTGTGGTGACTGACAGCACAGCTATCCGTGCTCCCCACTGCTCCCCACTAACACTCACACAGGTCCAGGTAAGTCTGGGTTCGATTGCTGGTGCATTTCCATTTTTTCCTTGAATGAATATTTCTAGGTTTACGGCAAAAATCAAGGAATGTAGATCAGAAAATGTATTGTTTTGGCCGACCAGAAAGCTGGCCTGGACTGTGAGTTCTAAATCCTGAGGTGAGAGAGATAGTGAGAAGGCGAGAGACTGACTGACCGAGCGAGTGACTGACCGAGCGAGTGACTGAGTGAGTCGGGCTGCCACACAAAGTCCTGACCTGTTTGTTGGCTTTGAGCACAGTCCGCAGCGTGGCGATCTGTTCTCTCTTGGTGCTGAGCAGAGACTTGAGCTTGAGCACCTCCTCCACCAGGGCCTGTTTGTCCTTCTCCACCTCGGGGGAGAGCAGCTGGAGGGCTGCTCTCTGCCTGGACACCTCCACCACCACCTGCAGGTGTTTGAGTTGGCTGCGGATCACAGCGCTCAGGTTCAGGATGGTCATCGGCTCCTTGGGGCACTCCAGGGGCTCGGGGAGGGGGGAGGGAGGGAGCGAGCGAGGAGAGAGGTCCCCCCCACTCTCAGGCACGGACTCGGGAGACAAGATCCTCCGGCAGTACAGGTCGGAGGTGCGCTTGCGGCGATGAGGAGAGCTCCCTCTGAAGTGGTCCAGCATGACGCGGCTGGGGGTCAGGTTGTTATACATACACACGTGGTGATATAGACTAGCCAGCTCCTCACTGAGTGATACCAGCTCCTCCTGAGCTAGCGACAGGCCGCTCTGGCTCTCGGCGGCCACCTTGCTGCTCGCTCTGAGCTCCCGGTGGAGCCTGGCGATGCTGTCTCTGTCCTCCTGGCTACTCTGTGCGTGCTTGGCCAGGCTGCCCAGGAGCTCCTCACACTCCAGACGCTGTCTCTGGTGTCCCTCCTGGTGCTGGGTCTCACACTCCATGTACTTCACCTGCAGCTCAGCCAGTTCTGCCCTTAGCTGCTGGAGCTCTCTCACCACAGTTCTGTATTTACACTGGACAACCTCCAGCCCATTCACATCCACATCATAGTCCTCGCTGGGCTGAGTGCTGGCCTGCTCAGTCCCCAGCCTCTCCCCACCATTGAGCAGCTGTGTCTCAGCACACTGTGCCAGCTTCTCGGCCTTGTCTCGCTGCTCTCTCTCGAGCTGCCCCTGTAGGTCCTGAACAGCAGACACCAGGGAGGTCTTCTCTGCTTCCACCTGTTGCAGTTGCTGCCTGAGCTTGTGCACCTCAGACAGGTTGAGCTCAGTGAGCAGGTCAGACACCAGGCTGGGAGCAGGGTGGAAGGTCTGGCCGGCCTGCGGAGTGGACACTCTCAAACCCTCATGGTTATAGCCGCTGTCCAGCTCATCCTGGCTCACACTCTCTTCAAACCTCCACTCCTCCAGGTTGATGTGGACACTGCTGAGTGAGTCGTTGCTGTTGAGGAAGGCCGAGAGCTCCTTGCGGAGGCTGTTCTTCTGCTCTCGCTCAGTCTTCAGCGTCTCCAGAGCTTCGTCCAGATGCTGTTCCCCGATTTCCCTCAGCCGTGTCACTGCCTCCAGCTGCCCGTTCAGGATCTCAATCTCCTCTTCTCTCTGCTTGATCTCATGCTTCAGTCCCTCAAGCTCCACCTGACGAGCAGACACAGAGATGTTAGTTACACTGTAAAAGGCACACACACACATACATAGTGAGGGGACAGGAGGAGAAACACACAAGAGACATTACACTGTGCAGATTTATGGGGTAAGAGCAGGGGAGTGGGACTAGTTGCATTAAGAGTGAGGGAATGGGACTAGCTGGGGTAAGAGCAGAGGGAGAGTGGCACTAGTTGGGGTAGAGTGCAGGAGTGGCACTAGTTGGTAGCTCTTTGAAAGAGCCAGCAGAGGCACGGTGGGCCGAATGGCCTCCTTCTGTGCTGTAAGGTTCTAATAATTCTCTGCTGATGACAGTACGTACCTGGCTCTCCTTCAGTGTAGACACCTGCTTCTGTAAGGAAATGTTCTCCTCCTCCAGGTCCACACAGTCCTGGAGGTGCTGACTCTCCCTCACCTTCAGCTCCTTGATCTCCTGTCGTAGGTGGCTCTTCTCCAGCTCCACCTGCTCGTTTTTCTGCCGGGGGGAGAGAGAGATTAACTCAACCAGACACACACACACACGCACACACAGGTTAACTCAACCACACAGACAGCAGGCAGACAGACCAATTCTGCCACACTGACTCCAACAGCACTGCACGCACCACCCTTTCAATTGGTCCATTACTCCCCTGGCTCCGGCCACATACAATCATGTTCTGCCTTGGCCTCAAGCTCCCTGTTGTTAAGTGCTCTGAAACACTACCCCGTGTGAAGGGCGCTGTGTAAATGCAAGTCCTTGTTTTGCTTGTGCCAACAATGCGGATTGAGTTTCCTAATTCTTCTAATAATAATCCTTGCACTTGATATATGACCTTATCACATCTCAAAGTGCTTCACAGGATATACTGTAAAGTGTAGTGATTGTGTATTTTGTGGGCGGCAGCCAATTGCACACAGCAGTGTACCACAATCAGTCATGGATTGAGTGACCACATTATTACTTTTTTGGGGGGGGGAGGGATTTTTACCTTCAGACAGCGATCTGCCAATTGATAACTGGGTTCCTACTTACTACTAAAAGAATTACGCGTGTGGAGTAAGGAAACTTGTCTAAGGTTTCACCCGCCCGCGAATCGAACCCGCGTCCTCTGACTTGCGAGGCGAGCACTCTAACCACTAAGCTACAGGGACTCTACATAGACAACAGAGGATCAGATCAAATCTCAGACTTCCCTATGGACACATGGGAGCTCGTCACTCAGAAACCAAAGCCATGTTAATAGCTATTGTTACTGCACTGGCCTGCTCCCCGCCCTGGCTTCCTCTCTGTAAGGACCACCTCCTCGTCTGTGCGTGACACACAGACACTGAATGCCGCTGTGGTTTGTGCTCAGACATGGCATCCTGCAACCCATTTCCTCTCAAGGCTCTCGCTATTCAATCCTCTCTGCTTAGTCCAACATCAAAACAACAGCCTCGCCTAACAGGATACCACCAACTGGGCAATGATTGTATAAAAGCTGTTACACTGAGAAGAGCAAGCACTCTGAATGTGAAGTGTGTCAGCCTGGTTCTTGTCTCCGAGTGAAAGCCCCACATCGGGGCCTGGAACTCATATGGTCTAAGCTGACACACGAGCGTACAACCTGGGAGCTGTAAACCTAGCCACACTCCCCACTAAGAGTGGAGGGATAGGGAGGGAGGTACAAGACCCCATTTGTTACTGTGCCCAGTTAAAGGCGGCAGAAGCCCGAGGCGGTCCCTTCACCAAAGTGGAATGTGCAGAGGTCCCCCCACCCGCCACGAGGGGCCGGGTCTGTTGAGTTCTATAACAGGAATAATAACATGTTGCGTCTTCTTTTCTAGAAAGGGTTTGATACTGTCTGAGACGAGCGTAAATATCTATCAATAAATAATATATACATTTGTTCACTTCAATGGCAGTGCGTGGGACGTCCCTGTACCCAAATGGCTGCCACGTTCACCCACAAAAACTTTACAGCATATTCTGTGAAGCTCTTTCAGACATATATCAAATGCAAGGATTATTATTATTATAATAATTATAAGAGATTGCTTTACCTTCCTGAGTTCCTGGAGCTCGCCATGCACACACTCGATATCAGACACGGCGTTGGTGACCACCAGCTTGGCCTGCCTGCCCTCGGCCTGCAGCTCCATCACCTTGGTCACCAGCAAGGCCTCCTTCTTGGCAGAATCTCGCAACAACGTCTCCTCACGCGTCTCCCCATCGGCCGCCACCTTCTTGTGATTGCTGTAAGCTTCTGCAAAGGCCTGTAAAACAACACACGCCTCATATATACACATGGCTTCTGATAATGACACCCTTACGCAGGCTGGCGTCCCAGAGCGCGTGGTAACCCCCCCCCACCCCCCCCCCAATGCAAAAACCATCAAATTGGTATTTACCCAATAAACATAAGATTTTATTTGGGGGAATGTCAAGACTTGGAAACCATATAATCTAAGTTGACACCAGTGCAGTGCTGGGGGAACGAGACGTTGAGGTGGATGTTAAACATCCTATAGCACTGTTGAAGAAGAGAAGGGAGTAACTCTCTCTGTTGTCCTGACTGACAATCCCCCTTCATGGTAGTTTGCAGGACGTCGCTGTGAGTAAACTGGCTGCTGTGTTTTCCTGCAGTCATTGCACTTTTACAGCATCGCCTGTGAAGCGCTTTGAGATGCTCTCCCAACGTGAAAGGCGCTGAGTCATATGTAATGTTCTCATTATCAGTTGGAAGAGGGAGGGGACGGGCAGGAAAATGGAACTGAAGGAGAGGTGAAGCGAGGCATGTGAAGACTGAGAGAGAGAACTCAGCCGAAATACCAACCCAGTCTACAATGGTGGTTTGGAAAGTGTCACAGTAACTGCTAGGACGCAGCTCGGGAAAAGAAGCTTTGAACTTCACTGAACAAAAGCATTTCTCTCTCCTCTTGGCCTTGAGGACAGAACCATGAGACGTGCCAGCAAATGCCTCTATCATGGCCCCATTCCGAGATAGTCACGCCACATGCCAGGGAGACAGAAGTTTGAATCAGTCTTCTTCCAACTTAGCACAGCACTGCCCCTTTACTTTAGCTCCCTGACAACTCGGACATGTAATGCACCAGCCTGGGCTGCCATTACACCCTGTGAAGTGAGGCAGCAACGAGCTTTGGCACACTCTCCCACAACAGGGAGCATATTGAATCACAAATAGTTTCTGCCTGCTTCAAATAAGAGGTGATGTGGCTCAGGCTGTGACGGAGCTGTGGCTCAGTTCCTGACTGACCTGCCAGTTGTCTGCATGTCTGACTCACGTTTTGCCGTTGCTGCAGCTGGGACTGATTTGATAGGGTCAAAACAAACAGTCAGAGCAGCATTGTGAGCCTCAGTCACACCCACATAAGCCTTGCTCCTGGCTGATCCTGAAGTGGAGTTTAACATGCACCCTGTAGCCACATTGACCACCGCAGCCCAGATTACACCCGGCAGGGACTATATTCCTGCCATTGGAACAGGACTGAATGGAATTAATCCATCACCACTCACTGAGTCACTGTATAAAAACAATCCGTCACTGACAAACAGACTATTTCACAACACAAGAGATCAGGATTCACTAACGAAGAGCTTAAAGTCCACAGTTAAGTGCTCTCCATCCTAACAATATACATTCACATTTACACAGCAGCTTTCAATCCAGGAGGACATCCCGAGATGCTTAATTCGACTGAATTGGTGCCCAAGTTGGGAGTGGGAGCAAAGGAGGGGAAGGATGATCAAAGAGGAAGGTCTTGAGGTGGACCTTGAAGGAGGCGAGGGAATGGGTGAGGCTAAGGGACTCGAGGATGGAGTTCCAGAGAGCGGGAGCAGATAGGCTGAAAGCCCGGCTGTGGATGATGGGGCGGGTAAGGTAGGGTAAAGGCCGGAGGGAAGACTAAGCAGGCTAGCATTTCTTTACCTCAATGGCATCATGTTATTTTAAGCTTCCTGCTACATACTCCCTGGCACTAAATATACAGTAATATAGAAATAGCTGGTCTCAGTGTTACCTTACTGTAAATAGAGAAACATAACCATCTCTGGACTCCCCCCGCCCCCCCCCCCCCCGCTATTTAAATAGCCTGAGACACTTAAATGTATAGCCTTCAGTCACAGAGGTCAAAATCTCAAGGGATCAACTGAAGGCAAGTTTAGAGTTGATGGGGCAAGTTTAGAGGAAAATTTAAGTTGAAAAACAGCACGATTTGAACCACAAATAGTCCAAGATGCCACCGCAATCCAGTATTAGGCAAATCATTAACATGAGTTTATCTCCCCCACATTGCATTCTGTGCTGCAAACTGTACACAGAGCTGGAAGAAATTCTGCTGGGCTTTTCAACCATGTGCTAATGATTTCCATGAACAATGAGACAAACAGCAACAAATGGATGACTGCCTTAAGGAGGAACGTTTGAGAGTGAGTCATGAAACCACAGTCACATTGATACCAGGATTCAGTCCACCAACACCCAGAGACCATCGCTTGAGGATGAGATGTTAAATCAAACTCCCCGTCTGGGCCCTGTTCAGGTGAACGTTAAACATCACCCACTGCGCTGTCAGGAAAAGAGAAGGAAGTTTCTCTGTCTCTCCTGGGGCCTTAACAACAATCCCCAAATAAACCCGCTCCCTTGCTCCACAGCTGTTTGTGGGACGTTGCTGTGAGCAAATTGGCCGCCAGGTTCACCCACAACATATGCGAACCCTGCACTTTACAGTGAATCTTTATAAACTAATTGAGGCAATAAGCTATGTTCACGTGAGGGTTCCTGCTATCATTTTAGAGTTACTCAGAGTGCAAGCAGAGGCCAAATAGCCTCCAGACACAAGTCACAAATTCTTTTTGTGACAGATGTAAAGCTGGAGAAGCACTGGCTTTTACCATCTCCGATTATCAGCAGATTCCTGCCATAGTTTCTCCTGTAGCTAAGATCTCAAAATAACTCGACTGCACTTGTCTTAACTTCGGGGCTTTTCAGACTTATGAAATACACTAAACCCTGACAACTCCTCGCTCCAAGGGGAAAGGGCTCAGCGACTAGATATCAGGAGCAGCGAGTTAGATGTGTGTATAAATACATAAATGAATGTGGCTGGGATATTGACAGTACGATGACAAGCGGTAGTGACAAGTTAAGTCAGGGTTGAGTTGTCAGGAATTTTCAGCAATAATAATCCTTCCATGTGATACAGCACCTTGTCACATCGTCAAGACCGTCTCAAAGCGCTCCACGGGATACGCTGGGAAGTGTAATGACTGTGTATTTTGTGGGCAAACGTGAAGGCCAATCGGCATTTATCCAATTGGCTGCCACTTTTCACCCATAAAAAATACAATCCACTTGACAGCATAACCTGTGACGGGCTTTGAGACGTCTCGCTGACAGGATAAGGCGCTGTGTCAAACGTAAGGCTTATTATTATTAAAAATGACATGAAATGTAGAGGTCGTACTGGTTTAGGCCCAGCTAACAGCCCCAGGCCGACTGCTGATCAGCGTAAACACGGTCCTGACGCACACCCCCTGACCCAGGGCTGTCAAGGGTGATGGTGAGTGGCAGTCTCGCCGAGCCAATCAGAGCCCTGGGATGGGAGGGAGGCGGGACAGCAATCATCCCGCGGGAAGGTGGAAGAAAACTTCTCCGTGATCCGAACTTTCCACAGTGTTAATAGTCTCAGTCGGGTTATACACGTCAATCTTACATTGTGGTTACCTCTTCGTGCCACAAAACTTACCTGTGGTGTCAGTTCACACAGTTCTATAAGTTACCCGTTACTTTACATCAATCACAAAGTTATGCAGTTGCCCATTACTTTCGATGACCAATAGTTATAATCCTTTCAAAAAAATAATAATTTGGTCACTCAATCCACTGCTGTTTGTGGGACGCTGCTGCGCGCAATTGGCTGCTGCATTTTGCCCACAAAATATACAGTCAATTCACTTTACAGTATATTCTGTGAAGCGCTTTGAGACATCTCAAAGACGTGATAAGGCGCTGTATCAAATGCCAGAATTATTATTATGTGTCATCACAGCGATGGGTTTCGACATGTGTCAGGCTGATCACCGTAATGGGTTACTGTGTGTGTCAGACACCCGGCTGGTCATGGTGACGGGTTTCCGCGTGTGTGTGTCAGACACCCGTCTGGTCATGGTGACGGGTTTCCGTGTGTGTGTGTGTGTCAGACACCCGGCCGGTCACGGTGACGGGTTACCGCGTGTGTGTGTGTGTGTCAGACACCCGGCCGGTCACGGTGACGGGTTACCGCGTGTGTGTGTGTCAGACACCCGGCCGGTCACCGTGACGGGTTACCGCGTGTGTGTGTGTCAGACACCCGGCCGGTCCCGGTGACGGGTTTCGGTGCGTGTCAGACGTTACCTGTTTGAGGTGCTCGAGCTCCTGTTTGGTGCTTTCATGTTGCTGCTCCAGCTCACAGTAACGTTGCTTCAGACACAGCTTCTCCTCCAGCACGGCCAGCCCGCACTCCGCCGCCCGCACCTTCTGCTCACTGGCTTCCTGTAGCTCGGCGCTCAGCCGCCGTAACTCAGCCTTCAGTCTCTCCAGCTCTCCCCCGGTATCTGCCCACACCGCCCCCCCACCCTCTTCACTCCCACCAGCGACCAAAACATCCATCTGACACCGCACCGGCGACCAAACAAACTGCCCCCGTGTGGTCTTTCCTCTCCTCTCCCCTCACTGTAAAACCGCCGTCTCTCACCGCCGCCGCGGTCACGGGCCCCGCAGCCAACCTTGAAGCCTTTTCTCTTTCACGCGTTCCCTCTCACTTCCACAGCTCAAGACCGAAGGACGTTGGGAGTTTTTTTTAAAAAAAAAAAAGATTTTCCTTCCTTCCTTCCGCTCTTTTCGCTCCTTCTTTGCGAAACCGGCCCCAAACCCCCTCTCTCTCCCACTCACTTAAAAATAACCTTCGCCCTCTCTTCGCTGCCTCTCTCCTTCCTAACCAAACCCCCTTTCCCTTCTCCTTCACCCCCCAAAAAAAACCTTTTCAACCCCAAACTATTCGGCTTTCCTCCCTTGACATTTTACCTCAATATTATCGGCCGAAACGCAGCTCAAAAGCCCTCTCTCGGCACTTGAATTTTATACATCCAAATTAAAGGAAACCTGAGCCCCGACTGGTTCCTGTCAAACAAAAACCCGCACTTTTATTTATTTCTCCTTTCTTTATCCTGTTTTAACCCACACACACACAAAAAAATCTACCAGAGAGGGAGGGAGAGAGGGAGAGAATGGGGAAAAAGGAAAGAGAAACATAAATATAACGCAGAGAAATAGTTTTTCTTTTAAATCTGAAATTAAATAAAACTTTGCCGCAACTTCTCCTTCGAGGTTCGTGCGCCTTTCACGCGGCATTTGCCCCTCAGAAAACTCCTTAAAAAAAAAATCACTCGGTGTCACTTTCCTCCGCAAAAGAAAACACGGGGGAAAGAACATTCTCCCCCTTCGCCCCCTTTTCCCCCCGAAACAGCCCTTAACCCCAAATCTGAGCTTCTTTTCCCCCCAATCCCCTGAACAGCAAAAAAAATACACTTTTACGCCACACTTTCCTCCTGACAGTAACAACAATAATCTTTGCATTTGATCCTTTTCCCCTCAAACACCCCTTTTCACACTGTAAACGGCGCGTTTTCCGCCCCAAAAACTCGTGGGAGTTCACTTGAAAAACCCCCTTTTTGTTTTCCCCTCAAACATCGTCCCTTCGCCTTTTACACTTCCAACTAAAACTCTTTAAACCTTTCCCCCTCTTCCCTCCCGCACTCTCCCCCCTCACCCCCTCTTCCCCCTCACCCCCTCTTCCCCCCTTTCCCCCCTCACCCCTCTTTCCCCCTCACCCCCTCTTCCCCCCCTCACCCCTCACCCCCTCTTCCCCCCTCACCCCCTCTTCCCCCCTCACCCCTCTTCCCCCCTCACGCGAACTGAACCCCATTCCCCCCCTTTTGCTGCTCAAACTGAACCCCCGTTTACCCTCAGAAACCTTCCCAACAAAACTCAAACTAACGCCACTTTTCCCCTCAAACCCCCCCATGACCCCCAGTGACGGGGTTTAACCCCTCGGTTACCCGGTGGCTGTGGCGCGAGGCTCCGCGGCCGTTGGGCTTCTCCCCCTTTCGAATCGCATTCAAACGGCGTCCGACCGTTACCCTCTGACGTCACCCGCCTCGCGCCCCCGCGCCACCCCGTCACGTGCCACCGCCGCCTCCACGTCACTCACCCCGCCCAGACCGCGCGACGTCCCGCCCACCAGCCCCCCCCACCGCCCGCCCAGTGACACCCACACATCCATCAACCGACCGACAAATCCCATTGGCCCACTCTCGGCCGAGATCCCCGCCCCCTCGCTCCTGATTGGAACACCTCGCGTCAGTCACATCGATCTGCGATCCGATTGGACGAGCCGGAGGTCGGTGGCGGGGGCGACTGCTGGCGTTCAATGCTCAGCCGCATAGTAAACCCCGCCTCCCTCCTGGGTCCCGCCCCCTGATGGACTGTCAATCAGTGAACAATCGCCCCCCCCGCACCCCGAACACTGTGATTGGCCCAAAGGTACATCCATCACCGTGACGTCAGAGACACAGGCGGGGGCTGATGGTGAGGGGCGGGGCTTCAGGGCCACAGGAGGAAGTGTAGTGACTGTATGTTTTGTGGGTGAAACTATGTCTGTGTCTGTCTGTGTGTCTGTGTGTGTGTGTCTGTGTGTCTGTGTGTGTGTCTGTGTGTGTCTGTGTGTGTGTGTGTGTGTCTGTGTGTGTGTCTGTGTGTGTGTGTCTGTGTGTGTGTGTGTCTGTGTGTGTGTGTGTGTGTGTGTGTCTGTGTGTGTGTGTGTGTGTGTGTGTGTCTGTGTGTGTGTGTCTGTGTGTGTGTGTGTGTCTGTGTGTCTGTGTGTGTGTGTCTGTGTGTGTGTGTGTGTCTGTGTGTGTGTTGTGTGTGTGTGTGTCTGTGTGTGTGTCTGTGTGTGTGTGTGTGTCTGTGTGTGTGTGTGTGTCTGTGTGTGTGTCTGTGTGTGTGTCTGTGTGTGTGTGTGTGTGTGTGTGTCTGTGTGTGTGTGTCGTGTGTGTGTGTGTGTCTGTGTGTGTGTGTGTGTGTGTGTGTGTCTGTGTGTCTGTGTGTGTGTGTCTGTGTGTGTGTGTGAGGTTTGGCTCTGTCCCGCGCGGCCGGGGATTTGGCTTTGGCAATTGACTGCTGCGCTTCACCCACAAACATACAGTCAATTCACCACACGGTGTGTCCCTGTGCAGCGCTTTGGGGCGTCTCAAAGCGCTTCACAGGATACAGTGTAAAGTGCAGTGACTGTGGGTTTGGGTGAAGCGCTCTCTCTGGAACTCTGTTCCCCATTACCTCCGCCTTTCCCACTCCCACCTTCAGGTCACGTCTTTTGATTTGCTTGCATTCGCCTCCCCCCCCCCCCCCACCCGCCCTTGGCTCGGGGCCTCGCCCACAAAGCACACAGTCACTACGCTTCACAGCGTATCCCGTGAAGCGCTTTGAGACGCCTCGGCGACGTGATCGGGCGCCGGGTCAAACGCCAGGATTATCATTATTATTATTATTATTAAACGACTGCCGTGTTTCGCCCACAGCAAAACAGTCACCGCACTTTCCAGTGTATGTCGTGCGGCGCTTTAAGACGCGATAAGGCGCTGTGTCACACACACACACACACGGATTATTATTATTATTATTATTATTATTATTATTATGACCGTGTGTTCAGATTGACGCAGTGCCAATCTCCACCACAGGAGGGCGACGTTGACTGCGAATGTACAGTTTCGCGTCTTCACCTTCACCGCTCGCATTACCACAGGAGGCCACAGGGGGGCGGTGGCGCTCCATGTAGCAGTGACTTGGCTTCAGGCCGATGACCTGCTCCACAGTCATTGACACAAGATGGGAGGGGAGGGGGAGGGGGTGGTGGGGGGGGGGGGTGGGGGGGGTCAGTGGGGGGAGGAAGAGGTTTCCCGGTATCTTTTGACTAAACTTATTCTCACGTTGACACAGCGCCTTTCACTCGGGAGGACGTCTCGAGGCGCTTCACGGCATTCACTGCTCAAGTGTGTAGTGACTGTGTGTTGCGCAGCCAACACGCAACGCGCACAGTGACGTCCCCGCAAGCAGCCGGCAAGTGAGCGAGCGATGTTTATTTGTGGGGGATTGTCGGGCAGGACACCAGGAGGGAGACAAATTCCCTTCTCTTTCCCCCCCCCGCCCCCCCCGCCCCCCTCCTCACCCCGACAGGGCCGCGGGAGAGCTTTAACGTCCGCCCTGGACAGGGCGCGTTATCCGTGGAACACGTTTACATCTATTTAGTAAACATATACACCACGAAGTCCCAACAGATAAGAGAAACTTTTTTTTTATATATATATATATATTAAAATAAATTATGTGGCAAATTGCAAAGTTAAGTCTTTTCTCATCTCAACAATTCGGAAACATGTCAGAGGCAAATTTACTGCGTCTCTAACCCTGACCTGGGAGTGTAGTGACTGTGTTACTGCGTCTCTAACCCTGACCTGGGAGTGTGGACACACAGTGTGAGGAGCTTTACTGTGTCTCTCACCCTGACCTGGGAGTGTAGTGACTGTGTTACTGCGCCTCCAACCCTGACCTGGGAGTGTAGTGACTGTGTTACTGCGTCTCTTAACCCTGACCTGGGAGTGTGGACGGACGCACAGTGTAGAGGGAGCTTTAGTGCGTCTCTCGCCCTGACCTGGGAGTGTGGACGGACGCACAGTGCAGAGGGTGGAGCCCTCACTCTCTCTCCCCGAAGCCGAGGTGCGCATGAGCTGCCCCTCTCAGGAGGTCCCGGTGTTTCCAGGCCAGGACGCAGGTTGTGAGGAGGAGGAGGCTGCCGGTGGCTCGGAGTTTGGTGCGGACGAAGGGGATGATGCAGGCGGACAGGCTGGAGATGAGCATCAGTAAGACAGTGAGCAAAGCGAGCAGCAGGTTCACCCCCTTCCCCACCAGCTCCCGAGTGTTCACATGGTCCAACACCTCCAGCTGCGCACTCTGCTGCTGTTGCTCAACACGGCCCACCTTACTGTGTAAGCTCTCCAATACCTCCTGCTCCCCGGGGGTCGGGGGGGACGGAGAGAGAGAGAGAGAGGGGGAGAGAGGGTGGGGGGAGGGTGGGGGGGAGGGTGAGAGGGCGAGAGAGAGAGAGAGAGAGAGAGAGAGAGGGGGACAAAGCACACACAATATTATAATAATAATAATAATAATAATCCTCACATTGACATCGGGAAAGCCGTCTCAAAGCGCTTCGCGGGACACGCTGTAAAGTGTAGTGACTGTGTGGTGTGTGTGTGTTTTTGCGGGCGGGAGCGCGGCGACGTCCTCACGAACAGCCGCGGGGTGGGCGTGGGGGTGGGGGTGGGGGGTATTTTTGGTCACTGACCCAGATATCGCGGCTGTTCTCGTACGCCTGGTACATCATCTTCTCCTCCAGGCTGGCCAGGTCCTGCTTCAGGATGAACACCTCGTTCTGGTGCAGTTCCGTCAGGTCGTTCAGCTGCGTCTCCAGATGGAGGTTCCTTCAGACCCGGCAACAAGACCTCTCAGTGTCGCTGTCCGCACCCCGAGCCCCGAGCTCGCGCCCCGAGCTCGCGCCCCGCCCCCCCCCCACCCCCACATCCCCACCGCCACCCCCACCCCACCCCACTCCCTTCTCCCCGCCAGCCCTCACACCACCGCTCCCTGCTCTCTCCACCCCTCTCCCTCTCACGCTCACTCCTTCCCCGGAAGGCCACCCCCCCCCACCCCACCGCCCCGAGTCTCCAGCCATCTCCCTGTTAAATATTCCGATCAATCTATGGTGGAGGAGAGAGAGGGGGAGGGGGAGAGCGAGGGAGAGAGCGAGGGGGAGGGTGGGGGAGAGCGAGGGGGATGGAGGGGGAGAGCGAGCGGGAGTCACAAACCTCTGCTTCTCGTCCTGGACGGCGGCCTGGAAGTTGGTCATGTCGGTTGTGTACATCTCCGCTAAGCTCTTGAGGTTAATGTCCAGTTGTGTTTGGGCCTCTTTCACCTCCAGGATCTCCTCCATGACAGTCAGGAAGCTGAGCCTCCGGCCCCCCGACTTCTCCCTCAGCCCCAGCCCCATCTCCAGCTCCTCCATCCCCGTCTGGGACAAGGTGCTGCCTCTGCGCAGGGTCTGGAGGGAGTCGAGGAAGTCGCTGAGGTTGAAGCTGTTGGTGCCCAGGGAGGGGTTCTCGCTGTCCAGGCTGTGTTTGGAGGTGTCGGTGTGGGGGGAGACGGGGGAGAGGGGGGACTGGTTCAGGCCGGCTTCCTGGCTGGGGATGATGGGTGTGGGTGGTTTCGAGCTCAGGGGCTGATCTCTCAGGAGGTGGGTTTCCATCTCTTGCAGTTTCTGCTGATACAAGTCCAGCTTCTTCTGTAACTGAGCGATGGCCAGAGACAATCTCTGGTTCAGCTTCTCAAAGGTGACCCTGGCAATAATAACCAGAACAATCAATAATAATAATCAATAATAACCAGAACAATCAATAATAATAATCAATAATAACCAGAACAATCAATAATAATAATCAATAATAACCAGAACAATCAATAATAATAATCAATAATAACCAGAACAATAAATAAATAAATAATAATCAGTAATAACCAGAACAATAAATAAATAATAATCAATAATAACAATAAATAATAATAAACAATAACAATAAGAGAGAGACACACACATACACACACAGACACACACACACGCGCACACAGAGACACACACACACACACGCACACACAGAGACACACACACACACGCACACACACGCACACACAGAGACACACACACACACGCGCACACACACACACACGCGCACGCACGCACACAGACCTGATACGGACGGCTTGCGTATGGTCGGCGTTGCTGACGAGACGTAGATACTCGGACACGTTGATGTCGCGCTGACTTTGTAGAACACGGATCTGCTCGGAGGCCGCGAGAACCTTTTTGCTGAGCTGTTCCCTCAGCGTCCGCAGCTCCTCCCATTGCTGGGCTTCTGCTGAACCGTCCGGAGCCGGGTCCGGAATCTCCCCGTAGCCCGAGGGCGGCTTCGAGGGGTCGATCGATTCGGCGCCCGCCCCGGCCCCGGCCCCGGCGCCCGTTCCCTCCTCATGACAATAGCAACCGGATCATTAATAATCTCACACGATGGGCGTCATTAACGATAATCAATACCATCACAACGACGGCAAAACAATGATGAATAATAATAAAATGAGGGGTTCGGGAAGGAGAGGGGAGTGGGGGGTGGGGGGGGGGGGTTGGGAAGGTGGTTGGGAGGGGCGTTGGAGGGAGGGGTTTTGGGAGGGGCCTTGAGAGGGGTATTTGGGAAGGGGTTTGGGTGGGGGGGGAGGGAGTTTGGGAGGGGTATTTGGGAGGGGGAATTGGGTAGGAGTGTTGGGAGGGATGGTTGGGAGGGGGTTTGGGAGGGATGATTGGGAAGGGGGTTTGGGAGGGATGGTTGGGAGGGGGTTTGGGAGGGGAAATTGGGTGGGAGTGTTGGGAGGGATGGTTGGGAGGGGGTTTGGGAGGGGGAATTGGGTAGGAGTGTTGGGAGGGATGGTTGGGAGGGGGTTTGGGAGGGGAATTGGGTAGGAGTGTTGGGAGGGATGATTGGGAAGGGGGTTTGGGAGGGATGGTTGGGAGGGGGTTTGGGAGGGGAAATTGGGTGGGAGTGTTGGGAGGGATGGTTGGGAGGGGGTTTGGGAGGGGAAATTGGGTAGGAGTGTTGGGAGGGATGGTTGGGAGGGGGTTTGGGAGGGGAAATTGTGTGGGAGTGTTGGGAGGGATGGTTGGGAGGGGGTTTGGGAGGGATGGTTGGGAGGGGGTTTGGGAGGGATGGTTGGGAGGGGGTTTGGGAGGGAGGGAGGGAGTGGGGGGGCTCGGGAGAGGAATCATGATCCCTACCTTGTCTCTCCGCTCCCCCTTGGTGGCTCGGACCAGATTCCAGGGCAGTGAAATCCTGCGGGTTTCCTCTCCTGGTGTCCGGGTCTTGTCACTGACCGGCTCGGCTTCGGAGTCCGTCCTGCCCAGGACCGTGTCGATCACCGACTTCCTGCGGGGCCTGGGCTGGGGCGGGGCCTGGGCCTGGGGTGCGGGCGGGGGCTGCTCTATGGATGGGGGGTGGGACTGAGCGGCGGAGCTGTCCGTGGAGTCCCTGTGGGAGGATGGCTTCCGTGCGAAGTACACGGAGGGGCTGTCCTGTGCGTGTTGCTTGTCCAGCTTGGCCGAGGCTTGGCTCTGGCTCAGACTGGAGCCGAATCTCGATCTGTCCTCCTCTGCCCGGCTCCCGCTCTCCTCCTGAGGCCCCGATATCCACCCCCGGAGCCAGCCCAGGGACCACAAACTGTGGGCAAAGGAGCTTCTGGACGAGGAGCTGGACTTGCGTTCCTTGGGAGGCCTGGAGTCCTTCTCCTCCTCCCTGTAATCCAGGGAGTGGCGGGCAGAGTCCAGCTTCAAGATGCCCTGGGGTGTGGACGGGGCAGAGGGCGGGGCAGGGCGAGGGGCCTGGAATGAGGAATGGGAGGTCCGAGGCTCGCTGACCCCACTCTCCTTCACCCCACTGTCCACCTGCTTCTCCTCCATCTGTGGGGACGTTGGGGGGTGGTCTGGGCCGTCCAACTGCAGCCTGTTTAACATCAACAACAACAACAACAACAACGTCAGCAACGTCACAGGCGCGTGTGTGTGTGGGCGTGTGTGTGGGCGTGTGTGAGTGCGTGTGTGTGAATTCGTGTGTGAGGTGTGTGTGAGGTGTGTGTGAGGCGTGTGTGAGTGCGCGTGTGTGTGAGGGTGTGTGTGAGTGTGTGTGAGGGTGTGTGCGAGTGTGAGAGGGTGTGTGTGAGTGTGAGAGGGTGTGTGAGTGTGAGTGTGTGAGGGTGTGTGAGTGTGTGAGGGTGTGTGTGAGGGTGTGTGTGAGGGTGGGTGCGAGTGTGTGAGGGTGTGTGTGAGGGTGGGTGCGAGTGTGTGAGGGTGTGTGTGTGTGAGGGTGTGTGTGAGTGTGTGTGAGGGTGTGTGTGAGTGTGTGTGAGGGTGTGTGCGAGTGTGAGAGGGTGTGTGAGGGTGTGTGAGGGTGTGTGTGAGTGTGTGTGTGAGTGTGTGTGTGAGTGTGTGAGTGTGTGTGTGAGTGTGTGTGTGAGGGTGTGTGTGAGTGTGAGGGTGTGTGTGAGTGTGAGTGAGTGTGAGTGTGAGTGAGTGTGAGTGTGAGTGAGGGTGTGTGTGAGGGTGTGTGAGTGTGTGAGGGTGTGTGTGAGTGTGTGTGAGGGTGTGTGTGAGGGTGTGTGTGAGGGTGGGTGCGAGTGTGTGAGGGTGTGTGTGAGTGTGTGAGTGTGTGAGTGTGTGAGGGTGTGTGTGAGTGTGTGTGAGGGTGTGTGTGAGGGTGTGTGTGAGGGTGTGTGTGTGAGTGTGAGTGTGAGTGAGTGTGAGAGAGGAGACTTTGCCTGAGGTTGTGACGGAGTTGATTCCACGTCCTCTCACTCACGAAGTGAGACTGTAACGAGAATCCACAGTAATAGCTGTTGGGCTGAAACACAAAGGACGGGGGAGTGAGGCGGTGGGGGGTCCGCGGGCGGTGGGGGTCCGCGGGCGGTGGGGGGGCCGCGGGCGGTGGGGGGTCCGCGGGCGGTGGGGGGGGCCGCGGGCGGTGGGGGGGGCCGCGGGCGGTGGGGGGTCCCGCGGGCGGTGGGGGGGCCGCGGGCGGTGGGGGGGCCGCGGGCGGTGGGGGGTCGCGGGCGGTGGGGGGGTCCGCGGGCGGTGGGGGGTCCGCGGGCGGTGGGGGGTCCGCGGGCGGTGGGGGGGCCGCGGGCGGTGGGGGGTCCGCGGGCGGTGGGGGGGCCGCGGGCGGTGGGGGTCCGCGGGCGGTGGGGGGGCCGCGGGCGGTGGGGGGCCGGGGGCGGTGGGGGGGCCGCGGGCGGTGGGGGGGGCCGCGGGCGGTGGGGGGGCCGCGGGCGGTGGGGGGGCCGCGGGCGGTGGGGGGGGCCGCGGGCGGTGGGGGGCCGCGGGCGGTGGGGGGGTCCGCGGGCGGTGGGGGATAGTAGTGGGTGGTGGAGGGCAGTGAGGGGGTAGTTAGGGGGTAGTTGAGGGGTAGTTGGGGGGCAGTGGGCGGAGGGGGGGCAGTGGGGGGCAGTGGGGGGGCAGTGAAGGGGTAGTTGGGGGGTAGTTGGGGGCAGTGGGGGGGTAGTGGGGGGGCAGTGGGGGGGTAGTGGGGGGGCAGTGGGGGGGTAGTTGGGGGCAGTGGGGGGGCACTGGGGGGGCAGTGGGCGGAGGGGGGGCAGTGGGGGGCAGTGGGGGGGCAGTGGGGGGGCAGTGGGGGGCAGTGGGGGGCAGTGGGGGGCAGTGGGCAGAGGGGGGGCAGTGGGGCAGTGGGGGGGCAGTGGGGGGCAGTGGGGGGGCAGTTGGGGGCAGTGAAGGGGTAAAACCCCCAACGTCTCGGATCTGCTCACAGTGACCAACTGTCAAACTGTAAATAAACACAAAAGTCTGAGGTTCTCTGTGACCTCAACTCCTCATTCCGAGCGGATACACCGCTCTCAACCCCTCACTCACACACCCCCTCAACCCCTCACACCCCCTCAACCCCTCCCTCACCCCCTCAACCCCTCACACCCTCAACCCCCCCCTCACAGCCCCTCAACCCCTCACACCCTCACAGCCCCTCAACCCCCTCACACCCCCCCTCACACCCCCCCCTCACAGCCCCTCAACCCCTCACACCCTCACAGCCCCTCAACCCCCCCCTCACCCTCAACCCCCCCTCACACACCCTCACACCCTCACCCCCTCACACACACAGACAGACAGTGACAGAGACTCTTACGCGGTCGTCGAGGAACACGTCCAACATCTTCCTGTGCGGTTGTGGCCCCGGTGGTCCGTTCCTCTCTCCCTCTCCCTCTCTCTCTCCCTCTCTCTCCCTCTCCCTCTCCCGCGCGGGTCGCGTTCCGCCCGAATCACTGCCAAGTGTAGTGACTGTGCGTTTTGCAGGGCCAGCGACGCGCCCGGAAACAGCCGTGAAGGGAGCGAGTGGGAGGGAGGACACCGGGAGAGAGGGAGAGAGAGGGGGAGAGAAAGGCCCTTCTCTTTGCCCCACCGACAGCGCCGGGCGGGAGGGGAGGGGCCCCGGGGGGGGGAGTGGGGGGGGGGGGGGGGGGGAGTGTGAGGGTGTGTGTCAGCTGAGCACCAGACGGTTGTGTGGGGGCGGGGGGGGGGAGTGGGGGGAGTGGGGGGGCCGGGGGGGGAGTGGGTGTGGGGGGCGGTGGGGGGGAGTGGGGGGTCCGGGGGGGGCGGTGGGGGGGGGAGTGGGGGGGGGCGGTGGGGGGGCGGTGTGGGGGGTCCGGGGGGGGAGTGGGTGTGGGGGGGCCGGTGGGGGGGAGTGGGGGGGAGTGTGAGGGGCGGTGGGGGGGGTCCGGGGGGGGAGTGGGGGCTCCAACTCACTGCCCTTCTGACTCGGAGAGAGAGAGAGAAGCGAATACGAACCTCTTTCCTCTCCAGTTCTCCAGTTCGCAAAACAGCGATTACAATTAAACCGTTTCGACCACAAAACGCCTCTCTCACTGTACTGACATCTCTCTCTCTCTCTCTCTCTCTGTCTCTCTCTCTGTGTCTCTCTCTCTCTCTCTCTGTGTCCGAAGCTTCTCACATCTGCAAAACACAACCATTTCCTGACGTGGGTTTTGTGAGAGAAACGGCTTCGCGCTTCACTTTAGGAAACGCGAAAGAAGTTTTTGGTTCCAGAAGCGCTGCGTCCGCGCGCGCGTCGGTGTGTGTGTGTGTGTCTGTGTGTGTGAGTGTGTGTGTGAGTGTCTGTGTGTGTGTGTGTGAGTGTGTGTGTGAGTGTCTGTGTGTGTGTGAGTGAGTGTGTGTGTGTGTGAGTGTGTGTGTGTGAGTGTGTGTGTGTGTGAGAGTCTGTGTGTGAGTGTGTGTGTGTGTGTGTGAGTGTCTGTGTGTGTGTGAGTGAGTGTGGTGTGTGTGTGAGTGTGTGTGTGTGAGTGTGTGTGTGTGTGAGAGTCTGTGTGTGAGTGTGTGTGTGTGTGTGTGAGTGTCTGTGTGTGTGTGAGTGAGTGTGTGTGTGTGTGAGTGTGTGTGTGAGTGTGTGTGTGAGTGTGTGTATGTGAGTCTGTGTGTATGTGAGTCTGTGTGTGTGTGTGAGTGTGGAGTGTATGTGTGTGAGTGTGTGTGTGTGAGTGTGTGTGTGAGTGTATGTGTGTGAGTGTGTGTGTGTGAGTGTGTGTGTGAGTGTGTGTGTGAGTGTATGTGTGTGAGTGTGTGTGTGTGAGTGTGTGTGTGAGTGTATGTGTGTGAGTGTGTGTGAGTCTGTGTGTGAGTGTGTGTGTGTGTGTGAGTCTGTGTGTGTATGAGTGTGTGTATGTGAGTCTGTGTGTGTGTCTGTGAGTGTGTGTGTGTGAGTGTGTGTGTGAGTGTGTGAGTGTGTGTGTGAGTGTTGTGTGTGTGTGTGTGTGTGTGTGAGTGTGTGTGTCACTGTGTTAAAAAACCACACACAGTGAGGTGGAGTGCTTTGTAACAAGAGTTTTGCTCTTTTTATTATTCTGAATTAGCGACAACCGAGCGACTCGTTTTATTTTAAATTTCCTTCCCCCCCCACCCCCCCCCCCGAACCCCACACCCCCCCCCCACACCCCGCTCACCCCCACCTCCCCTCCCCTCACTCCCCCCAAAAACTGCACAAGGAAACTGCGAGTGCGCACACACCCGCGCGCGCGCTCACACGCTCACACAACCGCACACTCACTCGCTCGCTCACTCGCTCACTCACTCACTCACTCACTCACTCGCTCGCTCACTCGCTCACTCACTCACTCACTCGCTCACACATCAAAACTTCAATGCAACCTAACTCTGGGAGGGGAGGAAAGAAGAGGCGAGAGAGAGAGGGGTGTGGGTGAGAGAGAGAGAGGGGGGGGGTCGGCAGATGGTAAGAGGAAAGGAGAGGGAGGGAGGGGGAGGGAAAAAAAGAGGAGAGGAGAGCAGAGTTAAAGGGATCAACTTCCAGGTGTTTTTGTGTGTGTGTGTGTGTGTGTGTGTCTGCGCGTGTGAGTGTGTAAAATCTTTGCCAAGTTTCACTCCAGACAGTTAGATACCCAGTTGCGCAAATCGTCGTGGTATTGTGTCCCCCCCCACCGTCCCCCCACTCTATATACTTTTTTTTTAGCAACTTTTTCTTTGAAGTAACCCCTCTGTGCCTGTCTCACTCTCTCTCTCACTCTGTCTCTCTCCATCACTCTCTCGCTCTGTCAGCCCGTGGGCGAGAGACGAAGACAAACTGGGGTGTTGATACCTCTGTCTGTGTCTGTCTGTGTGTATGGCTGTCTGTGTCTCTCTATCACTCTCTCCCCCTCCGTCTCTCTCTCTCTCTCTGAGAGACAGAGACAAACTGGGGTGTTACCTTTTCCCTGTGTCTGTCTCTCTCACTCTGTGTGTCCGTGTGTGTGTATATCAGTCTATCTCTCCCCCTCCATCTCTTTCTCTCTCCCTTTCTCTCTATCTCTATCAGCCTGTAGGTGACTGAACGTGCTGACACCGAGCGCTCCCCTCTCTCCCCTTCCCCTACCCCGCCAGTCGATGGGAGAGAGAGGGAGGTGGGGGGGTGGGGGGGAAAAGTGGTGACAGACTCTCCCTTTCTCACCTGCTCAGCATCTTGCCCTTCAGTTTGGCCATGTGCGGCTGATCATCGTGGCTGAGCTCTGGGGGCTGACTGTCAGCCTGAGCTCGTCTCTGCTGCTCCAGGTTATACTCTCGTAACTCAGCCAGCAGCGTCCCTGTGGGCAGAGAGAGAGAGAGAGAGACATAACACCACAGGCCCGACAGCACTGGAGCCCATCGTGTCTGTGCCTGTGCCGGAGCAGCGACAACAACAACAGCAGCAGCAGCAGCGCCCTTCACATGGGGTAGTGTCCGGAATGATTGACGGTGGTGAAGTCTGACCCCGAGCCGGGGTGGGGGGGGGGAGTAGGGGTGGGGAGAGGGAGGGAGAGGTGACCGTCAGCACCATCAAAAAGGAAGGCCTTTAGGTGGGATTTGGAGGTGAGGAGGGAGGGTCCTGTCCAGCCCGGCCGGGAATCGAACCCAGGTCCTCTCACTTGCGAGGGGATTGTGGTAACCTCTCGGCCCCTGAGCTACAGGCGTCCCACAGGATGACCTACCTATCTGCTGACACAGGGTGTAGCCGAGCTGCCGAGCTCCGCTCAGTAGTAGTTTGAGGACGGTGTCTCTGGTTCCCGGTTCCCCGCGGGACAACTGTAATAGGATGTTAGCTGCGTCCTCCAGACCCTCCTCTGAACACGAGTGTGACGTCAACACCTGCCAGGAGAGGAGAAAACAGTCACTGTGGGTAACAGCCGGGGGGGGGGGGGGGGAGAGAGAGAGAGAGACACACACACACACACACACACAGGGGCTCAGTCACTGCGGCCAGCAAGTAGGGAGAGAGAGAGGGGGGATTGGGGAGGGTTGGGGGGGGAGACAGACAGTCAGAGAGAGAGAGACAGAGAGAGATAGAGACGCATGAGAGAGAGAGAGAGAGAGAGAGAGAGACAGAGAGAGATAGAGACTGAGAGAGAGAGAGAGAGAGAGATGAAGAGACGAGACACACACAGACACACAGTCACGTTACCTCCACTGACAGCTGGAGCTGTTTCTCTGTGAGGCCTGAGGTGGGGGCTTTGCTGTCGCTGCTGCTGCCGCCGGTCTCCCCCACCCTCGCCGGGGACTTGGCCACTTTCTGAGTCGCTGCAAAACACGTCAAGACACACGCAACACGTTTACACTGGGATCAGCCTCGCTGCTCTCTCTCTCTCTATCTATTGCTCGGTCTCTTTTCCCCTCCCTCCCTCCCTCTTTCCCCTCTCTCTGTCCCTCTCTCCCCTTCTCTCTCTCTCTCTCCCTGTGCCCCCCTCACTCTCCCTCCCCCAGTACTCACGTGTAGCAGTGACGTTGGCTGTTGTGTTGACGCTGAGGTTGGGGTTGGGGGTAAGGCTAGGGTTGGGGGTGGCTGTGAGGGGGGGGCAGGTGGCGCTGCTGTTACTGTTGCTGTGGCTGTTGCTGTGGCTGTTGCTGTTGCTGTGGTTGGGGCTGATCTCCGTGGCCTTGTTGTCGGGGAGGGCGATGGAGATGAGGGAGAGGAGACGGAGCAGTTTCTCGGTGAGCAGCGAGCTGCGGCGGATGACGGGGTGAGAGAGCATGTTCATGAGCTGCCCCAGGGGCGAGGACTCCAGGCTGCCTTGACTGCTCTCCCCCTCGCTGCCCGGCAGAGGCAGAGCCTTGATTGAGGTCTTCCCCTTGCGGCTCACGTTCATGTTGTCCAGTTTGACCAGAAGGTCCCAGAAGTCGGTGGAGATGGAGCTGGAGGTGGAGCCAGCTCCGGCCGGGCTCGGGCTCTGTCCCTGTGCCTGGCCCTGGCCCTGTCCAGGGCTGGTCGCTGCCGGCCTCCCCAGCTTCTCTCTGTCTGTCTCCCCGCAGCTGTCTTTACTGCGCTGCTGTGTGAAGTGACTGGGGAATACCTGAGGGAGAGAGAGAGAGAGAGAGAGAGGGTGAGAGTGCGAGAGAGAGAGAATAATAATAATAATAATAATAATAATCCTTGCATTTGATATAGCGCTTTTCACGTCGGGAGGACGTCCCAAAGCGCTTCACAGAATAGACTGTAAAGTGAATTGACTGTATATTTGTGGGAGAGGGAGGCAGCTTGAGAGAGCGAGAGAGAGGGGGAGAGGGAGGGAGTGTGAGAGAGAGAGATGGGGTGAGGGGGTGAGAAGAGCGAGAGCGAGGGGAGGGGAGGGGGAGGGGAGGGAGTGTGAGGGAGTGAGAGAGGGGAGAGAAGGGAAGGAGACAGACACAGAGAGAGGGGGGGGGGGAGGTTACCTTGGCGAGCTGGATGAGGGTGTCTAACACGTGTCTACAGACCACGGGAGCTGCCTGGGGGTGGATGTGGACGGTGGAGCCACAGCCGGGATGCTTCTCCGAATGCTTCCGCCCTCCCGACCGCTGTATCTGGAAGATGTTGGTGCGACAGCCCAGAGCAGCGTCCATGGACACGGAGAGCCACGACAGCTGGCTGGTGGCTTTGGCCTCCACCTTGTGGAGCAGGTCCAGGGTTTTCTGTTCGTGTAGAGCTAGGGCTCCGGTGCCAGGGGGAGGAGGGGGCGGGGGAGAAGCCAGGCAGCTCTTGACCTTCTTGCCCTTCTCCTCCAGGTGTTTGGGGATCTCGATGCACAGCTCGCTCTCGCTGCTCCGCTGCAGGATGGACAGCAAGCTCTTGATGACCCAGTTGCGGGTCTGGGTGTGATAGCAGAGGTTCCTCAGCACACGGTGAAGGCGGCTGGTGTTCAGCTTCGGCTCGTCCAAAACAGCAGCACCAGCAGACAGGACAGGGCCTCGTGGTCCAACAGCAAGCGTCCGCGGAGGCGCAGGAGGCTGTCCACGTTACTGCTGCTCGAGGCTCTGAGGAGGAACATCTCAAGGTTACACCTCGATCCACACCCCGACTCCCCCCAAGTCTCTACCCATCTCCCTCTTGCCCTGAGGCAAGCTGACACATACTGTGGCTGTGGCTGTGGTGCCTGTGATGTTGTGGCTGTGGCTGTGGTGCCTGTGATGTTGTGGCTGTGGCTGTGGTGCCTGTGATGTTGTGGCTGTGGCTGTGGTGCCTGTGATGTTGTGGCTGTGGCGCCTGTGATGTTGTGGCTGTGGCTGTGGTGCCTGTGATGTTGTGGCTGTGGCGCCTGTGATGTTGTGGCTGTGGCTGTGGCGCCTGTGATGTTGTGGCTGTGGCTGTGGTGCCTGTGATGTTGTGGCTGTGGTTACGGTACCTGTTATGGCTGCCGCTGCCCCACTGAAAGGCCCCACTTCGCTGCACCGCGAGGCGTGTGTACTGCACTCCTCGGTTTCCTCCCAGCCGTCCAGTGAAACCTGGTTATAAACAAAGTACACGTCAGTGACACGTTACACACCCTCACACACATACACCCCTGCACACACACAGGTACATATCAGTGACATGTTACACACACTCACACACACGCACAAACACACTCTCACACACACCCTAATATATACAAACACAGGTACACGCCAGTGACATGTTACACACCCTCACACACATACACCCATGTGTGCGCGCACACACACACACAATATATACACACACAGGTACATATCAGTGAGATGTTGCACACACTCCCCTTCACACACATACACACCCTCACACACCACGACACTCTCACACAGACACACAACACACACCATTACACACACACGACACACAAGGGGAGGGAGTGGACAGGCGACTGCAGTGCTCACAGAGCGGAGTTAACTCCTCGTTACCTGTGCTGCGGAGGATGGCAGAGAGGGCAGAGGAGCTGCTGTGACTGAACAGCCTCTCGTGCATGAGCTGCCGCTGCCTGGCCTCCTGCTCTCTCCTCAGGGCCTGGGCCTCGGCAGCAATGTCCGGGGGCATCACAGCCAGGACACTGTCCTCCATGTCCTCCAGCACACTGCGCCTCAGGTCAGAGGGCAAGGTCTGGATAAAAGTCACCGGGTCCATCGGGGTGTCAGGGTTCGCTGTGTGCGCCAGCTCTCGCCGCTGCTGCTCTACTCTCTGCTGGGCAAGGACCTGGGGATAGCACCATTAACATCAACACTAACATCATCATCAACATGATGCGTGTGTGTGTGAGAGGGTGTGTGTGTGTGTGTGAGGGTGTGTGTGTATGTGAGGGTGTGTGTGGGTGATGATGTGTGAGGGTGTATGTGTGAGAGTGTGTGTGTGTGAGGGTGTGTTAGGGGGTACGTACCTCCTCCTGGATGGCGGGGGGCAGGGCGGCCAGGAACTCAGGGCTGACCTCGCTGACGGGCTGGGTACCCACCAGAGAAGCAGCAGCAGCAGCAGCGACAGCAGTGGCTACAGTCGCTGCCGTCGCTCTCTCTCTCTCCCGGTCTCGCTCTCTCTCCCGCTCCCTCTCGCGCACCCGGTTCGGAGGCCGGATTCCCAGCTGGTTCTGTAGCACTTCCCTCCGGATATCCTCAGGCAGCGCTGCCAGGAAAGAGGGGTCCACTCCCTCGGGCAGACTGATCCCTGCCGGGAAAACACACACAGGACAGAGGCACAACACACACAGAACAGACAACACAACACACACACACACACACAGGACAGAGGCACACACACACAGGAACAGACAACACAACACACACACACAGACAGAGGCACAACACACACACACACAGACGAGAGAAGAAGACACAAACACACAGGAACAGAGACACACAGAAGGAAAGAGACACAGAATCACACACACAGACAGAGAGACCGAGCGAGAGACAGTCTCGCGCGCACACACAC